GGGAAAAGATAGAAGGTGATCCTTGGGAGTTCAGGGATTCCGCAATTGCTAAAACTTGAGAGGAGACGGTGCAGCTACAAGAAGCCCAAGGTCAAATTCGATCTTTGGAATGTTAGGGCTACATTATGATGTTAACGGAAAAGTAATCTAGTGGTCATGCAGATTATCTGATCACACTTTCAGGATCAGCACTTATGTGTGAACCCATATGAACTTCCAAGTTCTTTCATTTACTTTAGGAGCATACTATGCATTTACTTACATAACTTAATTTTTTTAAATGTTTTATTTCTGAGAGAGAGAGAGAGAGAGACAGCGTGAGCAGGGGAGGGTCAGAGAGAGAGGGAGACACAGAGTCTGAAACAGGCTCAAGGCTCTGAGCTGGCTGTCAGCACAGAGCCCGACGCGGGGCTCGAACCCACAAACCGCGAGATCATGACCTGAGCCGAAGTCGGGCGCTTAACCGACTGAGCCCCCAGGTGCCCCAACAGATCTTAAATTTAAATACACTTATTTTCTTCCTGGCTGGAAACCTCAGTTCCTTTTCCCTCTAATTTGTTATTTCAGATGCCAAGTACCTACTCTATTTTCCTTTTCCCCAAATGAGTAAAACAGCCTTAATTTCCAATTATTATAAGACACACCTGAAGCTAACCCCCCACCTATTTTCCTAGTCTCTCACCTTCTCTGACGTCTTTTCCCATCCGTTCTAGGGAACAATGCATTTACTCTCTACGTATGTGCCCAGCATAGGGAAACACCTGTTACATGGATCCTGACCTCAAGGACCTGGGTCCTCTCACTAGGAGACAGAAACAGATGGCTCCATCTACAGATGGAGATCTTACCACCCAGCAGGACGCTGAAGAAGAAAAAAAATCAAACCACGGTGCTGCTGCCATGAATTCCTGGCCGCCCACTTTCACTGGCCCTCTAGACAACCTCTTAAGCGTCCCTGGCTCAGTTTTCTCTTACAGCTTCCACAGCAACGATTTCAAACTTTGTCCTCGTTCCTAAATTTCCCAACTTCTTCAGTTGAGGCAGGAGCCTTCTCTGCATCAAAAAACACACAGCTCAGGGGCACCTGGGTGGCTCAGTTAAGCGTCTGATTTCGGCTCAGGTCATGATCTCACGGTTTGTGGGTTCGAGCCCCACATCAGGCTCTGTGCTGACAGCTCAAAGCCTTGAGCCTGCTTCAGATTCTGTGTCTCCCTCTCTTTCCGCCCCTCCTCCACTTACACTGTTTCTTTCTGTCTCTCAAAAATAAATGTTAGGGGCGCCTGGGTGGCTCAGTCGGTTAAGCGTCCAACTTTGGCTCAGGTCATGTCACAGTTTGTGGGTTCAAGCCCCACGTCGGGCTCTGTGCTGACAGCTCAGAGCCTAGAGCCTGTTTCAGATTCTGTATCTCCCTCTCTCTCAGAAATAAATAAAACATTAAAAAAATTTTTTTTAAATGATAAAAATCATACAGCTTGTTTGCCAGTTTCCTCAACGTCACTTCCCAACTAACTCACATTTCTTCCTCTATTTCTCCTGTACAACCGAACAGAGCTCTCTTTCTGTCCAAGGCGGACGCTGCCACCATGGTGCCCGCCTTACACACCCCGTCCTCCGAGGCCCTGGACACTTGCTTCCCTTCCCTACTTTCGCATCAGGACCGAGACCTGCCCAGGCGTTCTCACTCCAACATTAAAATGCCTCCGTCCTGATTTCCCTCGGTCCCCACGTGATTCCTTTTCGCGGCCACCTCCTGAGAGCCCTGCACGCTCCCTGTCGCCGGCTCCTCGGCCCCTCACACTCAGTTGAAGCTGGCCTTGGTCGCCCCCTCTTCCGGAACTGTGCTTGCAGAGTGGCTCTCTGTTGCTGGTGCAGGCGGCCTTCCCGGTCGTTCTCTTCTCTCCACAGCCCCTGCTCCCTGTTGGGGGTTCTTCTCTCTTGGCGTTTCTGAGTCACGCTCTTCTCTGCTCACTGGTTTTCCTCCCACTCACGTGCCTCTGCCCACACCTCAAATGGTGACACTGCAAGGGTCTCTCCTCGGCCACCTTCTCAGGCTTCGTGATCTTCAGTCTCAACGCGTGTGACATGCTGGCGGCTTCCAAGTCTGTATCTGTGGGCGTTTAGGTATTTCTACTGGCAAATCGCACAGGCACATTATGTTCAAAGACGCCAAACTCGTTTTCACCTCAAGCCCCTTGTCGTTGCCCTTTTTCCTTAGGATGCTCTGCCCGTAGATATTGATGTGATCAGGTCTCAGTCCAAATGTCGCCTTCTGAGGCCTCCTCTGGACTACCTCTTCTCGTCAGCCCTTCGCACAACTCTATCACAATGTTTACAACTACATGAGGTTACTGTATCTACTCACTGATGGCTTGTTTCTCACTATTAAAACAGACTATCTATTTTGATCACCACTATTTAGCTGCAGTGCCCGATACCAATAAATCTCAAGAAATACTTGCTGAATGACTAAAAACTTCCAAATTATAAACCTTGGAAACATAATGCTAAGCGAAAGAAGCTGAAGCCAGTCACAAAAGGTCACATATTATATGTTCTCGTTTAAGTGAAATGGCCAGAATATGTAAATCTGTAGAGAAGGAAAGATTAGTGGTGGCCAGGAGCTGGGGGGCCATGGAAGTGACTGCTAATGGGCACAGAGTTTATTTCTGGAATGATGAAAAACGTTCTGGAATTAGATAGTGGTGATGGTTTTACAACTCTGAATATACTAGAAACCACTGAACTCTACACTTCTTTTTTTTTTTTTTTTTTGAACTCTACACTTCAAATAAGCTGTATGGTATGTAAATCCTACCTCGATAAAGCAGTCAGAACGCAGCAGACTCCCAAATTTATTCCAGACCTGTCCCAGCTCCTGTACTCCTTGAGTGAATAACACGACCACTCACCAGCTGTCCAACTTAGGAGTCTGAGACCCCCTCACACGCCTCTCTACAGGTGCCCCTTCCGGTATATCTGATCAGCTACAAAGCTGTCAGGATTTCACCTCCTTACTCTCTGAAACCTACTTCTTTCCAACTCACTGACGCCCATTTCATTCATTCCAAGCTCTCACTGCTTTTTACCTGGATTACTTCAATTACATTCCTCCTGGATTCCCTCCACCGAACCCCCTCATCTGCTCCACCGCTGTTAGGAGTGCCCTTTCTAAAGCCCAATTCCCACTATATCCCATCCGTGCTTAAACCCTTCACTGGCTCCCTAGAACTGACATGACAAACACCCACACTCCTTCGTATGTATACAAGGTCCTTCATAAGCTGGTCCCTGACAGCCCCTCTCCCACCTCATCCGCTCATCTTTCAGCCACGAGGAAACCAGCCAAAAACCGTGGCCACTCTCATTTTCACATGTGCCGCTTCCTCTGCCTGGATCAACCTTGCCCTGCACTTTACTGGTCTTTATTTCCTACTTATTCTTTAGGATTCAGCTCGGGCATTGCCTTTTCCAGGATACAGGAGCTAGGCTTTGCTCGTCAAATTGCTAGAAATCCCTTTGCCGTCCTCTCCCAGCACTCAGAGCAATGCCTCTCTGGACTCTTCTAATATTCAGCATTTACTGAGCACCTGCTATGATCTTCACTCCCCCACAGTGAGTGTTGCTATGCTATTTAAATGTGTAGACATGGGTTCAGCGAGGTTGCTCTCCTAGCAAATGACAGAGTAGGGGCTGAATTCCACGCCTGACCCCGAAGTAATGGTCTCCTACTGTTCCAAACTACCTCTCCAGAACTTCTCACTTTGCATCGCAATTCCTTCCAAAAGAATGAGTCCGGTTAACTCAGCGCTCTTAGTGCCTAGTGTGGTGCTTGACACTTGCTCAGTGCTTGCTGAATACAGGAAGAGAGGACACATGTGGACTAAGCATTGGGAAACTTGTGTTATGTCCCGGTAGGTGCTCAACTAATCCTTACTGAATGGATGCGTACATACTGTCTACCTTCTGAAAAATGCACGAGTTAATGCGATGCTAACTTCTACCTAAACATGTGTCAGTGAACGCAAACCGCTCATCTCTAGGAAAAAGTTCCCCACTTTTTCTAAGTTCTGAGCAGCCTTCTAGATTTGTGAAGTGTTTCCCTGGCAGGAGGCCAGCTCCACTCAAAGACTAGCCTTCCCATGCACAATCAAGGGACGAGTTTTTGTCCTTAACCTCTCTGCTCTTTCTCCTCTCTTTCTCCCTTCCTTATTCTGCTGGGGTCTTAAGTCAGAAGGTCAAAACTCAGAGCTCATTTATTTCCTCTTTCACATCCTGGCAAATGCCAAGTCCTGGAGGTAGCGTTAGAAACAGACGCGGCGCTTCGCACCTGCCAGGGCGACCCCAGGTCCTCATCTCATCCTGCTGCTTCCCCTCCTTAGCGTCTAGGAAAGCGCCCAGCGGCCCAAAGAGACATTTCTTCCCGCCCAACCCCAGCACACACTCTCCACTGAGACTGAAGAGAAAGCAAAGTCCCATTCAACCTAGCGGGCCCGTTCCGATCCACAGTTCTCCAAACCCCTTCGGCCGGAGAGGCCCGGCCCGCACTGCGGGCCAAGGGCGGGCTCCCGAGGCCTGCGAGCGTGGGGGGCGGCTGAGGCGGCCGAACACCCGGCCACCCCTCCTCGAGCCTCGCAGGGCCCGTGGCTTCACTCCCTCTCTCGCTGGTCCCTTACAGGGGTCGGATCAGCAGCTGGTCACTTTCCTCAGCAGGAATCGCAGACATCTCGGACGTCTGAAGGCGAAGCGCGGGTGAGGCTCAGGTCGCGGAGCCTTTCTAAATTGGAAGCAGAGCCACGAGAAACCACAGGTAGGAGAAGGCCATCCACCCAGAGCACAACTTCCGGCCCTCAGGCGCCCGCGCCACTAAGCTCTTCCCCCCAACTTCCGGTCGGAGAACCCAGGCCGCGAGGTTCCGCCCCCGGCGGCGTCCGGAAACCTGGGGTGGGGTCAGTTCTGCGCCTGCGCAATGCCTCGGAGGCGGGGCTCGGCGGGCGGGGCTCGGCGGGCGGGGCCTGGGGCGCCGGAAAAGCTGGCACTGGAATTCGAACCGGAGCGGCTGCCGCAGTGTCCGCTGCCCGGGCGGTGGGCGTCTGACCCCGACCGCAGGCGGCCCCGGGGGCGGGCCCGCGACTGTGAGGTGAGAGTCGGGCCCTGGCCGCTCCCGGACTGAGCGTGGCCGGGAACGCGGGCCCCGAAGGCGGCGCCGCTGGGGAGGCCCGCGGTAGGGCGGATGGGTGGGGCCGCGGGAGCTGCGGGCTCCCCGGAGACCCGCCTTCCTGGGGTCGGGGACCCTCGTGGCGGCGCGGGGCGGCGGTGGGAGCGGAGGAGCAGGCCCGGGCCTAGCGGGAGGATGCAGGGCCCCAGGTGCCGGGATCCTCTTTGGGGAGGGACCGCAGCGCCTGTGACGGCAGGTGTCGTGTGTGGCTCGGTCCCTCGGACGCGACACGGGAGTGGGAACCTCCGCAGGGCTGTTACCCGACTCAGACTCCGCTTTGCGGGGCGGTGAGGAGCCCTGCCTTTTTGCTCTGGCTCCTCTTGGTCTTGGCTCCAACCCCCTCCCCCCGCTGCGAAGGGCCGGAGTTGTGTCCGTCCTGTTTGCTGTCACCGTGCGCACCTGCACGTGGCGGGCACAACACGAGTGCGGACTACGTGGGAAGCAGGGTGGGGTCTGGGAAGAGCTCTGGCCGTCAGTTCTGTCTTAGGTTCCAAGCTTGGCCCCACCCATTGTTAGCCTGGCGACCTTGGGCAAGTAGCTGAGAGTTTTGGCTTCTTCATTTGAAAGGGGCTCTGATACTGCAGCCTTGCTGGTCAGTAGCAAGGGTTACAGGCAGGCACAGTACCTAGTACTGGGTGGCACGCAGCAGGTGTTGGGGACAGAAGTTGTTATTTGGGAAAAGGTTCTTCAGTTCATTAAATATGTCCTTTGCCAGTCTGTGCTCTGATGGATCCCTGGGATATAAAAGGTGCTCACTGGGTACCCAGGGATGAATGAACGATTCAGATTTTCTTGCTCCTCCACAAATTAATCAAAAACGTAGAAATAAGTTGGATGATGGGGCTAATGAAAAAGCTTGGGCTTGGAACTCAGTCTTGGGCAAGTGGCCTAAGGACAGACACTGGCCAGTGGCCTGAGAATGGGGTCTCCAGATACACTGGGAGAAACTTCTCACGGGAGCAGGGACATCCAGTAACCACGCCATGATGTGCTCATTCTTGTCCCTTCATCAGGTGCCTTGTTTTTCTGGAATGAACTGACCATGTCGGGATGACGGGAAGCGCTCTGTGCACACCGCTGTCTGTGGGAGCTTTGAAGGCCATAAAATAGAATTTGTTCTACCGTAAGCAGATACCCTTGTTCCCTTAGTAGGATCCAATCCTTGGAGAAGTTGTTAGGTTATCTTACTTATAAATCCTCCTGAAAGATGGGTCACAGTTCCCTCATCTATAAAATGCAGATCATAACCTACTTTCTGTAAGCCCCCTGAGGCCGGGGGCCTGGAGCTCGAAGCGTAATATGCAGCACAGACGAGGGAAACCCTTAAAAAACATCTGGAGCAAATGATTGTGTCTCCAGGTTGCTGTGAAGGTAAGAGTGACATGGTGCATTTGGAAGCATTGAACTATGAAGTGCTGCTATGCAGGTAACTTAGTAATTCTTCACGTATACAAGATGTGCTCCTATGCAAGGGGCAAGGGTAAATGTTGCTTTCCAGGCATCGATGATTACGTAAGAACAAGATATTTGCAAGACTGACCCTGGAAAACTCAAGGTCGCCTCCTTCCCTGGCCTTACAGGAGTGAGGAGGGGAGAGCTGGCACCTTGGAATGCTTTAAAGTCAGTTTGTACTTAAAGGGAGCTCCAGGCCTGGAGAAAAGGGCGCATTCTGAGAGGTGTCTGTGTCTTCTGTTCTAAGCCCGACCGTTCACAGAACATGAACCCGAGACGGCAGCTGAAGCTCAGCATCTTGGTTGTCAGCCAACGTGTCACATGTTTTACTAAGGTCTTGAATTGAGTAAAGACAGGTCAGGTGCTTGAATGTTCTGAGGAGTCCATGACACGCGGATGTTACCTCTGAGAGCGCTGCATCTCACGCCCCTGGGTCGGACAGGAAGGTTTCTGTCCTTCTGGCTCATTGGGTTCGATTTTTCAAACTTAAAAAGAAATAAAGAACAAAACAGTAATATCCAACTCTTGTGGTCAAAGGAAAGTATTTGTTTCCAGTAAGAAGACTATGCCGTGGACCCAGAAGGAACGGGTGATCTTTATTCCCGTGACGCATGGAGTGATTTAAAGTTGTTTTCCTGCCGTGACTAATTGCCGTTTGCTCTTCTAGGGGGAGCTCCTTTGCGTCGAGCTATGGTGAAAAATGTTTCGGAAAGGCAAAAAACGACACAGCAGCAGCAGTTCCCAAAGCAGCGAAATCAGTACGAAGAGCAAGGTGGGGCGCATGGGCTTCGGAAGAGGGCCCTAACGCGGGGGATTCTGGTCCCCTTCCCGGCGCGGCCGTACTGACCACGGCAGAGCTGCCCATGGTCTTCACACTAGGCGCGTCGTAACGTTCGCTTGTTGTACTAGACACACATTACCCTGGGCTCGATTTGATTTTATTTTGTTGTGGGGACCTTCTGAGATTATTACGTGCCTGAACCTAGATGGGACAGAGGACGGATGAAAGGGTCTCCTTGAAACACTGATTTTTTAATATTTTACATGATGGAAATTGCAGGCAGTTAGGGGCTGGCGTCGTGAATTCTGGGGTTGGTGCTTGTGTGTACATAACTATAGGTGTAGTTACTCGGGGCCGAGTTAGTTGGATAGTGAGGCAAATGCCACGTTTAGGGCTCCGGAGAGAGTGGAGAATGGGGTTGTAAAGGGGCCTCAGGGTCCTGAGTCCCCGTCCCTGGACCAGCCCGTGGTTCTTGGTTTCACTGCTATACACGCCCCCCCCCGCCCCCGAGCTCTCGGTTTGAAAGAGACGGGTGTGCCCAGGGCTGGCAGGTGGCAGGGACGGGAGAAGAGCCCGTGGCACATGTGGGAGGGTGCCCACCTCCGGGGAGCTGAGCCGCGCTAGCCGGTGCAGCCACACCGCAGTGAAGGCAGGCCCCGGACGGCCGCTGGGGAGCCTCACTGAGCCCATGGGGGCTTCTAGCCACAGGCACAGGAATTTGACATCTGTGGGAATCCTGCCTGAGAGTGGGAAGAATTGACAGTTTTCTTTAAGGGTTTTGAACTGAGGCTAGTGGAGAAGCTCCCCGCTGTCACCTCTGCAGCCCCCGTGTGGGGACCCCAACCCCGGGCAGCTGGTCTGGCCCCGTCTTGTTCTCTCGATCAGAGGCTGGATCAAGGGGGAGCTGATGACTTGCTGCCCGCAGAGCAGGACGGGAGCTCTGAGTTTTCAGACTCCGTGGGGAACCTGCTAAGGGCTTGAGATGTTCGTTCTGAGCCACGTCTTCTTTGATGTGGCCGTTGGGGCCGGAGAGGTAGAGAGGTGCAGAAGGGGCCACTGTCCCCACGATGACGGTGACCGCCTGCTGTGTGGCTTCGGAGCCGTATCGGGACTATTAGGTTTGGGTTGTAGGTTGATGGAAGCTTTTGTTGTCTGTTCTGGATGTGGGAAAAATAGACCAGCTTCTCCCTTCCTGTCCGTGTGCAGAGGGTCCCCAGGTAGGGGAGGAGCCTGAAGGACATGTCACTCTGTTACTCCAGCTGTTGTGCTCGTCCCAGGAGTCGGTCTCAACTTGTAACAACGTCCCGATTCCCACTGCCCCCGCCCCCCCCCCCCGAGTGTGTACGTTATTTCTGGTTTTCAGGCCCACACGGAACGTCATGGTGAACATCTCTGTGCCCACAGCTCTGTTCTCACCTTACGTTATGCGCTAAGAAGCGCAGTTACTGAAAAAGGGGAAAAACATATATAAGACCTGATACAGTTTCGGATTCGCCTCGATTCACTTCTCAAACTTTGAAAAAATTTGAGTGTATTTTCCTTTTAAAATCTCATTTGGATTTGAGGTGACTAGTTTTTAGAATCCGTAATTTTCACAGAGTGCTATTTCTAACGAAATGAAGCGTATCCAGAGTACAACTCTATAGAACCAGCCACGCTAACATGGAAGAGGCTTTGCATTTTGCTTAACAGTTGTGTTGCGTTTTCTTTGCAGTTCACATTGTGCACCGTGCTCTGGTCTGCGGGCCGGCCTGTGTGCGACGGTGCGAGCCCATCCTCGTCCGAGCAATTGCAGCGGCACGGGAGTGGCCTCCTTTGGAGGCCTGGGGGTATTTTCTAGATATAACCTTGGGTAAATCCTTTACCCCACTGGGTAGCTTTGCTCATTTATGATACGGATCTTGCTCCCTGCCTGCTTTCTGCACCGGGTTCTTTCTGGGGCCAGTGGAAATTAAGTGAGAGCAAGGCATAGATTTCCACACAACGACCTGACTTCCAGGGGGCTTACCAGGAGGCGGGGGTAGCAGCTGTGGTCTACACTGGGAGTGCCCACACCGCGTCTGTGTGACGCCCCTATGGGAAGAGGACCTGTGTTTTGACGTTTGCCGTGGAATGTGTCTTTAGAACATTCGGTCACACTCTTATCTGCCTGAAGAGTCAACCCGCTTTTGTTACGTGTTGATTCCATTTTAAGAAGTGATTTGAACGTTTGGTAGAGGATTTGAGAGAAGACAGCGCTTCTAATTCTGTTTCCATTTGTGTTTGTTCTTCCTCAGTCCGTAGACTCCAGCCTCGGGGGGCTGTCACGGTCCAGCACCGCCAGCCTCGACACAGACTCTACCAAGAGCTCAGGTACGGGGCAGGGCTGTACGCTTACCAAGGCTTTGACCTGGCGCTCAGGGAGCATTACCGGGGCAGCACAGCAAGCTCTTGTGCCCTGGGGGTTTTCGTTTTCTCCTCTGCCATTTTGGACAAGAGTTTAGAAACGGCCCAAGATCTTGTGGGACGCGGGTCGGCGTGAAGGGGCTGGCGAAAGCCACTGCTTGGCGGTCTGCTTGCGCATGTGGGCCGTCTGCTCGGAATGGCTCCTGGGGCAAACCCGTGTGCAGAAGATCCTGGTGACAATGTAGGGGTTTCAGAACAGCTTCTCAGGACGTGGGGTGGCAGAGTTCTGTTGGAATGGCCTTGTTTGTGGGGTGTAGGACCATCTTGCTGATGAGAGAGATGCAAGGGTAGCGTCTGTCACAGACCCTCAGAAACATCCTGCAGCCACCTGAAATTAGTAGCTCCTGAGACATCAAAGGGTAGCTTCCCACTCAGGCCGATAAATGGCTGGAGTCTAACTGGAAATATAAAAAACCATACATTTTTCTTGTCTACTTTTCCCTTTAGGATCGGAGACTGGTCAGTCTATGAAAGTGGGGATGGCAGAGGGGGAGGGTGGGATGAAGGGAGGAAGCATATGATGTAAGAGAGCATAGAGTAGCATAGGGTCTATTATTTTTGGTTCCAGATGCCTTAAAAACATGAAAAACATGGGCATCTTTTGTTACATAAACATAACCTAAACGTAACCACGTAGTATTCCTCTAACATGGCAGATTACATAGTCCTTTGTGGTGATTTGGGCCCCGGCTGGATTTTACAGCCCACACAGTTCTGCAGCCTGATGCCATCTGTCGTGTAAAGTAACATCAGTTGATGTTAAGGGACTTCCTGTCTGGCATTATTCCATCTACATGAAAAAAACAATTACGGGTTTTTTGTTTGGCTTTTTTGACCAAACTACCTGGCAGAGGTAGACCTGGTTTGCTGAACGGGGAAAGCAAATTCATCGTTAACGTAGTAAAGAGGAAGAAGAGACTAAAAAACCTCTAAATATCTTAATGTATCTTGAAGGCACTCAGTCGTTTTCCAGTTGACATTTATTTTTCTCCTGTGTTGTAATTTGTGCCTTTTGAGATTTTTCTGTTGAGTGTATCATGAGTCACTGAAGACAGGGTTAGTGAAATCCCAAGTTCTTTCCTATTACTTTAAATAATTCTGCATTAAAAGTGTTTTATTTTCACTAATGGTTAAGTTCTGACAAGTCTGTTTTTTTACTTGCGAAGGGGTTGAGGGTACCCCATAACGCAGGTACTTCTTTTGAAGTCTTACCGTTAACAATTTTCCTTTCACCTTTAGGACAAAGCAATAACAACTCAGATACCTGTGCAGAATTTCGAATAAAATACGTTGGTGCCATTGAGAAACTGAAATTCTCTGAAGGAAAAAGTCTGGAAGGGCCCCTAGACCTGATAAATTATATAGATGTTGCCCAGGTAAAAGAATATATATATGTATATGTATATTTTAAATATTAGAACATTCTAGAGAATAAATTCATGGCTTTGGAGAAAATGTTCCATGCTTTTATCACTGTTAGTATATTTACTGAACACTGTCGTCATAGGTGGTACAAGGTATGTAGGACGGAGTCCCATGGGAAGAGACAGTTCTTTTCTTCAATAAAACAGCACTTTTTCCATTCTCAAGGCTGACTGAGCTCCTCATATAAATGAGCGGAGTGCGGGGACTGGTCACACACCGTAGGTCTGTGTTTTCAAATCGTCTGGCAAACCCTACTGTATCTCCATTGACCTAGTTACAGCTCTTCGGATAATCTAACCCCTAGTGGTTTTGACCTGTCAGTTATACCCCGTTTGCAATAAGAACTGAGGTGAAGTGGGTTTCAAACACATATCCCAGTCAGTGGGCGCCCGGGTGGCTCGGTTGGTTGAGCTCCCAGCCCTTGATTTCAGTTCGGGTCATGATCCCAGAGCTGCAGGATTGAGCCCCATGTTGGGCTTCAAGCTGAGTGTGGAGCCTGCTTAAGATTCTCTCGCTCTCTCGCTCTCTCGCTCTGTCTCCCCTCTCTATCCCTCCCTCTGCCCCTCTCGCCTGCTCGTGCTCTAATTAAAAAAAATATATATGTCCTAGTCAAGAAGAGTAAAAAAAAATACAATTATGAAGGAAAATTAAGCGTGAAAATGAAAGACCCTCAAAGACGAACGTCGTGCACAGAGTACTGCGCGGTGTGTGCCCTTCCCGTGTGCGAGTGGCTGAAACAGAACACTTCAGTCGCTTCCTGAGCCCCCGCGGGAGGGAGTCACAGGTCTCGGGGGTTAACGGGCAGCACAGCGGGAAGAGCCCCTCCCCAGGGCGAGCGCGCCGGTGGCTCCGTGACGTGGGCCTGGCGGGCCCCGGAGAACCGAGGGCACGGGAAGCCCCTTCTGCCCGAGGGGAGCAGGCCGTCCGCGCGCGTGGGCCGTAGCCCGGCGTTCAGGCTGCGGTCGTCGCGGCAGCAGCGCGCAAGCGACAACCGGCACAACCACTTGTACTGAAGGGGGCTGACGTCCCGTCCCCGCCCGGACTGGGACGCTTTTCATCCTGAGAGGTTTCCCAGGCCGCCCGGGCCTCGTCAAAGCCCCGCTGGCGGCAGCAGCGTTGCCCTGATCCCATCTTTGGCTTCTCGCGATGGCGGAAGCGCCGTGAGGGACGCGGGCGGACGCTCCGCAGGCGCCTACGCCCGGGTCGCCCGCCGTCGCCGGCTCGGCCTCGCTTGCTGTGGGAGGACAGAACCAGATAACGCGCTAGGGAGACCGTCGGTGTCGTCTGCTCATCACACTCAAAGCCCTGGGACGGGGGCAGCCACACCTACCTGGCAGCAGGGAAGCCGTAAAGTGGCTCTGAAACAAGGTTCCTGCAGCTGCGTTTCCTGACGGCTCCACGTGCCAACAGCAGCAGAAGCCTGGAGTATCCGAAGCTCTAATAGGGGCACCTGGACGGCTCAGTTGGTTGGGTGTCCGACTCTTGCTTTCAGCTTGGGTCATGATCTCATAGTTCATGAGTTCGAGCCCCACACTGGGCTCTGCGCTGACAGCGTGGAGCCTGCTCGGGACTTTCTCCCCTTCTCGCTGCCCCTCCCCCACTCTCTCTCACACACGTTCTCTTTCCAAATAAATAAACTTAAAAAAAATAGATTTAAGATTTAAATACCTTTTTTTTTTTTCTTTTAATGTTTATTTTTGAGAGAGAGGGGGACAGAGGATCCGAAGCAGACTCCTTGCTGACGGCAGAGAGCCTGATGGGGGCGGGGTTGATGCCACAAACCATGAGCTCATGACTGAGCCAAGTCAGACACCTCATCTACTGAGCCATCCAGGTGCCCCAATACCTTTATTTTTCTAATGTAAACATCTAAGTCTCACTAGGACCTGTGGGAATGATTTCAGTTTATAACTAAGCGTTCACATCAGGACAGATGGATGTGAATTTTGCTCAGATCTGTGAACTGTGACAACAAAATAGAACAAGATCCTGGTGAAAATTTTTGTCTCTTTGGAGAACGATTCTTGCCAGGCTCCCGTGTACCCCACATTCTTAAAAGGGTTTGGGTTTGTGATGGGCGGATACTGAACTTGACTGATAAGTTTTAAGGAATGTGACAGAATTGTTAATGGAGATCATGTCATTTATTTTTACTTTAAAGCAAGATGGAAAGTTACCTTTCGTTCCTCTGGAGGAAGAATTTATTATGGGAGTTTCCAAGTATGGTATAAAAGTGTCAACCTCAGATCAGTATGTAAGTAGTATTTATTAGAGAATTTGGGAGTCAGGCTGGTTAGGGCCCATTTGTCATTCTGTCTGCTGTTTGTAGGCTTGTTGGTTGGTAAACGTTCCTGGCAGCTGGTCTTTAAAAACTGACTGATTTCCTTAATGGACACCTCCTTCTGCTCCTCGGGTACGGGTATGGGAGGGCCCCGGGCAGCACCCCCACTGCTGGCCGCTAATGCCTTTTCTACTTAGGCCCTCATGCTGGCTCACAGTAGATGTTGGCTTAGAAGCCTGGCATAGAGAAGGGGATCGTGAACTCAGATCTTACTCCCGTCTTTCTGGAATTTTAAGCAGGAAGGGATAACCCTGAAGGCTAACTGCCCCATTAACTGAACATTCTCAAACGTCCATTTGGGTGAAAAACCTATATAACTATTTTCTGCTAGATCCATAAGCCTCACAATAAATTCTGCACAGAAAACTAAGTGTGTAAAGCACAGGTAACATGGTAACCATGTCGCATCTCCCTGACTTCTGCAGGACGTCTTGCATCGGCACTCTCTGTATTTAATCATCCGGATGGTGTGTTATGATGATGGTCTGGGGGCAGGAAAAAGCTTATTGGCTCTGAAGACCACAGATGCGAGCAACGAGGAATACAGCCTCTGGGTTTATCAGTGCCACAGCCTGGTGAGGTTTCCAGTTGGCTTGCTTAGTCTCTCATTTGTCAGATGAGGGTAAAACCACAGCGTACCTATGGTCCTCTCAGAGGCTCTGGAGATGCCACCTGCTGTGCACCTGGGTGCCGTGGGTGGCCGTCAGGGCCCAGGTCAGCCAGCCGGCCCTGACTTGCTGCTGGCGGGCAGTTGTCCGGGCGGGATTAGTACTCATGTGTGCTGGGATCTCAAGGTCAAGGCTGTTGCAAGGCAGGTGAGGAAAGTGGTGTGCCCTCCTGAGCAGAAGCCCCTCTTGTTCTGTACGTGTGATCTTAGGGACCCATCACGCTCCTTCCCAAAGGCCAAGTTCATGTTACCACGCGTGCTTCCCCAAAGGCACGCAGGAAGGGGGCACGTGACACACATGGTATCCTGTTGATGGGCAGGTCTAGGAGAGGTGTTAGGAGGGTCCGATCTATAGATTTGCCGTCAAATTATACTCGGGAAGAGATGGATAAGGTCTCTTACGCTGTCTTTTCCACCCACTGTAGGAGCAAGCACAAGCTATCTGCAAAGTTTTATCCACTGCTTTTGACTCTGTGTTAACATCTGAGAAATCTTGAATTCTGCAATCAAGTAGAAGCTAACTTCGTGTGGGAGTTCAGTGGTTTCCAGGGTTGAGCTATTTTGGAAGAAGGAAGTGATGAAAGTGAAGAAATGCAGCGTGTTAACATACTGATCATTTGCTTTTCTATTAAAACGTGTCTTATTACAGTGAGTGAACTCTCAGCGAGGTTCTCTGCTTTCTGGGACTAAAAAAGAAACCTCACCCATCGCTTTTAAACACAGATGAGCTTAGCACCCAAGTGTCACAGAAGGCCCTCGTGAGTAGGGAGCACGGAGAGCTTTCCGAGGAGGCCACGTGCAGTCCATGGTGCAGCATGTGTGCACCCCCTCGCCCCCGGGAGCACCACTCACCCAGTCTGTAACAGCAATGCAGCGCTGCCAACTCATGACACAAAAAGTAAAACTGTGAAGGTGTACCGTCAGGATGACACACTAGGAGACTGAAGTATTTATCTCCGCTCACAGACCAAAGATCGCCACGCATATTAAACAGTAGAGAAAGAATTGCATGTACAGTAGGCTAGTGGGTTTTTCTAAAGGACCATTTTAATATGCAATGCTTAAAGGATTAAAAACATTAAAAATAACACTATGTCCATTTACAGGTATTTTATTTTTTTCCAGTCAAATGACTAGTTAACAGGAGGAGTCACCTTATTGAACATGCTCTAATTATAAATCACTGCGGTAAGGACCACGAAAATAAGAACTGATTTAGGTTATACATTATATACAGTTGCGCTGCAACTAATTCAAAGTAATCAAGTGAATGAAAGAGTATCATCCATCTCCAGTAGCGTTCCGAGCCGCAGAGTGCGCCATCCACCCCTCAGCAGACCACACAGGAGCTACGAGTCTGTGCAGGCATTTGAGTCCTCAGCCCTCGAAGTCAGATCTGATGGAAAGTGGCAAGAACATGCCAGAATCCCGCAGCTACGTTCACGAAGCGTAAACTTTAAATATAAATAGGTATCTACAGTGTTTTCCTTTCTCCCAAGTTGTTTCTTAATTTGCAAAGAGCAAAGAACTAGGAAAGGATGTTATCAGGGAAGGTACTAGAGTTTCTCCTCTGGCAAGAGTAATATTAATTACTGCACAATAGCACCACCAAATTGTCAAGTGGAAAAACAGTTCCTAGATATTTCTGTACCAGTGAACCGGATAGATTAGTTTGGGAACTGGTGTTTAAATGCCGGTGAGAATCAACTTTCATTCCTTATAAAGCTGGCACCAAGTAGTCAAAAGGCGGATTATGAGACAAAATGCAAGAGGACTGTGTTAAAATATACGTAAGAAGTGCACTGTGCAAAATATAGGTTTACTTTCTTAAATCTACAAGGGAATTAACTAAATGGAAGGGTTCAAACAACAGAAATGAACAATTAGTGAAAACAGATGTAGTGCTTTAAAATCAAAACAAAACTAATTACAGATCTAACATATTTTTACCCGGAACTTTGAAAGGCAAAAAGCAATTGCCACACAACATCATAAAACATTCCAGTTTGTTCTGTTTTCCTTTATAAGAACAATAAAAAGTAGAATGCAATTAATAATGGAAAAAAAAAAACACAAAAAGCTCTGCACTTACTAATAGAGACAGGCTGCTCCAATCAAAGGTACCATCGTAACCATGCGATGAAAACATCGCTGCCTCGCTTTCCAAGCCTGGACCTAAGCTTATCCCTTTAGTTCTGGTAAAAATGCAAGTGGGCATTATCGGCCTATTCTCAAAGAGTGCCGCAATGTCCAGTATTCCTATTACGAATCTTATACTCACGATTACTAAATAGAGGTATGATAATCAAGTTGGTTAAACTCACGAATTTTGGTTTATTGTAACACAACCTAACCCCCCACCCCCAGTGAGAATGACATGATGGATTTCAGTAGACAGTGGATGTCTGTCCAGGAGTGTTTTATTACCTGGGACCTATAAATTTCAGATATGCTCTTGGTTACAAGCGGACAGATTCGACTTCAAGACAGCATAACTACCATTCCTGCTGGCGTAGTATATAAACACAAGACACTAAATTGAGTAAACATTCTCGGGGAGCCGGAGAGGGAAGGCAGCAGTACACTCAATAGGAAACGGCAAGTGTGTGTGAACACAGTGGGGTCTGTGCCACGGTACTCTAGCTGGGTGACGGAGGAGGGTCAAGAAGGCAAGTTCTAGAACACCTAAAGCATATAAACTAAAGAACTGTTTTGCAATCCATCATCCTTAGTCTTTAACCAAATTCAGGAAATGCAGTTTTCTCTAACGTGGAACTGAATTAACTGCTAGGACCATATGCCGTAATAAACCATAGGTAGCTTGGTTAAGCAGGATTGTTCACAACAGGCTACACGCACATGCAGAATACAGTGATAGTTGCAACCTCACAAATTAGGGCTGGAAAGTACAACGCTAAGGCGTCAATTTCCAAGTTGCTTGAACTAAACCTTGGGTGGATTTCAAAGGAAATCTTTAAAGGTTTCTTAAAAAAAAAAAGTCTTTAAAGGTGAACTGACAGCATTTTATCTAGACAGTCCAGGACTGGGCTACTTCTAAAGCAAGTTTACCAACCAAAGACAACTGACTAACCGACTCTAGAAGCAGGCTGAGGAGAGCTGAGGAATTTCTAATCCTCAAACGTTTTCAGGTTCAGCTAATTCTGTAGGTTGAGGGTCTCGATTACACAGCTAAAATAACTTCTCAGTTCACCTTTTAGGGAAGTCAGTTTTTCCTAACAGAAGTATGGCAGTATTTCATGAAAACCACAACTTATAGAAAGAATCCATTTATATACACACACAGTTGCCTCTGAGTGCGTAAAACAGAAGAGCGGTGCTGGCGAACGTGGGCTGCCCTACAATACGTTTCATGGAACCGGTCATTCTGGCAAGAGTCTGGGCACCAATAACAGAACAGGGACATAACAGCTGTTAAAAGAAGTGGGTTTTTTGTTCAGTAGCAATTCAGTCAGCAATAAAGTGCACAAATGATACAGGAAACGCTCCTTTGCGACTGGGGTCCCCATCAATGTGGCCGATCTGAAACGAACAAAAGTTCAGGTGGTTATAAAAATTCTAGATGTTGGAACCCTTGAAGGACATTATACAGCATTTGGAGAAAAAAGGGAAGGAAGGTTCGTTCAGAAGAACTTCTGGGAAAGAATTACTTGGGTGAGACATCTAAACTGTTTTGCCTTTTTTCTTTCAACTCATGTTTCAAATATAGTTGACCCTTGAACACTGGGGGGGGGAGGGGTTAGAAATGCCACAGCCACACCCTCCCCACAGCTGAAAATCCACATACAACTTGTGACTCCCCCAAATCTTAACCACTATTAGCCTGCTGACCAGAAGCCTTCCAGAGACATAGTAAGTTACCACTCACGCATATGCTATGTGTTCTTAGGATAAAGCTAGGGAAAGAAAATGTTAAGAAAATGAGGAGGAAAAAATACATTTAAGTGCTATACTACTGCATTTATATATAAAAAACTCCCCATAGTAAGTGGACCCACGCAGTTCACACCCGTGTCCAGAGAACCGCGCCGTGTGCCGGCTGTGTAAGGAAGCGCTCTTTGATAGGTGGGCCAGGCGTCTGCCCAGAAGCACACTCACCAAGGTCCTGGCGTTCTTGGGGGGGAGGGCGGCTGATTACTGTCCCCCAATTGCCTTTTTTTTTTTTTAAATGAAGAAACTGAGTGTCACAAGTTTGTGAGTTACAAAGTCACAGAAAGTGGCAAATGTGTGGTTGGCTCTATTTCAATGTAGTCAGGCGTTTACCAGAGGCTGCAGCAGATTCATTTGTTTTCACTCTGGATAAATTCTAGAAGTTATGCACCAAGAATGATCTCAACAGTGTAAATTAGGGAGGTAAGTAAAGTCTAAAACAAAACTGCTATAACACAGCTGGTGAGATTTTGCAGGAGGGGGGGCGCGGGTGCCGACCTACTCGCACTGACAGAGCAGAGCTCAGCCTGCAGGGCGGGGCTGTCTCCTGTGTGGCTGACCTCCCAGACTCCGGCACGAGGCCCACTGTCATCTGTCACAGCTGCCCCTCACTGGGGGCCTTCTGTATACTCTCTCCCACTGCTGCAGTGACTCCCCTTTCACAGACAAGGGGCCGGGGCCTAGCAACACAGGCAACCTGCCCAGCGTCACCGAGTCTGTGGAGTACGGGGCCTGGTCCCTTAGGGTCACCGGGCACCCTGCCACACTCCCCTATCCTTGCTTCCACCGGATGTCACCACTCCTTTCAGGACCCAGGCAGACACGCAGGGACTGTGCCCCCACGTGAACTTTCTACACGCCCGCCACCACCAAACCCGTGGTGTCGGGGACGACAGTACCATCGAAACTCAAGGCCTCATTTCAGACCCTCGAGTGAACTCGGGACTGCAGCCCAAGTGCCCGCCCAGCCTGTGAGAAAACCCACCCGGGAGGGAAAGCTGGGCCAGAGACGTACACGGGGGCACCCAGGCCAGCGGTGCTGAGGGCGCGTGGGCGGAGGGCCTCGCCTGCGAGCAGACCTCTCGTGCCAGGTGGGCTGGGATTTGCCTCCGCCCTCCCCGGACGTCCCGGGCCTGGACCCCCGACTCACCCACCACTCCTGGTCCTCCTCCCCGTCCACGATGATCACGTCCCCCTCGGAGAACGTCAGCTCGTCAGGGTTGTCAGCCACACAGTTGTAGAGAGCTTTGACCCGCTTGGGCTTTAACTTGGTCTGTATGGGGGGGGGGGGTCAGAGGTTAGCGTGGCAGGAAGGCGTCAGCTTGCGGGGCAGGGAATGGGGCCGCTCTGTTTCTAATCGGTGCCAGGGTGCTGGCCCAGCAGACCACAGGCGTCAGGACGGGCGGCTCGGTGTGGCTCAGGGGCGGGGGGACTTCCACAAGGCCTGGAGCAAAGGTAAGCAATCCCAGAAGAGCGCAGAGAGCTGGGGGCGGGCGGCCCCGTGCCTGTGTGACAGAGCTGAGCCCTGCGACCAACCATCCCACATTCGGGAAGAAGCCTCCCCTCCGCCCACTCAGGGTTCCTCGGAGTCTCCTGCTCATGACTGGCCCGGAGCACCAGCACCAAGGCAGGAAAGGAGGGGCTCTTCCACTTACGGTCTGTGACTTCCTGGGCATGGGGGCTGGGGGCTGCAAGACCACGCTGCTGGACAGAGGACCCAGAGCTTCCGTTCCAGAGAGATCCACTGCGTGAGGCCAAAATGAATCAGCTTCACCAAATGCCCTCAGTTGTAACCACCGAGTTATAAACAATATAAATGCCACAGTGCCATGTCTGACGGGCAGGTTTCCTGAGATTTTTCTCATCTACTGAGGGAAATGTCCCTTCAAATCCCAAAAGCCGAGTGACTTCCATGCACCCTCTGTAGAGTGTGCAGAGCATGTGAGTGTCACAGAGCGGGACAAAGGCCACGAGCATCTCTGCAGATTTCTAGATCCCCGCTGGGAACTTCCAGCCCCGCCCCCATCTGAAGGGGCCAGTATGCAAGACTCAGCAGGGAGCAGCCCCAGCTGTGGGGGGCGGGGGGGGGGCAAGGTGGCAGCTGGGGCCCGACTTCGCTGGAAACGCCTCCGCTTTCCACACAGAAGTACACCCCAGTAAAGGAAATCATTACCAGGTCCTCTCGGCTGGCCTTTGTTGATCAGTGGGGTCGACTTGTCGGCCCTAAAAGGGGAAAGTAGATTTACTGAGGTCTGAGGCCCCACAGCACATCATCTGTCCCCACCTCACCCCCCCTTCATAAAGGAATCTTCCATCTCATCTCAGAATGAGGTGAAGAAAACATGGAAAAAAAAGTTTTACACGTATTTTCAAGGAACTAAGAAGGTCTAACATGTGAAGGCCCCACCCGTCTGACCCATCTTGCCATTTGATGTCCATCAGTGTCAAGACAGAAATCACCATGCTGGGGGCGCCTGGGTGGCTCAGTTGGCCGAGTGAGTGACTTTCATTTCAGCTCAGGTCATGATCCGAGGTCATGGGATCAAGCCTGTGTCAGGGTCAACACTGAGTGTGGAGCCTGCTTGAGCTATCTTTCTCTCTCCTTCTGCCCCTTTCCTCAACTTGCACTCTCTCTCTCTCTCAAAAAAAAAATTCATGCTGACCCCCTCTGCCCTTAGTCACCCCCAACTACAGAACACCTACAGGAAAGGCCTGAGCCTCTACGACACCAGGCAGCAAACCTTTCTAAAGGGCTTGGTAGTAAGTAGTTGAGGCTCTGTGGGTTATAAAGTCCGTCAGGACTACTCAGGGCTGCCACCACAGCACGACAGCAGCCACAGGTGATGCACAGAGGAGGGTGACTATGTGCTACCCGCTTTATTTATGGCCACTGGACTCTGAATTTCATATGATCTTCATGTGTCAGGGAGCCTGGGTGGTTTAGTCAGTTAAGTGTCCGAGTCTTGATTTTGGCTCAGGTCATGATGTCATGGTTGTGGGATGGAGCCCTGCGTCCAGCTCTATGCTGACAGCGCAGAGCCTGCCTAGGATTCTCTCTTTCTCTCTCTCTCTGCCCCTTTCCTGAGCTCTCCTTCTCTCAAAATAAATAAACTTAAAAAAAAAATCTTCATGTGTCATGACATAACGACTTCTTTTGGTTTTTTCAACCATTGAAAAAAAAACAAAGGAAACCACCTTAGCTCACGGGCTGTACAAAAACAGGCCCGGGGCTGATGAGGCCTTGGGAGTAGTGTGCAGACTCCTGCTCGAAGAGAACAAAGGTGAAAAGCCGGATTTATACCCAGGGCTGGGTTGGGGGAGGGCACTCCCTTTACAAAGAGGCCACAGCTGTGTCTCCTTCTCAGACAGGAGTCCAGCAGGCAGGGATGACACGCTGGTCTCCATCCAGAGTTGTCTGGGAGATGCCCCAGCACCGCCTCCCCTGCACCTGCCCCACCTCTGCTTCTGCTCACGTGAGAGGAGAGAAGATGATTCCACGGAGCAGGTAAAACCAGGTAAGGCTGTGCTAACATATCCAGCAGCCCCAGTGCAGACTCTCCTGCGAACCAGAGCACCCAGAAAGACCGTGCCCAAGACCTCGCCCTGGCAGCCAATGCCTCCCGTCCTCAGAACCACCGGGAGATCGCCAGCAGCCGACTGGTGCTCATCCAGAAGCTCAGCATGGGGTCTGGGGTCTCACAGAACAGCCCAGAGAGAGCAAGTCTGCAGGGACTACAGGGCGAGCAGGGAGCAAACAGAAGCAGGGCACCAGCCCTAATGCAGGAACTAAGAGACGCTCAGCCCAGCCTGCGGCCACTGAGGGCAGACATGGGAGCGCAGTCCCCACCGCGTGACTCGGTGACTCCCAAGACTGCACGTGTGCTGCCTGGAACGGGAAGGCAAGGATGTTCACGTTCTAGTTTAGAGACAGATCTTACAAGGAAGCATCAAAAAAGTTCTGAGAATGTTCTGGTTAAAAAAGTAGGTCTGAGGGGTGCCTGGGTGGCTCAATCGGTTAAGCATCTGACTTTGGCTCAGGTCATGATCTCCAAGTTCCCGAGTTTGAGCCCTTCGTCGGGCATCCCATTCTTGCTTGCTCCTCTCTCTGTCCCTCCCCTGCTCGTGCTTTTTCTCTCTCTCAAATAAATAAACTTAAAAAAAAGTCAGACTGAAATACATTTACTTCTACTTTCTCCCAAAGAAAACAATTAGAAAAAACTTGAATCAGGGGCGCTTGGGTGGCTCAGTCAGTTAAGCATCTGACTCTTGGTCTCAGCTCACGTCATGATCTCATAGTTGGGCTCCCCTGACTGGGCTCCAAACTGAGCATGGAGACTGCTTAAGATTCTCTCTCTCTCAAGAAAGAGAGAGAAAGAGAGGGAAGGGTGGAAGGAAGGAAGGAAAAAGAAAGTAAGAAAGAAAAAAAGCTTAACCTAAAAAGAACAATGAGCACTGAAAAAGAAACATTTTGGAAGTGGCCACTGGAGGGAAGAATCCGAACCATGGCAGCTCATCTGAGGAGGGAGAACCCTCACACAGTGAGGGAGCCCTGAAGGTCCCCAATCTGTGCTCTGAGGCCCCAAGGCTTATGAGACTGTGGAAGGGGGAATAAGGCACGGTAATAGACACAAGGATTAGCCCAAAATCTGCTCAAAGAACTACTGAATCCACGGATTCCCAGCCCAACCCTGAGCAACTATCTTCCCTCAGCCCACTGAAGACCAGGAGCAGAGAGGGTAGAACTGAGGGTGTCTGGACTTGGGGGCACCAGTGTGATTTCTGGGAGAATCTTTATAAAAAGGGGGCTAAGTTAAAGCTTAACTTGATTTCTATATTCAACTCCCAGAAAATCTGCTCCCATTAGGCAAAAGATGAAATAAAAGAACATTCTCTAAGGAGCCTGAGTTGTTCAAGAAAAAAGGCCCTAATTCAGGGTTCCCCAGTGAAACTGCCCAGTGAGACCCTCCATAGTGAAGTCCACAGTGACAGCTCTGCACATGACGGTGCAGTCTGCAATCAGGTTTTTTCAAGTGTTTATTTTGAGAAAGTGTGTGTGCGTGAGCAGGGCAGGGAGGGAGGGGGGGAGAGAGAGAGAGAGATAGAGAGAGAGAGAGAATATCCAAAGTAGGCTCCAAATAAGCTATAAGTGCAGAACCCAAGGCAGGGCTTGATCCCACAAACCATGAGATCGTTACCTGATATGAAATCAAGAGTTGGAGGCTTAACCAACTGAGCCACCCAGGCACCCTTAGCTTGAATGCCTCAGTTGGAGTGGCAACTTTGGGGCAGGAAATACCAGATCTGTAAGGAAAAGCCTTACAGATAAAAAAGCCCAGAAATAAAAACAATGGACATGGAAGAAACAAACTATGCATAAAAGCCAAAGCTAAACTACACAAAACACACCCCCATAACCATCATTAATAATCTGAGATGAGAGAAAATGATTTCATGAAACAAAAAGGATACTAATAACTTGAAAATTATGTGGTGGCTGAAAACAAAAAGCTCAGTAAAAGAACTGCAAGATAAAATGAAGAAAATCTCCCAGAAGATAGACTTAAAAAGCAAGCAAGCAAGGCCAGAAGGTGGCAGAGAACTGTCTCTTCCACTGTGCAGAGCTACGCTTCCAGCCCCGGCCTCCAGGTGGAGCCATGGGACTGGCTCTGGTCAAAGGCACCCCCCTCCCCCCTTCCCAGTCTCTTCCTCAGGAAGTAACCCTGGGAACAGGCACATGGATAAAGAACGTAGCTTCAGAAGCAGAAAGGGTCTGGGTCTCTGACTCACCCATTGGGGCTGCTGGACAAGTGAGAATATGGGAACTCGATTTTGTGTAAGAAGTCAACTTCCATATGTTGAACCACAGAGACTCAGGGGTAGGCTGTCAGAGCTGTCAGCTTACCCGAATGAAAGGAAAAGAGGACACATGTAGAGGAAAGGCCAGTGCAGTCTGGCATCTGAATACGAATTACATTAGAAGCAAGAACAGAGGGGCACCTGGGTGGCTTGGTTGGTTAAGTGTCCGACTTTGGCTCATGATCTCACAGTTCATGAGTCCGAGCTCTGTGTCGGTCTCTCAACTATCAGTGCAGAGCCCACTTCAGACCCTCTGTTCCTCTCTTTCTCTGCCTCTCCCCTGTGTTCTCTCTCTCAAAAATAAACACTTAAAAATAAATAAGTAAATAAATAAATAAAAGCAAGAACAGTGAACACTGAATTAAGGCATTAAAAAAACGATCAATGAAATTTCTCAGAACTGAAGGAGGTAGTTTGTATCCTGAAAGGCTCCATCATCCACCTGGTGGCATGGATGAAAAAAGGCCCACCCTGGGGAGTCAGAGCCTCGGCAGGGACAGGAAGCCTGATGGGGGTGCAGCTGAGAGGAATGGAGGTGGGTGGCTGGCTGGACAGTGAGAGCCCAAGCAAGGTGAAGATGACCTCCACGTGGGCTCCCAGTTCTCAGCAGGGTGAGGAGGAGGTGGAGGCAGAGATGGGAGGCTGGCTTCATAGGGGTATTTGATCAAGTCAACCCGGGAGCCAGATTTCTCATCACTTGAAAAGGGAGTAAGGAGCACGGAAAGGGAGACTAGAATGGACCCTGTGGTGCTCTGAGAACACTGCCTGCAAACCCTTTCCTGGGAGCTGGAGTCCACACCACTCTGTGCTATTGCACCATCCCCACGCCTGAGTCTAGGCTCTGCCACTGTTTGACCAGTGATAAATGGCAGAGGCAGCAACCCACCGTTCTCCAGGGCTGTGGCTGTCTCTCGGGATTTGTTCTTGGGCCCAGCCACCATGACTCGAGGAAGCCCTCGCCACATGGAGAGGCCACGTACGTGCAAGCTTTCTAGCCAACAGCCCCAGCTGACAGCCAGCATCAACCAGATGTGTGGACTGGAGAGATGATACGAGCCTCAGCCTGTGAGTCACTTTCCGTGTTGGACCATCCTCGGCCTTGAGTCTTTCTAGGGTCTCAGATATTGTGAAGAAAAGATAAGCTATCTTCACGATGCTGATCCAAATTCTTGGCAAACAGAATCTGGTAGCAGAATACAATGTTTGTGTCTCATGTCAGTAAGTCTTGGTGTGGTTTGTTACTACAACCGAAATGGGACAAAGTGTGAACTCACAGATTGACACGGAAATAGAAATGCAGAGGGAAAATGTGTTTCTAAATACAGATATGCACATAGGATGTACACCTATGTACATACGTGTGTGTGTGTCCCCAGTTCTGTCTAGAGGGCTTGCGTGGGAGCAGTGACACCCAAGAGCAATGAGCACACACAGCCCTCGGATCTTGGCTTCTAAGTATCACTGTTGGCGGGACTCCCGGGTGGCTCAGTCGGTTAAGCGTCCGACTTAGGCTCAGGTCACGATTTCAAAGTCTGTGGGTTCGAGCCCCGCGTTGGGTTCTGTGCTGACAGCTCCAGAGCCTGGAGCCTGCTTCACATTCTGTGTCTCCCTCTCTTTCTGCCTCTCCCGCACTCGCTCTCTGTCTCTGCTTCTCAAAATAAAATAAAGACATAAAAAATTTTTTTTAAAAAGTATCACTGCCGCTAAAAGAAACCATTTCCCCCCTATAAGGATCCAGCTTGAGACCATGAACTGGACCCCTTTGTGGTAAAGGACGTTATTTGGACAAGAGGCAGACCTTGAATGGGTTTTAAGAACTGGAAGGCAGTAATGTGTCTATGTTAATGTTCTCTCTCTTAAACATTTTTAAGTCATCTCTACACCCAATGGAGGGCTCGAACTCACAACCTTGAGATCAAGAGTCGCCCGCTCCACTAACTGAGGCAGCCAGGCAGCCCACTGTGTCAGGTCTGATTGTGCTGGTTGTATTGTGTTTACGCAGAAAAACACCCTCGTCTGTGGGAAACATGCCCACGTTGCAGAGAGCGCATATGAGCAAGATAACCTCGCAAGCAAACAACACGTTGAACCTACAGGCCTAGCGTCTTGAGGACGACCTTCATTCCCAAAAACCCAGTGCCCGTGCTAAACAGAAACCTACACGCATTATGAGGATATAAGACATACATTTGTATGAAATTTGTATGAAAGTTTAAAAATTCTTGATTAATTATTTTTAAGGCGCTTAAACCTGATCGATTAGTCAGGTGACACCTGAACTCAAACGTTATAGTAGAAGCACTGGACATTTCACATATTTGCACAGAAATTTCAGATAAAGTAACGGGCCACTGCTGCTTGGAAGCTCCTTGACGGCAAGAGGCCAGGCCCCGCGGGGCCCACGAAGGCAGGCGCTTACCCGGGAGCAGGCCTCTTCTGCGGGAGGCGGCTGGGCGGCTGGGGGGGCAGGGGCGGGGGCAGGGCCTTGCTCGGGGGGACCCCGGGCTGGGCCGGCTTGCTCTGCTGGCTCAAGGCTTCGATCACACTGGGCGTTTTCGCCACTGGAGGGGGCGGCGTGGGAGCCAGGGGGTCTGTGGAGAGAAAAGGAGAGGAGCACAGGCCGTCAGACCTCGTCCTGACCCCCCTTCTCACTCACCCGGGGCTCCTCTCACAAGGGCTTCCTTTGTTCTATGGTGATTTCATAAGGAAAAAAACTCTTTTTATTGCAGATGTTTTAGAAAATAGTGTTGGCAGGGAGTCCTTCCGAGCCTCCGGTGAGTGTTAACATGTTTCTAGGAGCCTGTAGCTCCCCAGCTGGAAGTCCCTGTGGGAAAGCCACCGCGGTGTCGTGCTGTCCACCCTGGGACCCGGAGACACCCGGGAGGCTCAAGTGAGGGCCAGGGTCGCCCCGGGCCAATCCTCTCTCGGCCTCAGCTGGCCCGCGGGCCCTGCACCTTTGGCCCGGCCACCGAGAGGCCGTGGAGCGCTAACTCTAACGACTCCGTGACTGTGAGGGGGCAGGGCAAAGACTTGGGAGGCTGAGGATGAGAGAAGCGACGGGCTTCCCCGGAAGTCAGAGAGGTGGTCAGACGCGGAGCTGGCCCCGAGCCCCTGGCTCCTCTCCCCGCTTCCCGCTCTCTGACCAACATTAGTGCTGTCCCCAAATACACGGGGTCCTTGCTGAGGCGGTAACTGTCCTCAGGACAGGACGGGGACACCCAAGGAGACTTCTGGTGCCACCAGGGCACGTGCACGTGGCACGTCACCGCAGCTGGGGCTCGGCCTCTCCCGTCTTGGGGTACAAACTACAGGGAGCCACGAGGGGAGGTCTGCGCTCTCAGTGCGAGGCCCAAGGTGCTGGGGCCCCGCACCCCCCACCCCAGCAGAGCAGGGAGGAAAGAGGCTCAGGGCCTGCGTCCAGAGCTTGTCTCACTGCTCCAGTAAAGCCATTCCTCTTCTCCACCCCCTCCCAGTCCCTTCCTGGGACTTTCACCTATGTGTCGACACTGAAGAAAAACACGTACCAGATTATATCCAAAGGGCTGTGCCCACATATTGAGAAGCACCAAACGGCCAGAGGGAAAGAAGCCCTGGGCTCATGCGTGACAGGAGGAAATGTGGCTGAAATGCTCGGGAAGACAGAGGAGGAGAGTGTGTGAGCCCCCCGCCCGGCATGGGGTGCAGGTGGGACGGGAGCCGGCGGCCGGAGGGGCTGGGGCCAGGGCCGCACAGTGCCGGGCCCGCAGCAGCATCTGCTTGCGGGCGGGCGACTTCACAGCTCTCCCCACGCGGCCGCCGAGAGCACCCCCCAGCCATCCAGATCCAAAAGCCCATGGCAAGAAAGGAAAACGGAAAAAACGTACTGGTAGACGTCACGCGAAGAGGGGGCAGCGGTGGATGGACAGCTGGCGGATCTGACGAAGATCGCTGCCTGCTTACACCGTCCACACTTACAGAGTTTGTCTTCCACAGGGCGTTAGCGGAGGAGGCTGGCTGAACTGCACACGCACGCACATGCACACGCACGCACATGCACGCGCAGGCATGCACACATACACCCACGGATGCACGCACAAGCACAGAACAAAAACAGAAACAGAACACCGCATTATTGATCCTCTCTCTCAGAAAAATGGTAAATATGACCCCTCTAGAATAGCATTAAGACCACAAACAGAATGCTGATTTTTTAAAAAAATTCTTATCTCTGGTATCTGGAAGATGGACGCCTCTACACACACCAAACCAACGGTGCTTCTGGGAAAGTTATCAGCTGGTTTTCACAGTCTTACGGATTTTCTTTCTCCAGTAGGAGTACCGTTTGAAGAGGGAAACGAGTGACCATGATGCCATGCCCTGAGCACTGCACTCAGCCTGTAGAACGTCGGCTTCTCTCTAGCCGTCCATCCTGTCCTCCCCTGGGTGCCCACACAGGGGAGCACCTGTCCTCAGATCGCACGGAGAGAAGGGTACAAATGAGAGACAGCTGAGGGCCCCCCACCTCCTGCAAACACTTCTGGCTACAAGTCAGGTGACAGCAAGGAGGCTCAGCTGACACACCAGGGAGACGGCACTGCCCAGGTCACAGTCCTTTCTCTGCCCCACAAAGCTCCGTGCATAGGGGTGACCTGTGTCTGAGGCCGTGCATGGCCCACACGGTGGGGGGTGGGGGGCGGGCCTGGGGCGGAAAACAGGCACCCCCACACAGGGCATCCGTGCGGTGGGACATGTCTGTCCCAGGCAGGGACATGGAACGTTGGCTCCCTTTTCTGTCTGTTGTGTGGGCACAAGTGTGGATTAGGCCAAGAACAAGGGGGACCCTTTGGAGGCTACAGGGATGAAGCACAAGTATACCGTCAAAGACGGGCATGAAGCTAACCACAGAACAGCCAGAAAAATAAAGTATGAAAATCCCCTAAACCCTCTTAAGACTTTAGGAGAGCAAAAAATAAAGGTGAATGGTTTTTTTGTTCATTTTGCATGACCAACAGAGCAAAATAAAGTCTTTCCTCCAATGACACACAAAGTCAGCAAAAGCCACTAGTGGGGTGGAGGGGACCACACCACTGTGGCTGTAGCCTTGCATGCTGAATACATGTGCACGGAGAGTGGGGGGAGGCGGGGAGAGAAGAGGCCCCACGTGGACCCGATCGTGGCTGCCCTCAGCTCCCTGGGCCCCTGCTGGCCCTTGGGGTTTCTCTCCTGCCCAGGAACTGCCCCGACCAGCCCTGGGGTGTGGGCACACAGGGGCCACGCGCTCTGTGGGGGAGGGTAAGCGGGCTGTTTCTGGGGCCTGCCTGGGCAGCACCCTCTCCTCTTGGGGGTCTGCTCCAGTGACCCAGACCACAAGCCCAGCAGTCTTCTCTGGGCCTCCCTGAGAGTGGGGGCCACGGTAGGGGCGGCACAGACCCAGGTGCTGGTGGCTGCCATCCTCACCCCCTGCCTGGGCCACAAGCCCCACTCTCGCCCCCTCCCAGAGAGCAGCTGCTGTACAAATGTGATCGGGACAAGCAGCAGCGTCCAGCGGCCGCGGTGCAGGGACATCACATCCCCTTCTCACGGGAAGCCCTCCAGAGGCCACCGGCTGCGTCTGGCAGCCCCAGCCCAGAGCCGTGCCGCCCACTTGCTGGACCGGCTTCAAGGAACAGAATGGCCAGCTGGCCTTCAGTCCTGGGAAAATGACCTAACTTCTGGGGGCCTCAGTTTCCATTTTAATAAAAATAAAACCCAGCATCTGTTGAGTCCAACTCACCGTGTTGTAACAGAACAACCCCTAACGTCACGTGTAGCAAGCTCTGGCACTTATGGCCCTGGCAGGATCCACAGGGGTTATTTTGTATCTTCACAATTAGGGTGTACACTGCTCCCCACATTAGCATCTTTTTATCCTTCATTTCACGGGGATTGCAGAGATAAAAATAATCACTGGCATCACAAGCGGGCTGAATGCAGGCGGGGGTGGGTGAGGGGAGATGAAACAGGAAAGAATTAAGGCAGCGGGAGGGGTGGTGAGTGGTAAAGCAGACAGAAAAGGAACAGAGAGAAGGTCTGCGGGAAGGTCTCACAGGAGCAGCGTCAGGGGCTGAGCCACCCACCTCAGGCTGCCCTGGTGGAGTCCCCGCGCTCCCCAAGTGACACAGATGCCACTCCTCTGCCCAGGACAACGACAGAGTCAGAGACTCCACACACCCCCCAGCATCCTGAGACGAGCACTCCTTTAGGACGCCAACGACATGACTATAAGACACGAAACCCCACATGTCATCAAGCAGGAGGCAAAGCAACTAGAAACTTCCTAAAGCAAAGCCCAGACGACCCCTTTGTGCACCGGCAGGAGCTACAATGGTTCAGTACCTTTGGCAACGTTCCGTGGGGGCAGTGGGGGGGCGCTGGCCGTGCTGGGGGCCACAGGCTGGGAGGGTGGCGGGCTGCCGCTGAGGACGGCTCCGTACGTCTCGTTCTGCAAGATGCTGGGCACAAAGCTCCTCTGCTTGTCCTTGGCCAGGCTGGCGGCATCTCTGGCCAAAGAGGCGGCATTTGACTGCAGCTGGCTGGACCCCAGCTGGTAGAAGCTGACGGGCCTGTCTTCTCGCCGACTGGGACTGGGCTGCAGAGGGGTGGTGGGCAGAGGCGTGTGAAACGTGCGCACGCTGACCTCTTGGTCATGGCGTCCAGTCTACTTGGGCATGGTGCCTTTGTGGCTCTCCACTGTTACATGAGAGCTGCAAGGTTTAACAGCCACTCCTACCATGTCTCCTAACAGAGACCTACACATACACACACACACACACACACACACACAGCCATGATTCATACTTTACAACTCTCTGTTATGTGAAGGACTTAAAACACAGGCGACTGCATCCTTATTGGCCAGAGCTAATTTAACCTAGACCTCCATTTTCACTGCATTTCCCCTTTGTACATGTGCTGTCAACTGAGCACCCAGTTACAATCAATCCCCAACAGCTACGTGGCAAATTCAGGGGAGATCAGGGTTTCTTCCGGCATGAACGGACCTCTTGAGACTCCTCTAACTCAGGAGTCAGCAAATCATGGCCTGTGGGCCACCACTTGCTTTATAAATAAAGTTTTATTAGAACACAGCCATGGCTGGTCATTTACATACTGTCTACCTTGCTTTCAAGCCACCCTGCGAGAGCTGAGTAGCTGCAGAAAAGATGGTGATAGCTCAGGCCCACAGGCCCGAATATTCATTACCTGGCCCTTTCAGTTTGCTAGCCCTTGCTTCACCACGGAACCATGCCTTGGGTGATTCAGATCTAATTTGTTTTAAATGTCAGCTTCATTGTAACAGCTGTGATCTTGAGCAAATACCTTAACCTTGCTGACCCTATTTCTCCTCTGTTCAATGGTAGCACTCTGGTTCTCTGGCACAGTGCCAGCTTAGCAGATAAAATGTTGGCTGACACAGCCCACCTCCCCTCACAGGACCACCTGCCCAGTCAAGGCTCCGGCCAACCCAAATGCTCAAACTCAGCTCAGCTATACAAACTCTATGGCTAGTGGCTCTTCACACATATTTTAAATTTAACAAAGCCCATGGCTGTATGAACTACACCCTCCTTCTGCTGGAAACACAGAGTGGGTAGATGGGTGTTAGCACTTGCTGTCAGACTTCTGTTTGGACTGTGTGACCTGCTGTGTCCTGTCCCCACAAGAATGGAATGTGTGTACTCACTCTGGGCCAATGTGTCCAGTCTTTTTGTCAGGTGGGTAAGGATGACATTGGTCAGCTCTTCTCACTTTGATACTGTTTTCTACCTAACTCAGTGGAGAAGTTTCTTATTTGAAGACAAAGTAAGTACAGATGTTCACTGCTCCACTAGCGAGGACAGACAAGGTTTTGGAAATGCCGTATATATATGTAATCAGATGCGCTCGATGCCTATCAGAACACTCGACAGAAAGCTTTACATGGAGGGCACCTGGGTAGCTCAGTCGGTTAAGCGTCTGACTTCAGCTCAGGTCGTGATCTCAGGGTTTGTGAGTTTGAGCCCTGCGTCAGACGGGCTCTCTGGGGGCAGCACAGAGCCTGCTTCAGATCCTCTGTCCCTCCCCAGTGCACACTTGTGTGTGCATTCTCTCTCTCAAAAATAAATAAAACATGTGAAAAGAAAGAAGGAAATGTTACATGGCATTCCCCACTGATTTCACGGCAGCAAGGAGTGTGCGCTCTGGGGTCCGTCTGCTGGAGTCTGACTCGGCGCTGAGACCCGTGTGAAGGTGGGAACCTGCGAGGGGCCCCCAGGTGTGCAAGACAGAGTGTCAGGAGCAGGAGCCTGGACTCTGGAGGAAGTGCCCTCTGTCTGGCCCCAAGCTGGTCTCTAAATACTGGCCTCACTGTGGCCGAGTCGACTTCTCTCGAAGCTTCCACGACCCCACTGGATAAAGGAAAAAGTCAGACCCACAGCTCTAAAGGTCATTTAATGATTCCAGTTAAGGTTTTAACGACCAATGAGTGGATGTGACCCGTGACACTGGGGGCCCCTGGCTCTTTATCACCTGCACAGTGCAAGGGCTTCGTCTAAAACCCACTAGACGGGTTTTCTTTCCTCACGGGGAAATTTCTTTCCCTCAGGTCAGGCAGTGATCAGCTAACGACGACCCAAGGAAGGTTCCCCTGAGTCATCGATGCTGAGAGCTGGGAGCCGGGTGGCAGTGTGGGAGGGTGAGACCAAACACCTACTGAGATCAACGGGGGCAAAAAAGAGAACTCCGCTTTTTCTACAAAGCCACTGTGTGCAGAGGGGACGCTAGGACCCACCCCACTCAGAACGAGGCCCATCACGACAGCCCTGGCACCTGCGGCCGGACACTGACCTGCAGTTTCTCGTCCACATCGTCATCGCTCTCGTCCAGGTCTTCGTGCAACAGCCGCCACTCGTACTCGACGTGGACATGGGAATTAAACCTTCCAGACAAGGCCTGGGTCAGCTGAGAGGACGAAGGGTTGAGAAGCTGCTGAGAGGCGAGCAGCCTGGGGTGGTGTGGGGCAAGGGAGGCAGAGACCCCGGGGTGAGGCCGGCTGACTGAGATCCCCCCCCAAAACACAGACGACCTTGGAACACTTAGCTCCTACTCCCGTTTAGCGTTCTGTAAACTGCGAAGTGCCGTAGGCAGCCAGGGCTATCTCAGGCCTCCAGGACGGCCCGCAGGTGCAGACAACCGCACGCAGGAGCAAACTCAACAGACAACGGACGTTTCCACTGTTAACCTGACCGGTCTCGGGCAGCACGAAAGCTTCAGCCCCAAAGACAAGTGAATGTGAATGACTGTTTTCACAGTGCTCTCCAGGAACAGATAGCTAGTTCCATTTTAGATACACACGAGAGAAGCAAATCCTTTAGATTCAATGTGTTAGCACGTTAGTCTTTAATCTCCTCCATAGCCAGATAGTAGCTGTGTGACCTTGGGCAAGTTACTTAACCCTTCTGTGTCTGTTTCCTCATCTGTAAAATAGGGATAACAGAAGAAACTGTGTCATAGGTGGCCATTGAGATTAAATGAGTTAGTGGATATCAACTACTTTGAGCTTCAGAGCGCAACACTAATTTTTGAAACGACCTTGTAAACTGGTACATGGACTCCACTTTACAAACGAGGAAACAGCAAGAGAGTGAGCCCTGGCACGACATGTCATGGTGGTGCAGCCCAACTGGCGAAGCCCGTGGGCTCTGCCCTCTGGCGGCACTGCCTATTCTAGAACAGGACAGGAAAAGATGGCGTGGAACGATCTGAATGATTCAGGGCAGGGAAACCGAGTAAGAACGCCAGCTGGAGTCTCCCCGACGCTAGAGATGAGCTGAAGCCGTGGTGGACCCTGATCTCTGCTCCACGTGCCCCACGTTAGGGCCAGGAACACTACCAACATGTCCAACCAGCAAAAGCCCACCAGCGTTCCAAGTGTCACCACGAGGAGGTGGCCGCCTCCTCTCCAAAGACTCCCCCAGTGTGCTTTCTCCTGGCTGCCCCCTCTAGGGCCTGCACCTTGCAGAGGGTCAGGCAGGGCGCCCTGGCCGCGTCCACACCGGGTGGGAGACTCACCAGCTCCTCACAGTGCTCGTGCCGGAGGCGTCTGGCGATGTCCAGCGGCGTCTCTCCCAACTCATTGGCTAAAAGGGCAACAGATGGAGACGTTAAGACAAGCGGGGGAAGGCGGGCTGCCAGGAGGCGCTGAGCAGCGGCACTCAGTGGAAGTGAGCATGACTCATGAGCCCCACAGGGAGTTTGGAGCAGGGGGCGCGGCCTGCGGCGGTACGTGGTCGGGGAGACAGAGCTGGCCACGGGCACGGAACCGAACTCCTCAGCGGTCTGCAAATCCCAAGTTGTGCCATTTTCTTCTAAATAAGCCTCTGCCAACAAGGTTGGATTAATTAAAAAAAAAAAAAGAAAAAGAAAAACCTTGGGATGCCTGGGTGGCTCAGTCACTTAAGCATCTGACTCTAGATTTCGGCTCAGGTTATGATCTCCTAGTCATGGGATCGAGCCCTGCGTCAGTGGCATTGGTCTTCTTGCTGGATAAGGAGCCTGTTTGAAAATCTGTCTACCCACCCTGTCCCCCAAAAAGAAAAAAGAAAAAGAAAAAAGAAAACTTGACTCAAGAAGGTGTGTGCCTTCTTTGTGTTCTCTTTGCTCCCTGTTCAACAGGTCTTCAAAATCACTTCCCCCAAACCCGGTCACTACTGCCTGCCCTCAGGCCAGCCACCAGTGCGCCAGGGTCCCATGCAGCAGGGAGAAGGAAGGCCCGGCAGACCCGGGTCCCACGCGGAGGAGACTCGGCGCCCCAAGCGGCAGTGAACGGTGTCTCCTCGCCGCCTGTACACCTGCCACCCCAGGGCCAGGAAGAGACTACACCGGATGCCAGGTGGGGGCTCTGGACAGGAGACAGGAGGGCGAGACGCCCCAAAGCTTGTTCAAGTCACCTCCGCGTGAGTGACATCCGTGGGGCCTGCGCCCTGCCTCGCATAACCTATAAAACACCCGCCAACGGCGGGAAGTCTGTGTGTCAGAGGAGGGAGACGGGTGTCAAACACAGGAGCTGTGCGGGGCGGGCAGGGGAGGCCCCGCCTTCGGAGGGACACGGGCCGAGGCCGGGCGGCCGCTCACCCGTCTCGATGGAGGCCTTGCCCCGCAGGAGCAGCTTCAGGCACTCGGCGTTGTCGGTCAGGCAGCAGTAGTGCAGGGCGGTGCTGCCCTTCCCCGTCTGCTTATCCAGGTTCCCACTGGCCGGGGACGGGGACAGAAGAAGAGAAAGAATGGTGAGTGACAGGCCGGGGGGCTGGGGCCCAGTGGGGGGGTGGGTTTCTCTGAATCCTCCTCTGCGTGCTGGGATCCGACGCCATGACTGCTCGTGCGGATGAGGCAGCCGTGGCATAAGGCCACCAGGGGACTGGCAGGATGGCGGAGGCCAGAAAGACACAGGGGCACCCGTGCTGCTGAGCAGGGGCCACGCCCAACCCCGCTCCCCCAACCCCCCCCCCCCCAAGCCAGCCCTGCACCGGGCCACCTCCAGCGTCTCCATCGTGCCCCAAGACGGCGGGGTCTGCCTGGGCCTTGGGAAGCCTGTGTGACGTGCGGGCCTGTCCCACAGAAGGGCGGGCCCGCTTGCTTTCACCCTACTACTGACACTTGTCAGGAAGGGGAAGAGCCGCTTTCCAGGGTCCAGAGGACAGAAGCTCCCCTGAGGTCGCTGTTCCCAGGCTGCCCTGACTGGACCCAGCTGACAGGGCCTCGCGATTTCTGGTCCCCCCAGTGCAAAACAGACCGGGTTACCCCAAAAGGCACCATGCTCCCCAGATGTGGGGCAAGCCACTCAACCCACTGGTGGACAGAGCCCTGAAGCATGGCTGTCATTGTGAGGAGGAGGGACAGCAGGGCGTTGTGGCCTCTGGAAGGACAGATGGGGACAGTCACCAGGAGGTGGCATCCACTGCTCTCCTCACGACAGAACCCGCTACACTGTCAGTGTGAAAATGAGCCTCATGTTCTGATCTCTCCCCTCTTCCTGCTGCCCTCCTTCCGTTCTGGCAAAGAGGAAGCCAGGATTTCCCTTCTCACGCTCCGAGAATCCACACTGGGGGAGGACGGCGCCAGAGCTGTTCCATCCAGGGTCCACGGAGCCGCTGGGACACGCCAGGCGCTGGCCGGGCGGCTTCCAGAGCCCGGTGAACCACCGACCGGCCCTAAGTTGTGCTATCTCTGGCCACTTCCGTACTTCCCCCCACCCCAACCCCCCAGGGACAGCAGGAAAAGGCAGAAACGCAAAATATGACCTTACTGTCGCACTGTGCAATTTTCCACACCATTTGGAGCCATTTCAGGGGCTTCTGACCAGGAACCCCTCCACCCCCCATTCCCCAAACCAGGATCAAGGAGTCAAGAGACACCTCATGGGTGTTTGGGGTGGGGCAGGCCTGCTGCCACCAGGCGGTGATACACCAGAGGGAGGTGGGACGCACCAAACAGCAGGACTCTGTGGCGTGTACACACACACACACACACACACAAACACACATGTTTAAAGGCAACTTCTAATTAAAATATAGAAGCAACTCTTCAAACTGGACAAAATGCCCACAGCCCAGTGCTGCAGTTTACAGTCTCAGCGAAGGCAGGTGGCTCAGGTCCCCGCTGCCCAGGGTACCCCGCCTGGGTCTTGTGAGACACAAGGGATGTGAGCATGGGGATGGCCCTGTGCATGGGGTGGTCGTGGGGGCCGCAGTCTGCCTTCCGGGGCCCGGATTCGGATGTCTCAATCTGAGGTCTCCTGAGTCCCAGATGCCCGAAGGTGGATCTTGCAGACACCATGAAGGGTCTCTGCCCCCACGCTCTAGGGTCTCAGGACTGGTGCCTGGCGGCTCACTTCCTGTCCCACAGCCACACAGTGAGGCAGGAAGCTGATCCTCCCTCAGAAACACCACGGAACAAAATCAAATGCCTCTCCTGAGGGTGGAACACCTACCTGTTCTGGACTAAAAAGTCTACGATGTGGAGAGAAGTCCGGTCCACCGATCTGACGGCAAGATGCAGGGCGGTTTCATCCGGCTCCTAAAGACCAAAGAGAAACATTCCAGAATCCCAAGGGGAGCATTCAGTCTTGTGTTCACTGTGAGCAAAACTGTGTATCTTTCTTCCAAAGGCCTTTTATTCTTTCTCTCAAGTCGTTTTTTTTTTTAATGTTTTATTTATTTTTGAGAGAGAGAGAGAGAGAGAGAGAGAGCCAGCGTGAGCAGGGGAGGGTCAGAGAGAGAGGGAGACACAAATCTGAAGCAGGCTCCAGGCTCTGAGCTGTCAGCACAGAGCCTGACACGGGGCTCAAGCCCACAAACCATGAGATCATGACCTGAGCTGAAGTCAGACGCTTAACCGACTAAGCCCCCCAGGTGCCCCTCAAATCGCTTCTAAGACATGTGGTGCCCCTCTAGTCTCCACAGCCAACTCTGCCCCTGGGACCATTTCCAGACTGGTCTTCTTTCCTCCACAGAAAGTAATGAGAAATTCAGGGCTTTCATCTCAAAGTCTCCTCTATCTTTACATTCCCATCTCTGTACCAACAACATGCGGTGTTGCCTATAAATGTGTGTGTGGGGGTCTTCGTCCAAAGACCCCGGAAGTTTCCCCAGTCCTCCTGTGCCCAATCTTTAATACCTGTTTCCTGAATAAACATAAATGCTTATTTTTAAAACAACATTAGAGTTTTTCATTCTGTATTTACAGGTAAGGCCAGGAGCGCTAAGCCCAGACTGTCTTCAATTTCTACTAGGGAACACAGGACCCCCACTGCCTTTTCTGAAAGAGTTCTGGCAGGTGGGGGAGGATCAGAGGAGGCTGGTCTCAGGTGGGTGGGTGGGTGGGTGAGAGAGCTGGAGGCAAAGGAAATATCCATGGAATGGGGAACGTGGGATAAAGAGGGAGGCGCCCCCCAATCCACCTGCCTGGGCTGCTCAGCCAGCCAGGGCCACTCCCCTGTCCTCTGCCTGGGGCAGGGGCTTGACCTTTCTCTCTAACATTGGGCATCAGGCTCCACAGAGCTCGTGCTCGGCTGCTAGGGGGTAACGCCCGGCATCCCGCGCCTTCCTTATGAGGGTAAGGAGGTTTCCAGGGAATGTGTGTCTACAGGGTCGCCCGTGGAAGAGAATTAGGACGCACGCCAAGCTGTGACACTGGTGACCGGTTTCCTGTGGACTCGATCCTGACGGTAAGATCCCATGCCACCTTGAGACCCCACCCTCTCAACAAGGCCCTCCCAGGAAACTGGGGGGTGTCCCTCCTTCTCGTGCTCCCTTGGGGAGGAGGGCGCAGGCACGTAACAGGCTGAGGGGCTCCCCCTCCCAGGGATGCCTCCCTGCTCACGGGAGACCGGGCTTCTCCGGCCTCTGAGAAGACGCTCCCTCCCCCAGGGCACGGGCTTTCCTTCCAGGGCTGGCATTGTATTTTTGGTTGAAGAAGAATAAACCACCAATTTCTTCCCCAGAATCCAGTGCCATCTTCCTTCAGAGAATTACACCACTTGGTCAGCATTTCGGATGACACTGCCCTGCCATTTTTCCCCTCTCTTTCTTTGCTTTTTAGAAAGTAGCAAGCCACACTCTTACGTGTCCGTTGGCCAGTGGGATTTTTTCTGTGAGATCCACGCCATCAGCATACGCTTGGAGTAACCCAAAAATGTCTCTGGTTTTGACGGCCTCACAAAGGCTGTGGAGCTTTGCTGCATTGTCCGCATGCTTCTTCCTCGCATACTTCCTCTCGATGTACTTGGCAGTAATGTAGTCCTTCCTGGCATTCCTGAAACCAAGCATAACCACCTTGTGAATGATTAAGGGCCTCTATTCAAACATATCTAACCTTCAATCATCTGTAACAATTTAAAAAAATTCCTGCACACGCCCTCCGTGCAGGAAGCACCGTGGGGAGCAGGGAGTAATCGGCTGTGTGACCGTGCAGTGCCTGTGTCCAGGGACACCTAGAGCATCGAGATCCTCCAGTTTCCAACACAAGAGGCTACAAGGCCAGGTGCAGGGTACCTGGGCCTGACTCAGGTGCCAAAGGTAACTGGCCAGGTTAGGCAGGCTGGGAGGCCCTCCCTGAGAGTGAAGAGAGTGTCAGGCGCCTGGGGGGCTCAGTCGGTTGAGCATCTGACTTCGGCTCAGGTCATGATCTCACAGTTCTTGAGTTCAAGCCCCGCACTGGGCTCACTGCTGTCAGCACAGAACCTACTTCAGAACCTCTGTCCCCCCTCTGACCCTCCCTGGCTTGCACTCGCTCTCTCTGTCAAAAATAAATAAACATTAAGAAAAAAAAAAGCGTGAAGTCAGTTATCTTCTTGTTCGTAGGCACTGTGTCTGGCAGAAAACGCACCCCACGTCTGATGAACCAGAACAAATGGGCAGCTTTTGTGGTCTATCTTCTGGCCTTCACATGGCAGTGTGTTCACAGACTACCTCCCCCACAGAGTGCACAATGGCAGCCACTCCAGGGAAGGCACCAGGAGTGTGGGTTCAGATCCCACCCCTACCATTCAGACGGCACATGCATCCTGGGACACACATTTCGTTTCCTTAGGTCTCAAGTCCTATGTGTGCAAATGTGTACAACACGCCCTCATAGAACTGGGAAAAATACGTGAACCGACACATTTGCTGGGCACTCAGTAGGTCCTCAGGGCCTGGAACTTGCCTACTGAACTTAAAAATGGAAAGCAAGGGGCGCCTGGGTTGCTCAGTCGATTAAGCGTCTGACTTAGGGTCGGGTCATGATCTATCATGGTTTGTGGCTTCAAGCCCCGTGTCGGGCTCTGTGCTGACAGCTCAGAGCTTGACACCTGCTTCTGATTCTGTGTCTCCCTCTCTGCCCCTCCGTCTCTCTCTCAAATAATAAACATTAAAAAATAAGTTTTAAAGCTGGAGAGCAAGAAAAACAGTAGCTCCTGGTCAGGAGGACCCTCAGCATCTTACTCCAAGGACCTTATCACACAACAGCAGCAACAACAAAAAATGTAGACAGGAGTTTTGAGAGATACACTAAATAGAAATTCCCTGTGGCGATCCAGTGAGACGTGTCAGGAAGCAGCCCAGAGACCCATCAGCCGCTGAAGAGAGGCGCACATGCGGCTGCCTGCACAATGCAGTGCTGTTCAGCCACACCAAGGAACAGAGTTCTGACACGGGCTACATCGTGGCTGAGCCCTGAAAACATCATGTGACAGAAAAGAAGCCAGACAGACACACAAGGCCACACATTGTGTGATCCCACTGACACAAAATGTCTGGAAGAGGCAAAGGTGGAGGGGCAGAAAGCAGAGTAGCAGGGCTGGGGGGTGGGGGGTGAAGGAGTGGAGGGTGGAGTAGGTGATGCTTAACAGGCACAGCGTTTTGTTTCGGGGACATAAAAGTGTTCCAAATTGTGGTGATGGATGTGTACTCTGTGAATAGGGTGAACTTCACTGAATCCCCATTTATTTATTTTTTTAAATGTTTTACTTTTTTTTTTTTCGAGAGGGAGAGAGCATGGTGGGGGAGGGGCAGAGAGAGTGGGAGAGACATAGAATCTGAAGCGGCTCCAGGCTCCAAGCCTGATGTGGGGCTCAAACCCATGAACCGTGAGATTGTGACCTGAGCCGAAGTTGGATGCTAAATGACTGAGCCACCCACGCACCCCCGGAATTTCCATTTAAATGGGTGAATTGGGGGCGCCTGGGTGGCTTAGTCGGTTAAGCGTCCGACTTTCGCTTAGGTCATGATCTCGCGGTTCGTGAGTTCGAGCCCCGCGTTGGGCTCTGTGCTGACTGCCAGCTCAGGGCCTGGAGCCTGTTTCAGTCTGTGACTCCCTCTCTCTCTGACCCTCCCCTGCTCACGCTGTCTCTCTCTCTCTCTCCTAGAAATAAATAAAACATTAAAAAATAAATAAATAAATAAATGGTGAATTGTACGGTATGTGAATTGTATTTCAATCAGGTTGGTAAAAAAAAGCATGTCAGAGAAAACTAAGTTCCACTGACAATACAAAAACTTAACTTGGGCCACCAGATGTACAGAGAACGGCCCAGCAGGATTGATCTCCTTGGTTCCTTTCTGGAAAGTGTGAAGTACACTGAATTTCAAGGAACTGGGCAGGGGAGGCTGAAGGAAGAGCCAGGGCCCGGTGGCAGCTCTGGGAGCCCGCACAGTTCAGGGCCCAGGCTCCGGGTCAGACGGCTGCTCACACAGGCTCCATTGCCTCATGTTGAGGGGACAGGAGGTCACAGGAGACAGCCCAGCACTCTGGGGACGCCAGCTGTAATGACCACAACGGCCTGGTCGGTTCTTCTCAGCTCAGGGGCCGCTCCTTCCCATGCTGCCACCAGGGCTGGGCCAACCGCGTCTGCCATCACGTCACCAGCAGTCAGCCACCGAGCCCCTCGGGTCAACGCCGCAGGCCCCAGGGGGCAGCCGACTCCAGGCTCCCAGCGGCGGGTGGCTTCTCTCCCCACCACCCTGACCCAAGACATTCACTGCCAGTGTTAGTGAAACGCAGACTGCATCAACTGTGCTAACCGACGTCCCGTGTGTCACCTCACAAACACACACCCCGTTTGGTCCTTGCGACATATGCTGTCAACTTTTTTCACCTCCCCGGTGAGGATAAGTAAACAGGAGTCTAGCAAGGGGACACACGCAGCAGGCAAGCTCCCTGAGGGCAGCCCTGCTCTCCGGGCCCATGTTCTCCTCGGGGGGCCTCCTAGCACATTCTGGAGAAAAGCAATGAACTTAAAATGACAACACATTCAGCATGTGTTCAGGAGAGGCCCGTACTTCTGAAGGGTGCGCCTGCGTGAGGCCCTTAATCACAGAAAAGGAACAGCGCTGTCTCCATAAACAGACAAATCGGCCTGCTTCCCCCGCCGACCGATTTCTAGCCCCCCACACCCAGCCCCCCAAATCCAAAATTTGGGGATTCGTCGGCCACCAGAGGGCCTTTGGCTTCCCTGTCAACAGATTAATCCGCAGATGGTGTGTCGTCCTGAGATAAAACCAGAAGCATAGACTCCTTTTCATCTGCAAGTAAAATATCGGCTTATTTAAATAGCCACAGAGCTGGGGCTTTATCTTTGACTTGTTGATTTATTAAATATGCACTGAACCACCACAAGCAACATATTGTGGTGGGAAATACAAAAATCAGGAAGACGTGCTCTATTAGAGAAATATGTGTAAATACTTCGGTGTGATAGCAAGTGGGATGAAATGTTTTTAAATCGAGCCAAAGGCTACAAGAGCAGAGAGACCAGCAGTTAATTTCACCTGAGCGAGTGTGCAAGTAGGTGGCATTTTGCCATCACACGGGCCATCCACCCTCATTTTGGGGGAAGAAAAAGGGGGAGGGCTAAACTTCCTTTTCATTTGTGCCACAGCTGGCAGTGGGTGGGGGGTATTTCAAAGCAGACAAAACGTTTATACTGAAGGATTCAAAGCAGATCATGTTCATGTTTTCGAATCATCTAGCCCCAGAGTAGACAAATCCTCTGCTTTTATAAAGCACCTCTGGTACTTGGAAGAAATGACTTGTCATACATTTTGCTCAAAACTGATCAATATTACAGCAGTTCGGGAGGGTGGCACCTTCCTGATATGTCGTTTAGGCTGTATATAAACGTAGCACAGCAGACCATGACATTTCCTTTGTGAAACGGGGTCTCCCAGCGATCCCAGGGACAGCTGGCTCACCTCTGGGTAACTCTCCAATTGAAATCTAAATGGAGGGGTGCCTGGGGGGCTCAGTCGATTAGGCGTCGACTTCGGCTCAGGTCATGATCTCACAGTTAGTGAGTTCAAGCCCCGCATCGGGCTCTGTGCTGACAGCTCAGAGCCTGGAGCCTGCTTTGGATTCTGTGTCTCCCTCTCTCTCTGCCCCTTCCCCCTCACCCCTCTCAACAAGCATTTAAAAAAAAGAAAAGAAAAGAAAAGAAATCTAAATGGGAGGACCCTAATTTCTCAAGGTATGTGGGATCGGTGCATAGCACTTACGTGGCCTCTACCACTGCCCTCACCCAGGGGGAGCGAGCAGAGCAGCCAACACCACCGGCCCCACGTCTGCCTCACCACCGCTGATGACCGTCCCTATGGCTCTGTGAGCAGGTGAGTGTTCTCAGAGGGCTCAGAGCAGCTCACAAACCTGCCCAGGTCCCACGATCGGCTAAGGTCCTACGTCCTCTACCGCCTGCGTCTCCAGGTCTGGGTAAGAACACAGATTTGGAACTCAGATTTTCACACAGAGAGGATGGTAACTTAGCCTCGTGCCCAGTATCCAATCCCCCGGAAATGCAATGGCCAGCACCTGCTGCAGGATTCCGACAGGAAGCAGCTTTCATTCAACACCAACCGAATCCTCTCAGATACCGGACACCTGACAGGGTGTGTAAGGGGCACGGTGTGTTCATGCCCTTGGATGTCTAGGCTCTCTTACTGCATTGCTGCCTCCCCCAGATGCACAAGAACGCAGGTCAAACCATCTCAGCTTCCCAAAGCCAGGTCTCAACAAACCGGTTACAAACACCTACAAGGGCCTGTACCCACCCTGCTGTGTGAACACCACCACTCCCAGAGCCCTGCCCACTGCTCCCCCGCTGCTGTGTGAATACCACCACTCCCAGAGTCCTGCCCACTGCTCCTCACCTGCTGTGCTTGAGGAGACACCTATGCCAGCCATTCTCTTTCTACCTTCTTCCAAGGGCAATGCGGTCTCTGTGAATGAATTCTTCTACTCTCTCCTATCACACTGTTCTCATTTCCTCCTCTCCTGGGGGATCACTGGGGTCCAGACTCAGTACTTAAATGCAGGTGTTTGGCCTTTAACTGCCCCGGGGACACCCCTCTTCCTTCTGTCTGCCCCACTCTGCACTGTACAATAGCAGGTCATCACCCCCCGGCCACCTGGAGCAGACATGCCATCCACGGCCCGCACCTGCTGGTCTTCCTCCATCTACCTCTTGAGCCCAAAGACCAGTGTAAGCCGGTGATTTACACTCTGTTTGATAAGACTGGCAGGAAAATCTCCTGTCAGGCCAGATGGATGCATGAGGCACAAAAACTTCTCGGTCAGATATGTGTCAAAAGTAAAACAAAGACAAAAAATTCTTGTTTAAGAAAACAGTAAACTCTCAACATTTGCAAGGACGCTGGGCCAGAAAACGATATGTGGCTCAGAATCTATCCAGAGAGGGCGCCTGGGTGGCTCAGTTGGTTAAGCATCCAACTTCAGCTCAGCTCACAATCTCGCAGTTTGTGGGTTCAAGCCCTGTGCTGACAGCTCAGAGCCTGGAGCCTGCTTCAGATTCTGTGTCTCCCTCTCTGTTTGCCCCTCCCCCACCTGTGTTCCCTATCTCTCTCTCAAAAATAAACAAACATTAAAAACATTTTTAGGGGCGCCTGGGTGGCTCAGTTGGTTGAGTGTCCAACTTCGGCTCAGGTCATAATCTCACGGTTTGTGGGTTCAAGCCCCACATCGGGCTCTGTGCTGACAGCTAGCTTAGCCTGGAGCCTGCTTCAGATTCTGTTTCTCCCTCTCTCTCTGACCTTCCCATGCTCACGCTCTCTCTCAGAAATTAATAAAAACATTAAAAAGTTTAAAAAAATAAAATAAAAAAAACATTTTTAGAACCTATACAGAGAGGAGGAGAGAGGACACCCCTGACGCAGAAGGTGAGGAGGTACCCGCATGCCAACAGTGAGTATGACACTAGTCCTCTCTCTTTCACAAAGAACATCGACCAAAGCTGCTTGCCTGTGGCCTCTTCCTAAGAAAACCAGCCACACCGATTTTTTATCTGGAAACCCAGAAAGGTGACTTACAAAAAACCCCAAACAAGCCAGGGTGATCTATTCCCTAAAGAAGCAACAACTGAGATACCCCAAACCTGCTACTGTCCTGCCTCACGGGGCTCGAGTGCGAGGCCAGTCTTTGCTCAGAAAATGAGAACAGCCAGTTGCATACTTACATGTCACTGCCCGGGTTGGGCTTGACCGAGTCCTCAGCCGGAAGGCAGCATTCCATAATCTCATTGAAGCCTGCATTCCCAATATTCTTGGCAAGCTGCAAAAACAGAAGTCAATTTCAGGGCTCTCAATTATTAATACATCCCACTGCTACACACTACTCATGCATGATGATTTATTTATTTAATGGCCACTAAGAAATAGAGCAATCAGGTGGTTTGCCATCAATAAAGATGGACAAAACCCAAACCCCAAAGGCACTTGTAAAACTAGAGATAAGCAGCAGGTCTATTAGAAAGAAATGTTCACAAAATGTCCCCTGGATGAAGCACCTCGGTGGACAGGAAGGGGCAGTAACTTGGTCCAATGTCAGTTTCCATCCTTATCCACTCCCCCCAGAGCACCTGTGTTCCAACTGAGATGGACCAAAAAAGATCTATTTATGCCAGCCAGGAGGTGGCTCTCTACAGCGGAGGGTGCTGGGCCCGGAGGCCAAGACTCAGGCACTCGGGCTCAAATCATGGTTCTCTTTCCTGGCTTTGTGACCACACCCAAGTCAGTTTACCTGAGTTTAGATTTTTCACCAGTAAAACAGGCATAATGCCTACGTTGCTGAGTTGTAATAATAACAAAGTGGGACAATTTAGGTGAAAGCGTTCTATAAACTGAAGCACAAAAATGGACTTGTTCCCCAGGTAAGGTCCTCGCCCAATGTTCAACCTTCTTATTCGTTAAAATTTAAATGAACACATTTTATGCTTCCTGCATACGAGGCAGGGCATTCGCTGCAGCTAAGACAGGGAGACAAACGTCACGGCTTGTCTTAGTGGAGCTCAGTATGGCAACTGGTGCTCTCTTCAGTGGACACCACACAAACTCTGAGGGCCCAGGAGCCCCTTAAAAGCAGGGGTTTAATCATCTTATTGGAGCGGCCAGCCCAGCACCTGACAGAGATCAGCTTCTTCTGTGGTGAGTGAAACAGAACTGAAAGCCAGCCCCTGGCGCGGGGCTTTGATGAGAACAGGTATTTCACCTTCAGCGTTGAACATGGCACGACAGGGCGTGTGGAGCCGCTGATATTTCTATTCTTGAGCAGTGATGTGGCCACGCGTTACCGGGGATGTTGTGGGAGCTAAGGCAGCAGTGAAATGGGACCGTGAGGGACGCCGCAGGACAAGGGACGTGGGACACCTTGGTAGCGCCCAATGCGTTTCCTAATTTTACCGTCCATGGTACAGTGAACAGTGTCCTAGATGGCTCAAAGCACCAGGCACTCACCAGCCACACCTGGGTCCTCAGGCCACTGTCAGGTGACAAAATCTGGGGCGGCCTCACTGCAGTTTCCTCGAGAACCATGTCAGGTGACAATGCCCACGTTCCACGGACCCAATGCCTGCAATGTTTTCTTGGATCGTCAGTGTCCGACCCGGGACTGAAGCTCAGTATCAGGGGCCCTGTTTGGAGCCAGGCATGGTCAAGTGACCCCATCTTTCAATATAACACGGACACCATCCCCTAGCCAGTCACAGTCGTCTCCCTTCAGAAGGTAAGGCACAGAACCAGCCACAGCGCCCTTCCGTGAGCGAGGGCCCCACATGCCTGAGTCTGTGCTAAGCAGATGGGAGGGGGAGGCGTGAGGAGGAGAATTCCCCAGGAATCGGCTGCTTCCCTTCTGCTTGGACTTGGCTGGTTTGCGAGGGGACAGCTGGTCCAGGGAGCCACCGCATCCGTGTGTCACGCTCGCCCAGTGCAGAGAAATGTGCCGCCTCACAGTTTTGCCAAGTTCCAGTGAATACTTCGGCCTGCAGAGGACTCCTTTAGAGTCATCAACGAAAGCAAAGCGTTTGCAGATGTTAGCTGCGGGGTCTTGTCGGGTAAGTGTGGGTCCCAGCGGGCCAAGGGGGCAGAAGCCAAGGAAACAACAAGGCTGGTGGTAAGCATGGTAAGCAGCCCCCAACACACGTGCCCCCCACTCCAGGAGGACTCCGATCAGATCTAGGAGCGTCCGGGGCACTTTAAGTGCTACATCACTCAGCGTCACAAATCCCAGCCCCAGGTCTGTCCGCGCATGCACACGGAGTCCTCAGATGCGCTTGGCACCGAGCACGAGACACGGCCCTGCTTGGGGAGAGCTCTGAGCTCAGTCTTTTTTTTTTTTATTTTTAAAGTTTATTCACTTATTTTGAGAGAGAGCACATGCCCCAGCAGGGGCAAGACGGTGGGGGGGAGGGGGTGCGGAGGGAGAATCCCAAGCAGGCCCCATGATGTCACTGCAGAGCCTGACATGAGGCTCGATCTCCTGAACCATGAGATCATTACCTGAGACGAAACCCAGAGTTGGATACTCAAGCAACTGAGCCACCCAGGCGCCCCAGATAGAGCGCAGTCTAAGGAGACAGAGATGAATAGACAGAAATGCACGGTGCTAAGGGCAGAGAAAGAAGTCTGCACTGAGCACGGAGTATGGAGACGGCACAGGTATGTGTCAGCACGGCAGTGAAAATGCCCATGACACCACACACGCCCTGCGTGGAACCCCATGTCCCTCTGCCTCACTGCGCGGAAGCACCTGAGGACAGGGACCAGAGCCACACGTTTCTGGAGACCCTTAGCATTGACCTGTGCCCAGCCCATGGAGCCGGACTGAGACCTTGGAGTTTATCCAGAAATTGTTTTTAGAGTTTGGGGTGAGGATGGGGAAAACCTCCTGCCTGTCTTCCTGTTTCCAGAGGGAGGGACACCTACGGCTGTGACAGTCTTCCCTGCTCTTAGCTCCCTGAGGGGAGGAGTGGGCAAATGATGGAAAGAACTTTCATGGCCGGGGTCCTCAGCCCCGCCACACCCACGGGACGCCATGCTCAGGGCTGTGGGCTGCTCCTGCCCGAGCCCGGGGCTGTTCCCACACGTGCAAACCTTATTAATCAATCTGGCCTCTTGTAACAATGAATCAGACGTTTGATCTCTCAACTGGCTCCAAATCCATGCGGGGAACTGGGGAGTTATTTCCTGGGCCCTCACATCCCAGACGTGGGGAAGGCTGGAGCGCGTCTCTAATGTACACACGGGTAAAGGCCCAGGGCGGTGAGGGCTGGACCCCGGCAAGCAGAGCTGAGAAATGCTTTAAATGCCTACCTCCAAAAACAAGAGACCAAAATAATTCTCTGGGGTACATGGGAAAAAACTGTTTTCACCTAAGCTTTTAAAAATTCTATTTTTGACATAATTTATGAACTATATAATATACCTCTTAGTAATATAGCTCTAATTATATATTGTTTTATATATACACGTTTTGGTGTTCAGTTTCTTTCTGATAGGGTGTGTAGTTAAAAAAAAATTCAGAGATGTTATTTAAAATGAACAGGTCGGGGTGCCTGGGTGGCTCAGATGGTTAAGTGTAGGAATTCGTCTCAGGTCATGATCTCATGGTTCGTGGGTTCAAGCCCCGCATCGGGCTCTGTGCTGACAGCTAACTCAGAGCCTGGAACCTGTTTCAGATTCTGTGTCTCCCTCTCTCTCCGACCCTCCCCTGCTCACACTATCTCTCTCTCTCTCTCAGAAATAAAACATTAAAAAAAATTAAAAAAAAAAAAAAAGAAAGGGCCACAGGCTCTGGGGTGTGATGGTCTAGAGCATAAATCCTGGCTTCAGTTCTCTGGCCTCATTTAAAAAAAATTTTTTTTTAACATTTATTTATTTATTTCTAGGGGGTGGGGGAGAGAAAGAGAAAGAGAGAAAGAGAGAGAGAGAGAGAGAGAGAAAGAGAGAGAATATGAGTGGGGAGGGGTACACAGAGGGAGACAGAGGATCCCAAGCAGGCTCCACGCTGTCAGCACAGAGCACGATGTGGGGCTCGAATCCCTGAACTATAACATCATGACCTAAGCTGAAATTAAGGGTTGGGTGCTTAACCAACTGAGTCACCCAGGTGCCCTGGCCTCATTTTTAAAGACAGAGTTCTTGTTTGGGTCAGACACGGTATATGTAAAGTACCCCAGGACAATGCCTGAACATAACAGTTGCTCGCTAAATGGTAGCTGGTACCACATATTTTGCTGCCCTTAATTTCCAGGGAGCAGCTGCACGGGAGTCCCAGGAAACAGTGGTTCCCGCTGTGAGGATGTGCTCACAGAAGACTGTGGAAGAAGATTTTAAAATTATGGGCACAAGTAAAATTTCATATGAAAGTTTCCTTTACCAACTTCATGTACGATGTCAGATTGATCATATGATACGAGGACCCCGGTACCAACGGTGTTATCTTACGTGTGAACTGGAAATCCGTGCTAAAATGATCTGTGTTGGGGCAGAAGATCTACCTTTCCAAAATCTGTATTTACCAGGAGCATTTCTGGAAGTGAGTCTGCTTTCAAATCTGAGGATACTGAGCACATGTGATAGAGGACAGGTTCAAGGGGTGTGATCTCCCAGAACTAATTAGTGCTTCACGTACGCGTGTCTTTCCACTGAGTGAGATGTGATTCTAACAGCAGGTAGAGAGAAGAGATTACTGCTAACCAGCCACCTTCACAGATGCCGCTGAAACCCGTTCAGTTAACATGGAAGTCAAGCCTGCTTTGAAACCATAATAAAAAAAGAAGAAAATGATGACGTTTCCACAGCACACCCTCTAAGGGAACAGTGTGCAGATCCAAAACCAGAAAATCATTTATGGCACTAAGTAAAATGATTTTTATCAGGACGAATAATACGGTGAGGCCATATGGGCAATAGGAGTGGCAATCTACATGGTGGGTGCCTGTCTGTTTAGGGGTGTCATGCCAGTCAGAGAATGAAAGTCCCCGCCCATCACAGCGCATCACCCTGACATTCGGGCTCCAGGACTGACTGCCCTGAAGGACAAAGAATCACGGCGCCTGTAAAGCAACTTTGCCCAGGCTGCTGCCATGGACACGCTGGGAAGGTACTTCCCAGTTCACCCTCGTATTTCCTCTAATAGGGTACAAGGAGGCTCAATCAACATTTGCTGCACAATAACACACGCTACGACAAACAACTCACCCGGAGACCCTGATGTCCCTGCCCTGCACATGCTAAAGTTTCATACTTGCAGCAGAACACCAGAGTGGACTCTCCCCGTGGATTCACACATTAGGACACGTGGATCGTTGCTCTGAGAGGATTCAGTTAAAGTCATTCTGGAGTAGAGAATAATGGGAGCTAATCCTTCACAGGTCTTACTGTGTGCCCGGCGGAATTCTAAACACACACACACACACACACACACACAGGTCTATGTGTCAAGCCTTCTGGAAATCCTCTGTTTAAGCATCCAACTGTCTAAGCAGAATAAAAATAACCTGGGTGCTTCAAAAACACTTGAGCGTCTTATGCTTTATAGAAATGAATCCTAACCCTTGACAAACACTCTCCATGCATTGCCGAGCAGTCAGGGTTCTGGGGCTGAGCGGTCAGGGCCCAGGGCAGGACGTTAGGCCCACTGTCCTGGCACATGGTGGGTGGGGCCAGGGAAATGCCCACCTCCCGTGAGCAGCCAGCTGACCACACAAGCAGAACGGAGGGGCAAGCAGAGGGTGGGAATGGACCCCACAAGACTTGGGGGCCTTTTCCCTCTGTCTATAATAACTGAGGAAGAGGCAGACCAGGGAGAGTCTGAACTATGGCAGAGATCAGGTTCGGAAAATACTTGCAGATATTACATAAGCAGGCTCTGCCTGATGGCTCCAGAAGGCTGGTGCCTGGCCAAGTGTTAACCCCCTGTGAGGAGATGCAGACAGGCTCTGGGAGATAAAGGCCAGGATCCTAACCAGGGGGTCAGAAGCCACCTCGTGGATTCACCAAGATATGAACATCTTCCCTTCTACTTTCTTTGGTGTTTTCCTATTTAGTAGCCAAGTCTCATGAAGGCCATCAGTTTAATTTTTGAGATACATTTAAGCAGGTGTTAATAGATGTGCTTGGGTCAAGTTTCAACCAGCTCACAAGAGCCATTATTAAAATTACATTATATAAACTCCTAGTTGAGTAAATTATATTAAAAACAAAGTAATAAGTGCTCAAAACTCATCACCTCCTAATCATTTCACTATTCTGTTTCTGAAGCCAATGACAATCAGTGTTTGTGCGGTGAACTCAGTTACATTCAGGGACTCATGCTAGTTACTGATAATGACACAGATTTGAGAAAATGGCCATGGGAGGAGTACAGACATCTACGGACAGGCAGACTACAAAGCAGGGCTTTCTTTTTCTTAAACATTTGCTGGGGATGGAGGTGGGGGTGGGAGATGGGGGTGGGGACGAGATGAGGATGGGGGATGGGGGTGGGGGTGGGAGATGGGGTGGGGGCTGAGGATGGGGGTGGGGACAGGGGTGAGGATGGGGGATGGGGATGGGGTGGGGGTGAGGATGAGGATGGGGGTGAGGATGGGGGTGAGGATGAGGATGGGGGGTGAGGATGAGGATGGGGGGTGAGGATGGGGGTGGGGGACGGGGATGGTGGACAGTGGACGGTGGATGGGGGAGAGGGAGGGACAGTAGTGATGCTTAAATGCTCACCACACAGCAGGACAGGCCACCACAAAGACCAGTTTATGTCCCAGGCTCTTCAGAGGTGAGGCATGAGCTTTGGAGTCAGATTAAAGGCTCCCGCCCCAGATCTGGCAATTTAATAACTATATAACCTTGGGCACATTAAAACATTCAAAGCCTTAGTTCCTCTGTCATAAAGTGGGGATGAAGAGCAAGGTCACTGGGCTGTAGTGAAGGACAAATGTGCTAATACATACAAAGAGCTCTGGGAAGTGCCTGGTACAAAATACGCAATTATGATGTCACCACAAATCACTTAACACTTCCCACTGATGTGAGGAAATCAAGACAGTACACCAACTGCCATGGTTTACCAGCGCTTTCTGAGAATTGGTGTTTCTTTGAAATATACTGTGGGAATGTCGAGTGTAACCACCGCCAGTTGCCCAGGCTACCTCTTGTGCATGCGCAGCTCCACGATGCAGGCTAAATGCTTCATGACACTGACAAGAACGGCACTGCGGAACCAAGAATACACTGCCTGAGTCTTGCTGCGTCTGGCTTCGTTTTTAACGTTAAGTAATCAGGGGCGTGACTACCCGGGAGCCCGGAATCCGCTCTCGTTTCTCCCAACTTCACCGTTCAAGACCATAAAGGAATCCTTCGCCAAGACCAGAAAGATTTGACAAGAGAGTTCAAAATGCACTGTAAGTTCAGACCCTGCTTCTGGAGTGGTCATCAGTAAAATTTACGGCCCCTTGAGAAGTACACTGACCACAATAATTGATTTCCTGTCAAGACTACTGCTCTTTTCATTACAATCAATGGCAATCTACATCCACTCAACGTTCACTGCCCAATGCCCAGCTACACCAAGAATTTCAAACACTGCCTCTCAACTAGCAATCATGGGCTTTGCAAACAGTCCACAAAAGCTCCATTTTAGGTGGCCTCAAGACACCTGGTGTGATGTGCCTTTTCCTCCATGGGGCCGGTGTCAATACTCTGGACATTACTTCACAGAAAATGCTTCAGGCTCCCAGTATCCTTCTACACCACGCTGTACAGCTTATATATTATCACTGAACCAAGAAGGAACCCCTTCTTTAGAAATGAAGGCAGTGGCCCATATCTTTTTTTTTTTTTAATACTTTATTTCTGAGAGAGAGAGAGAGAGAGAGAAACAGCATGAGCAGGGGAGGGGCAGAGAGAGAGGGAGACACAGAATCCGAAGCAGGCTCCAAGCTCTGAGCTGTCAGCACAAAGCCTGACACGGAGCTCGAACCTATGAACCGTGAGATCGTGACCTGAGCTGAAGTTGGACGCTTAACCAACTGAGCCACCCAGGCACCCCAGCAGTGGCCCATATCTTGCCCAAAGGGAGACAGTAAGGGGCAGAGGAAAAGTGCACTGGAGGCCTGAGCCAGGTCGTGACCACAGACTTGGCAGGGATCTGTTGGGGGCTCTGGAGAACGAGCCCTCAACTGGCTCTGGGCTTTCCGTTCTGCACACGCTTAAGGAACAGGGTGACCTAGACTGTGTCACCATCATATTCCACGTCTTAAACACCTCTCTCTCTCTCCTTTTTTGTGTCACTTCACCTTATTAATTTAGAAACAAGGTTTTACAACAAAAAGTCCCTTCAACTACCAGTAGCTGAGAAGGAGGAATGATCACTGAGGTTCTAATTGCCCAAACCCATATGGTGAAAACCAATCACCAAGAGCCCAGAGGAATCGCAAGAAAGCAACATGGGTTCGAACGCCAAGATGAAAACTTAGCATTTGGTGGATTCATTTTCATTTCAAAATCAATGACTGGAGAATTACCAGCAGCTCAGATGTTCCCAATACATCTAATGTCAGCGACTGCATCCTGGAGTAGTGAACCCCGAGCTCTCGGTGGATTCCGGAACACTCGATACAGGTCAGGATGCCCAGATTGGTGGAGAGCCAGGTAGGATCTGCCAAAGAGAAAAGGGAAAGTCAGAGTTTGCAGCAAGCACAGGGCTGGGGTCACGACACTTTTCCTGGATAGTTACTGTGCACGGGGTTTTGAGCATGAGCATTTTCTCGACCCCTGACACCGCTAGAGCCGTCGCTCATCACTCCTTCTGCACTACTACCAGCTTACAAACAACACACACATATGCACCTCTCTGCTCCCCCCTCCATTTATTTACTCATTTGTCCTGCCCACCCTTCTGTTCATTCATTACAAACTCCCAAGGGACAGGTGTGTGTCCAAGAATAAACAGCACACAGCGCCCTCTAGTGCCACAGGCCTTTGACCAGACACGTCTTCCGTGCACGAGAGCGCGCCAGCAGGCAGGTGTCTTCACAGTGCTCAGCAAGGAGACAGGGCTTGCTCAGGGCTGCAGGGGGTGCGGAGCCAGACAGCAGTGCTGCCTGGGCCCCGGTCCCTGCTGGCACCGTGTCACCGAGCTACTCCCAAGTCACCGAGGCACGTACTGTGTGCCGGGTACACAGCACACACCGGAGGAAGGCCTGAACAGCTCTCAAAACCAAACACGCTAGAGCACGGTACCACGGCCCCTAAGTACCATTCCCTTTCAACTTCCTGCTGCCCTTAGAAACTCACTGCGGGGAAATATCACAACCCTGGTCACCAGATAACCGTCTAGTCGTTTTTTAAAAGTTCAAGTTATAAAAAATTTTACCATCAGGAAACACTCCAGGGCATCTGTGTTTGCACTTCTGCCACACCAGCACAGCACACTTTGGGAGGTATGAGCATGCGTAGACTACTTTGTATCAATTTTCACGTCACCTATCCTGTCCCACCATTTTCAAACAAAAATGTCCACAGCCTTGACATCTTTAGGAAAGTGTTTTAAAAGTCCAAGTGCTGCACAGCCCTCATCTCTTCTTAAGAAAAAGCACAATCGGGGTTGGGGGGGCGCGTGGGTGGCTCAGTTGGTTAAGAGTCTGGCTTCAGCTGAGGTCATGATCCTGGGGTTCGTGAGTTCAAGCCCCACATCGGGTTCCCTCTGCTGTCAGCCCGGAGCCTGCTTTGGATCCTCTGCCCCTTTCTGTGCCCCGCTCTGGCGGAGGGAGGGAGGGAGGGAGGGAGGGAGGGAGGGAGGGAGGGAGGGAGGGAGGGAGGAAGGAAGAAAAAGAAAGAAAGAAAAAGGAAAAGGCACAGTTCACTACTTATCACTTCCTACACCTCATCTCCTGCCAAAAGGTACTTTTTAATGGATCCAAGACCCTGAGCGAGTCCCCTAAACGACTCCCAGATACTGAGCTTTGGGGCCAGGAACCTCCCTGGCAATTCTCACCCGCCCCCTCTATTTTTGTTATGTGCGTCTTTACAGAAGAACGGTCATAGGACTGGAGGGATGAAAGCGGTAACGGACACTCCACAATCTTCCTTAATCATTCCAAAATGATTCCAAAGCTCCCAAAGCACCATTCCCCCTTAATCAGAGCACCTCCGCTCCTCCAGCTTTTGAAAATACCAGCTATTAAAATCGACAACGATGACACTCTATGTCCGTTACAGAATGAAGCCACTCATAGGCTTTCTCAAAATGCAGAAGTTGACACCTCTTTTCACAGAACGTGATGCCTGGAAGGGACCCGAAAATAATCTCAAGCAGTTCCTTCATTTTCCACATAGGAAAACCGATACCTAACAAAGAAGGTATGTGGCTCTCCCAGGGTCCCAGGCTAGACAGCGGCTCAAAGCTTCTGCACGAGCTCTACAAAGCAGCACGAAGGGAGGCTGGAGTAAACCCGGGAAAAGCCGCCCCCCACAGCTTCCGAGCCAGCACGAGCGGACGACCTTGGTCTCACCCGCGTCCTGTGCTTCAGTGCTCATTTCTCAGAAAGTCTTACATCTTTCCAGCTCTATCAGGCCATCTTCACGCGGTCCTGCATCTTCCCACCCTCCCCCTGCCTGCTCTGCACACAGCCCCGTAGGCTGCCGGGCTCCCGCATGGGCTCGCCGCACGCAGCTCTGCGTCTGCAGTGAAAGGGAAAAGCCGAGATGATTTTCTGTGAATGGGAAGGAGAGTCCAGGAGGGCTGGGGGGAGAGCGTGGCTTACCGGGTGCCCCGCAGTCACAGCACACGTCATTGCCCGTCATCCTCTGCACTTCCGCGATGATCTCCTTGGTCAGCTCTTGGACGATGTTATTTTCTCCAGTATTGTCATCCCCCTTAAATGCGTTGTTTAAAGCTTCTTCCTTGCTGTTCTGCAGCACGGACATCCATCTAGGAGACACAGGCGCTGTGTTAGATCCCCAGCGCTGCTAAGTCCCGGCCCCACGACCGATCCCGAGTAACTTACATTTGACATTCCTGTTCGTCTTCCGCTTGGAAGTGGTACGTCCTGTCATCTGGATGGAAAGGGAAGTCTCATCAGCTGTGAGCCCGGCACAGAAATGCGTACACAATTCCAGCAGAAAGCGGTTTATAGTTAACCTCAGGAGTAATCTTAACTCTGCTATGAAATGAATGATTTGTAGGAAATCGCGCACTCCCTCATTCCTTCACCTGCCTTGCGTGCCCTTGCCCGGTGACGGCGGCTCTGTAATCCAAACCAGCAAACCCGCCCTGTCCACACCCAAGTTTCAGAAGAGAGGAAGCTTCCCAAAACAGGAGCTATTCAGGGATGGAGACCAACATTATCCTTTCAGAAGCTTTGTTTTTCTTGAACTTGCCAAGAAGTTGGCCCCCCAAAAGGAATTGTTACAGCCCGATGAATAATAAAAGCCTTCTCTAAATGAGTATCTCAGAAGTTTTCTGGCCTTGCTGGAAGATGAGACATTGCAACCACAGGCCGCGGGAGTGCTGCATTACGGACACCGCGGAAGCAGGAGGAAGGGCCGAAGGCTGTTGGGACACAAGCTCTTTCGCTCACACGCGGCCGTGTGCAAACGCAGCGACGTCTCCAGGGGCTGTGACAGACCGCTGACCCCTGTGCACGTCAGGAGCGTGCACGACGCGCTACAGACAAGTGTACGAAGGCATCAGCATGGGGGTGCTGGCGAGGGATACCGAGAAATTGTCTATAGTCCATCCAAAACAAAGCAATAAAGAAAATTAAATTTAAAACCAAAACAGAAAGAAAAAAGGGAGGAGGCCCAGCTTCTCCAGATGGTGGAGCAGTGACTGTCCCTGTGGCCTGCAGGCGCGCAGGTGCTGAGAGGGGCTCCCGCCGAGCCGCCTGGAAGGGCACCGGGGCCCAGGGAGGGGAAGGGGCAGAGCCGGCCGGTTCTCCACCTCTGCTCCCATTCGCGTCCTCCCCCGCAGCCCCCCTTTCTCCTGGCACTGAGGGGGAAGGGAACCGTGCCTTCCCTACACCCCCCACTCCGTCACGAGGAGAGGAACGGGGCTTAAGAGAACTGTTTCGAGGTCACACAAATGAACTGAATTCCGTGGTTCAGACGTTAGCGGCCGAGCCACGCTGAGGCGCTGGAAGGTGGGGAACGAAGCCGCCCTCCCGGCTCCCGCCTTCCGTCCGGATGCCAATGGCCTCTTCCAGACCCACGCCCCACACTGAGCGGCTCTCAGAGTTCCCGGGCAAGGCGGAGGCCGTGTCTCTCAGTCGGCGGTCTCCCGGCCCCGCCAGGCACCGCTCGAGGGGGACAAGCGAGGAGGAAGGAAGCAGCGTGGCCCGTTCCCTTCAGCCAGTTCTGTGCCCTAACGTGTGAGGAGCTCTGTGAAGACTGCCGGCTGAGAGTTCCCCCTATAGGCACTCTCGAGATGCTTATGAACCAGTAACAGTTTCGAGCAGCTTCATATGAGAGAGAAGAGAAAGCAAGAGAAGACGGAGACGGGAGCCAGGAGGGGCTGCCTCTCGGCCTGCGGCTCTGGCTCCAACCGCCCACAGACCCGGTGTGCGCACCTGGAGAGGTGCCGGCTGGCTGTGGCTCCACCTATTCAGGGCACTGCCCTAGGTCACCCCCAAATTCTCCCACACCCCCCGTCCCGCCAAGGGTGACTATGTGATTGAGGACAATGGTGCAGGACTTAAATCTGCAAAGGCTGGGGTCCATCTGAGGGCGACGGGGCTGGATAAACTCCTAAAGTGCCGGCCTGGCCACAAAAACGGCCTCCCTGAGGAGCCCAGGCGCCTCTACAGCCTGATCTGAGTGGGGAATCCCCGTCTGGGGGAAGGAGGGGAAAGCAGGGCCCTGCGGGGAACTGACCGAAGCCGGCTGTCGGTCTGGGACTCTTCTGGGCTCTTGGGCTCGTTTCAGGACGGGCTCACAGAGTGGGGGTGTGGGGCCTGCGAGACCTGCATCTGGAGGGCCCTCCTCACTGCCTGTCGTGCGGCCTGACTCTTCTCCAAACACCAAATGTTTAAAGGCCTTGTTGTACTATGGGTCCCGCTAGCCTGGTCAGCAGGCGGGGGAGGAGCCGAGAGGGTGACAGCCTCGTCCCCTGAGTCAGGCACCACCGGATGTGAACCCAAGCCAAGGGGCGCTCAATAAACCAGGACTTTGCCACTCTGCAGTGACTGCTGCGGCATCTGGCCAGTTTTGGGGCTTCTCTGAGGCCACCAGAGCCACACAACCCTGTGACAAAGCATTTTCACCAAATCACCCCTAGGAGAGGAACACCGTTTAAAGACTAGGATGAGAAATTCGTAGGACTGGGACTCACTCTACCCACGGAAGGACAGAGGGAAGAGGAAGAAACAAGAGCTTTTCTCAAAGAATGACAATGACTCTGGCACATTTATGAAAGTGCCTCAAACCGAATTCAGCAGGGCCTTCTGGGTGTCCGAGGCAGGAAGCCGTGGCCTGAAGAGGTGTACCATGCAGCAGGTGGTAGATCAAAGACACAGATGGCACCTTGGCCAATGTCAGCCTGCCGGAGCGCTCGTGGAAAACCGGATTTGCACCGGCCCGCCTTTGCACACGTCCCAGGAATGCAGGTGTGAACGCCTGGTAGGAAGCTAGGCACGCTTGCTATCTACTGACCCTCCCCGGTGCCTGACCAGGAGTGAGAGGCGTGTGGGCTGGGGAGCGCTTCCGGGTTGTCTGCAAGTGTGGAGAAGATGCCTCTGTGACTCTCCCGGGGGCTCCCAGGGTGCTGGAGGAGCCTGGGAGCAAGCTGAGGGAAGTGTTCACATCTGCCCCCCAACGTGGGCACAGGTCAGGCAAGCTTCTCTAACTACTGAGTGCCAGTCAGGTCCTGAAGGGTGACACGCTGCTTATTATGGGTTACAGCTCCAGAAAACAGAATGGCCTAAAGCCTCCAAGTGGTCCTCAGCCACTTGCTGACGTCAGATTATCCCGTCAGTTCTCTGCCTTCACGTAAAACTCTGCACTGCTCTCTGGGGGCAGGTAAGCCCAGTGGGAATCCCATTTTCAACTATGGTCAGTTCTGCATGTTTACAGGGTCTTGTGTGGATGAAGGATCTGAGAGGAAGCTTCAGGGAGAGGAATAAACGAATCTGTGGCCCTCGCTAGACTGAGTAAGGACACGGGGTCTGAAGCAGGATAAAGTCTATTTTTATTTTACAAATCAGTCTCGAATCTGAAGGACAGAACAATGTCCAAACCCTTTACACATGTCACACTGCTCAACACTCTCCTCCACTTTAATAGTACAGTGCGTATTAGAGCAGGGAAACCAGGACATGAGGGTGAACGTGGACGGGCCTCCGTCTCCTCACCCAGACTAGTGGTAACAACCGCCTCGTAAGCTCGCTGTGAGCAGTACGTTATACAGGGAGTAACTCCCTAGCCCTCAGTAATATAATCCAGCAGACCTCTCAGGAAGCAGCCACCTCACGCTCTGGAGCACTGAGGCAAGTAAGAAAGTGCCCACCTTCCGAAAACGCACGGTACCGACTTTTCTATAAAGACCACTCTTGTGCCCAAATCCGTTGTGACCCCCTTTTGAAAGGAGTGCCAGCTCCTCCCTTCCCCCACACCGTAACCCTGCCACCTAAAGGTGCCAAGGACAAAAAAGGCCAATGTTGTTTCCTTTAAAACACACTCGTCTGTTCCTTTTTCCTTTGGGATGCTGAGTAGACACTCAACACAGTAGATGGCTCTGTGGTGACTGCCACAAAAAAAGAAAGGCATCAGAAGCAGAAAGACTAATGCTGTGGTGGGGAAGACAAAACAATTTCAAAACCAGTTTCCAGGGCTCTGCGGAAGGCCTTACCACATTAGTCGTGCAGCATTTCTAACATCGCCCCAACCACAGAAGCCTGGAGAGAATCGTCCATTTTTACATTAAGTGAGGGGACTTTAGGCCTGAGGGCCGACCTAGCATAAACTCCGTGTTGTCGGGAGCCCGTGAGGAGAGCAGGCCCACAGCGTCAGGTCCTGCGCTGGACACCAGCAAGCAATCAGGAGTGGAAAGAAGAAGGTGTGTACGTCACTTGGAAGGAAGGCATTTCTCCTTGACAATTCTCTGAAATGGGACTGATGCCCCAGCAGCCAGTGTAAGTTCTCTGTGACACAGCGTCTGAGAAATAAACTTACGTGAAATAAGGTCAAAACACTTCTTCTCCTCGGGGTTGGTCTTCACTTGACAGGTTAGCAGGTTGAGCTTTGCGGGAGGCCGGTTGGCCTGTTGAGAAACAAAGGGATGGAGACGGGTGGGAAGGAGGGCAAAATCACACGGCACCACTTCTCATCCAAACACAGCTTCCCACTAGTTTGCAAAAAGATCGCTTTCGGAAGGCAGATTTTGTGTAGGAAGACACCACAGAGGCACGACACCGCGTGCCCCCAGAGGGCAGCCGCCACTCCCTGGGAGGGACACTTGGTAGCCCACGCACCCACCCGGCCAGGGGGACGAGGGCTGCCGGCCTGGAGGTCGCTGGCACCGGGCTCCCTGAGATCAAAATGCTCCGCGGCTAAAGCTCTGAGACGTTCCCACCAATGACACAGATGGTTGGCTGGGTGACTTGGGCACCAGCTCAATTTCTGGGGATCTTAAAAGTGTTTCCCTGAGTGTAAACACTCGCTTCTAAGGAAAGAAATCTCACAGCACAAAAATGACAGAGAGATAATTTTCCCTACTTTTTGAAGTCACGACAGATAATACATTAATAATCTTATTAAATGCTAACCATCTGTCATTTACGTTTCAACAAAACCCATCTCATTCACAAAAATACCCCGAATCTCCCCAACACAGTGGCAACAAAAGATCACAAATCGTTTTTGGCAGAGAGATCTCAAAATGGGTATTTTATTACTGTTTCAAAAACTACCATAGTTAGTCCAAAAAAAAAGCAAAGATCAAAGGATAACATAATTTTAGAGAGGAAAAAAAACCGACCTTGTGAAACTCCAAAGGGCAGAATGTCTCTCAGAAATCTTGGAGAAATCTCCAAATATAAATGGGCTTATCCTCCCACCTCCCAAGCTGCTGAGGGAAGACTGAATAAAATGCTGTATATTTCAACCTCTCGTTCAATTTCCTGCGGCCACCGGCTGCATGTACAAGCAGGAAAAGCTTGGATTTGGGACTCATCAAGAACACACACACGTGCATCCGTAGCTGGGCAGTCCCGCGAGACCTTCATTCACCTACAGACCCCTTTCCACTGAACTCACAGTCAGCGGTAGAGGGAGCTTAGCCCCTGTTAAAACAGGTTGGATCCTTACACTGTGAACAGTTTGGGTTTGAGAAAAGGAAGGTCGGATGAGAAGCTGGATAAACAGGGTGGACCAGACTCTCCTGGTTTGCGGGAGATGAAAGTCACTGGATGTTTCTCTACCTCAGGTGCCTACCAGAATCATGGGTCATCAGAAATCTGTATTTTTTAAAAACTATTTATTTATTTTGAGAGCGGGGAGGGAGGGGCACAGAGAGAAGGAGACAGAGAATCCCAAGCAGGCTCCGAGCTAACAGTGCAACTCGGGGCTCAAACTCATGAACTGTGAGATCATAACCTGAGCTAAAACCAAGAGTTGGGCGCTTAACCGGCTGAGCCACCCAGGCACCCCAGAAATCAGTATTAAGACTCCAGGCTCTGTCTAATCTTGCAGACCTTGACAATTCCAAGTGGAAGTCCCATCGATCCAATTCTGGATCTTTACCAACGGAATCACCTGCCTCATCAGGAACCAACGCACTGAATGATCGATTTCTACAGTGCCAAGTAGGCGACCAGCCACGACGCAACCACGCACTTTTTACCGCACGATGTAAGTCTGTCCCATCCCCGCCTGTGATCTGTGTGTGCACTTAGGGGACATTGCTGGCCTGCTTCCGAACTGCTGCTGTCCACGGAGTCTTAGACACAGAACAGTAAGAGGGGTGGCTGAGCTCTGGTAATACAGAAACATTTTCATGCACGAGAAGAGGATTCTGAAGAAGAGGGGCTACATTTCCTCAGCTATTATTAATAAGAATAATGACTGTTATGATCTGCTTATAGGAGGCAGGTACTGTTCTACATAGGTTTCATACATCAGCTCATTTAATTCTTCTAACTGACCTTTGAGGTAGACACCGCTCCAGTTTAACAGATAAAGGAACTGGCGCACACAGACTAAATAATATGACAGACCTTATTTTCTACAGCTTGGGAGGCAGTGAGGCTCCAAGTGAGCTGGCAAGCCTGGCCTCAGAGCACAAGCTCTGAACTCCTGCTCCCACTGGCCTTCCACGTGGTTTCCTATGGAAAGCAGAGTCCCTGACCTGGACGTATCAGTGCGTATCTCTTAATGCAGCAAAGCAGTAAGCGCAACTACCACCCCGGCCCAGGCCCCTCTCGCTTTCACCTCCCTGCACTGCGGAGAAAGTTGTCCCTTCTGACTGAGGCAGCTACCACCAAAGCCTTCACCTTTCACAGCATACAAACACCACAGAATCCGGGAAAATACTCGCTGCCTACATTTGAAGTCAGAGTAATTACAAAGGCACAGATGCGGCTACATGTTAAAAAGAACAGCGGTAAGAAGAAGTCCACGAAACTCAGAACAGCCGCTACGGCTTACGATGTCAGCTTATGTGTTTCACATTATTCTGTTTGCTATTTGCCCAGCCAGATCGAGGAGTAGCTGACACCCAAACTGGAAGGAAAAGCTATGGGTGAATATATTTTTTTTAATGTTTATTTATTTTTGAGACAGAGAGAAACAGAGAACGAGCAGGGGAAGGGCAGAGAGAGAGGCAGACACAGAATCCAAAGCAGGTTCCAGGCTCTGAGCTGTCAGCACTGAGCCCGATGCAGGGCTCGAACCCACGAACCATGAGATCATGACCTGAGCCAAAGTCAGACACTTAACCGACTGAGCCACCCAGGTGCCCCAGGAAATAGAGAAAACTACCCATTAAATTCCGTCTCCTGCTGCCATTTGGGGAAAATGGTGTCATCATTTAATTCAGCTACAGAAGAGTTCTAGCTAATTCATCAGATACCAGCGCTCTCTGAGAACCTAGCCTGAGAAGGTCTGGCTTATCAGAAAAGAAGCAGCAGGAAACAGAGATCCTTAGACTTCACGTTTGTAAGGTGTCGATTATCAGAGCTCCAATCATTTTAAACACGCCATTCTGTTTCTTCCCAATTTGTCAGGCTTTAAAAGTTTTTTTAAAACATTTATTCATTTTTGAGACACAGAGACAGAGCACAAGCAGAGGAGGGGCAGAGAGAGAGGAAGACACAGAATCCGAAGCAGGCTCCAGGCTCTGAGCTGTCAGCACAGAGTCCGACGCGGGGCTCAAAGCCATGAACTGTGAGATCATGACCTGAGCTGAAGTCGGACACTTAACTGACTGAGCCCCCCAGGCGCCCGTCAGGCTTTTAATAGGGTAGTTTGTACTCTTCGTGATTGATAAACTTCAAAAAAAGGAATTTAGACTGCGTAAGAACCAGTGGACATTTCTTCCAGCTTGGACAGTCCCCAGTCTTCGGCAGTGTGGCAAAGCGATGAATGCATTTGGCAAAGGTGATACCCAATCAGTTATTTTGTCCCAAGGATCACTTCCTCCCAGTGCCAGGAAACGCCATGAACCTCAGCAAACAGGGGGTACCAACTAGGCTTCCACCGAATTCATCCCATGTTGTCACCGTCCCTCTGCTGGAATACAGAGCATGCAGCCTGGTTTCCCGAAGGCTCCCAGCTTCCGGGGAAGAAACTGGTTTTCGGACAGCGCCAACACACCCTGGGCTTCCACAGCGTCAAGATGGGATTCTCCCCTGAGGGCCAGAGCCTGCTCTTAGAGCCCCATGTACTCAGTCGGGTCTTTGAACCACTGTCCTTCTTTCCCCCGATGGTAAATTAGCCTCCTCAGGGAGATGCTGGCTACACAGGTAAGTTACTCAAGGAGCCAAATGCAAACAAAATCACACAAAAAGGCATCTCTGAAATCCCTTTCTCGGCAGAGGTTAATTCACATCACTGCATGTGAACGCTTTGCAGGTGCAAGGCACGTATGTGCACACGGGCACGGAGCCGGCAGAGTGCACACGGGAAGGAGAAAAGGAGAGCTCTGTGGTGTACACACGGCTCCTGCTACAGTAACCCTCGTATTTCCCGGGCCAGAGCCCCCTGCTGCCACTCAGCCGGGCTGGAGGCAATGTCTACCCATGTGGCTCCCAGCCCAGGCTGCTCAGGGCAGGGGGAGTCAGATAGAGGGCACGGGTTCCCTAAAGAGGGAGCCCCTTAAACACAGAGCACTTCTTAAATACACCAGCTGTGTGACAAGGTGAGCGGTCAGCAGGCTGGGAAAGCTACTTAGAACTGTACTATCTGCCAAACACCAGAGCAACCGTCAGCGTTTAACGGAAACCGAGCCTGTGTCTTCCTGAGGGCACAGGTAACGGATGTGACAGGATCCCAAGCTGCCCCCGCCGGCACGGGCTCCTCAGCCTGTTTTCGCTTTCGTCGTGGAGGGAGAGCCACTCACTGGCTCACGCTGAGGCCCGGGGTCCCCAGGACACGTTCATGAGGCAAATATACCAAATGACTTAAACAAGCACGAAAGGAAAGTCAATCTTGCTTTGTGAAATGTCCTGCGTGGAGGCGGGACCCCTGAATTAAAGCAAACAACCAAGCAGAAAGTCATTTGAAAGCAAACCACAGAATCACAGGTGTTTAGGGCAGGGAGGGAACCTGGCCATCATTCACTTGATTTGTATTTATTTATTTATTTTTTATTTTATTTTTTTTAAGTTTATTCATTTTGAGAGAGAGAGAGAGAGAGAGAGAAAACAGAGAAGGGGAGGGGCAGCGAGAGAAGGAGAGAGAATCCCAAGCAGGCTCTGAGCTGTCAGTGCGAAGCCTGATGTGGGGCTCAATCTCACAAACCGTGAAATCATGACCTGAGCTGAACCCAAGAGCTGGACGCTTAACCGACTGGGCCCCCTAGGTGCTCACACGGGTTTGACTGAAGAGGCCTGGGGACTACGTGAGCTTGCCTCCCCGAAGCCACAGCACTCCTCCACAGATACCCAGTCATGTCTACCTGGAGAGTCCATCACATCAGGGTCCAAACTCCAGGGCCCCAGGAGGGACGTCATGTCCAGGAAGGAGGCCCATAACGGCTGCACTTCAGAAAGAGGACTGATCTCTATCTGTCCAGGCATGAGACACGTTCATCTCCCAGAGGCCAAAGGTCCAAAGAGACGGCTGCAGACACTTGACGTGTGCTAGGTCCCTGCCAGGGACAGTGAAGGGGCCCCCAGGAGACGCAGGCCCAGCCTTTCCATTTCCTTACTGAGTACTGAGCCCACATTGAGCCGTGACCTGTCTACAGGGGCCTGTGCTCCTGCCCGGCCCCGCCTGTTGCGACGGGAGCTGGTGGACACCAGGGAGAGAAGCAGGGATGACAAAGACCCAGGGTCAAGTCCACTCACAAACAGAGGCTGCCAGAATGCACACGGCACCAGGCCTCCTGCGTGGGGAACAGAAACGCAAGCCACCACCTGTCCCGTGTGCCCATTAGTACCAAGCCAGCAACGACTCCACCTTTAGACATTTTCAAGAATGTCTGGCAGCCTATGTGGTATTCACCAGACTGTGTCGTACAGGCAAGGTGACAACATGCTAAGCCACTGTGGGAAAGAGCACCGTGGTGTGAAGGGCTGTGGTTAAAATCCTCTGTTTCTAAGGGCCGCCTGGGGGGCTCAGTCAGTTGAGTGTCCGACTCTTGATTTCAGCTCAGGTCATGATCTCATGGTTTGTGAGTTCGAGCCCCACGTCAGGTTCTGTGCTAACAGAATGGAGCCTGCTTGGAATTCTCTCTCTCCCTCTCTGCCCCTTCCCTGCTCTTCCCCCCATCCCCAACACAAGTAAGCTTAAAAAAAAAAACAAACCCATTTTCTGAAAGCTGGATTAGTAAATCATCTTACTCTGACTGCTTTCTCAACAGGCTCAACATACAGGCCTCAGTTTCTTGCAAGGTCTCATACACACAGGATGACAGAAAAAGACTTGGCGCAATGTGTTTGATTTCTAGAACATTAGTGAAGTTTCTCCTCCTTGGATTTTGGATTCCCAGAGTCCTGACCACTTAAACGCTTTTCCCTTTATGGAGAACTAGAAAAACTTCCCAAGTGGGAAGTTCAATTTCCAGAGACAAAGACAGCTGGGAAGTGGTGTGGATGTTTGTTTCTGGAAGCCACAGGCTTCTAACTGACCTGACCTGTCAGGTACCGCTGATTCTGTCAGGCAGTGAGAGACACAAGGCTGTCCCTGGCCAGAGAAGCCCAGATGGGGGCAGGGGCGCCTAATCAAGAAGGACCCCAAACAAAACTCTCCCAGCGGGAGGCCTTTAAGAGGCAGATGTGATGTCATGCTGCGCACAAGGCTTGCGGCCCCTCACGGCAGCAGACAGAGAAGTAAAAGAGTACTTACGGTGCCGTGGGATATGGTCAGAAAGCCATTTTTGACCGAACACTTCCTTTTCTGCCACACTTTTCGGATCCTTACAGATAAATGGGGGGGGAAAGAGAAGAGTTCAGCAGTTCTGGACATGAAAGAGAAACATGCATTCAAACTCCAGCAGCAAATTCCACTTACCCATCGCTCTTCTTGTACAGGCTGCCGTTCCGCTCGGTCCCGTGCTCCTTGTTTCCCTGAGGCTGATGTAAACTATAGGCTGTACTCTGGCGAATTTGTGAATCCTAAAAATGGTCAAGAAGTGGTTTTTCATCTTGTCCAGATTCCAAGCTTTAAAAAAATCTTTTTTTTTTTTTTTTTTTAAATTAGAGAAACGTCCCCTATCGCCACACCAAAAAATGGACACAAGATTCATACCCAGGAATTCATAAACGCCACCTACCGGGCAGCAGAAGGAAATGTCAAACCAGCACTCCCCCAACCAGCTGAAAGAAATGAGCCATCTGGAAGTTAGATTTTACTCGATTAGGAGCCTTAAGTCCCCGATAATGGCAAGAAGCTCCTGGTGTGGCAGAAGCAGCCCTCAAGGAGAAAAGTAATGTGTGGTAGAAAAAGCAGCAATTGTGAGGAAGAAAAACCCCAAAAACAAGGTTCTACCCCTTACTTTAGGGGAGTTACTTAAGCTCCCTGCCTCAGTGTCCTCCTTGGGAAATAGGAAAACAATACCAGCAAAATGGTAAATACAGTGAGGTCTGAATAAGATAACACATGCGAACACTTGGTACATAACAGGTGTCGAACCATATTCCCTTCTTGACTCATCAACCCCGCATAGGGGCCAGAGTACTGGACCTAACTGTCTTAGCCTCAAGGTAGACAGTCCCCAAGTGTGGCGGACTCAGCCTTCAGCTTCTTAAGGGCAAGGGCCGTCAATGAAACCCTGGGCATCCAATGGGTGCTCAACTATTTAACAGCTGGTATCGGAAGCCCCGAGCTGAGAGTGGAAAGGAGCTGTCCAAACTAGCACTGGGAGCTCTGGCAGACATAAGGAACCCGGGGGAGCAAAAGACAAAGAGTTCACTGGCCCACTGTTTATTGAGAACATCCCACCCAGACCATTTCATAAGGGAGGAAACAGAAACACAATGAAAATAAGAGATTTACTTAAGATGCAGAGCTTGTCAGGGCCAGACAGGAGAATGGAAGGGAATTCCACCACCCCCCCTCGAAGCTCCTTCCATGAGCCATCACCAGAAGGTGGCCCAAGACACAAAGGCCAGGTCTCATCTCTCCCGGCAAGCAGGTGACCATCCTTGGGGAAACCAAGGCCAGAGGATGCCAAACAATGAAGGAACTAATGCTTGACAATCAGTGTTATCTGAGCCGAGAATATAAGTGCTCAGGAAGTGAAGAGCCAAGTGGGGGAAACCAAGGGGGTCTGGAGGGAGGGAGTTTTCAAGATGAAAGCAAGACCAGGCTTGGCAGAAGTGGCAGCTGTGGGCATCCTCCACGGACATCAGGACAGCCAGTGTAGCTAAGATGAAGTGGGTCCACTGGGAAAGGGACAGACAGGCTTGAGCCGAAGCTCGGACTTTATCTGAAAGCAACAGCAAGCCACCTGGGTTCTTGATAGTTTTGAAAGCTCTTGAACATATTTAAGGTTTTGATGAGAATCATCTACGGTCTCTTTTGTCATTTAGACTTTAGCTGTCACATCTAAGAAGCCACTGCTTGCTCCAAGGTCACGAAGATTTACACCTATGTTTTCTTCTAAGAGTTTTACAGTTTTAGCTCTTATGTTGACATCTTTGACCTAGTTTCAGTAAATTTTTTATTACGGTGTGAGGGAGGGGTCCAATTTCGTTCTTTGGCTTGTGGCTATCCAGTTGTCCCATCATCATTTGTGAAAAAAAACCATTCTGTCCTCACTGAACTGTCTTGGCTCCCGTGTTGAAAAATCAACTGGCCGTGAGGGGTAGGGCTTATTTCTGGACTTTCGATTCCATTTCAATGACTTGCAAGTCTAGGCTCTGTTGGTGCCACACGGTCTTGACGACTAGAGCTTTGTGAGGAGTTCTGAAGTCAGAAGTGTGACTCCTCCGACCTCTGTTCCTTTTCAAGACTGTTTTGACTATTCTAGGTCCCTTGCGTTTCCTCATGAGTTTTAGAATCGGCTTGTCAATTTCTGTACAAAGGCAGGGGGAATTTTGGCCCCAAATCTGCAGACCAATCTGGGGGCTATGGCTGTCTTAACTTTATTAAATCCTCCGTTCCATGAACATGGTTTGTCTAGCACTGATTTTTTTTTAACTGTGAAATACATCTGGGACAACTCTGCCAAAAAAAAGAAAATTAAAAGAAAATCTTGATCTGAGAAATCAGTAATGTGCTCGAGTATCCCATTACTGAATGGACAACAGAGCCTCAACCAGCAGACTGAAAATAGGAGAAATGTCCTCATTCTTCACAGCAAGTTCACGCAGCACTCCTGCCTCCAGACACCTGAGGCAAACAACTCACTCATCAGGTGAGGATGGTGCCAGTTTCCACACTCTCTCAGAAGGGCGGGATATTAGCACTAGAAATCCAGAGCAAACCCGGCTTTACACATCGCTGGGAATAAACACAGGGGAGAAGCAGAGGTGCAGCTCACCTCTACGAATCTCTGTGCAAGACTAAAAATAAACCTGTCAAAAGACTGAATTGTACAACCAAGATATACGACTACTGATTTTGAGGGTGTGGGGGGAGAAGGAGCCCGCACAGAGCAAATGGTGGAGTCACGCGACAGCACTGCTCAAGGTGTTCGTGCCAAGCATGGTGACGAGAGCTCTCGCAGGCCTGGGGCCCAGAACAAAGGGCGTTCCTCCTTCCAGCAGAACTGGACTCTGCCAGACGTTAAGGAAGAAATTACAGTTTTTACTCTTTGGACCAGGCGCTTCTTGAATCAATTAAAAAGTAGAGGAAAATCTGAAGCTGCACAATTTACAATGTGTAAATCAGAGGAATATAATCTGACAGAAAACTGAACCTGCTTTCACGCTAGGTATTTCAGCATCTTCAAGGTGACTTGTAGGTGATCCAACAAAAACAGCCCTTCTTCACCTGCCCACACGGGTATTTTATACAAGCCTGGTCAGGTGAAGGGGTAAAGAATGAAGTCTGCCTCTTCACATAGCCAAGACTGCAGTTCAATGGAATATAATCCAAGGGATTATATATGCCTGTACTTCTGGGAAGAAGAATCTAACAGAGGCCAAGGTGACTGGCCAGGGCTGGGGTGGGGTCCATATCGCCCTGACTCTTGGAGATTCTCCAACATACTCTGTACTTCCCTAGGAAGCCAAGGATGCCCTAGAACTTGACTGAGTCTCACCACGTGGAGATGAGATCTAAAGCACATAGGTTAGTTAGGTGGACCTTCGAAAGTCTCTCCTAAGATCTGTCAATATGCACACATCCTCTCTCCTGTGACATCCAGACACGGTCTCGGATCTCAGGCATCATCCATGACCTTAATGGCTGTGTGGCCGTATGAAATGTTAGCCACTGGCCCTGCCAAGGCAGACTTCCCAGGCGAGCAGCAGACTTAGTATTTGAAATGTTCAAGGATGGTGGGGGGAGGGGGGGAGAAGAGTGATGATACTGCATATATTATACATATAAAAGTTTACTCATGAAATCAGAAGGATCCCAAAGGTCACTAGGACTTGAGGTCATAAAAATGTATACACTTTCTTTGTCCACCTCTTAGTCTATTCAGACAATTCTTGTGATGAATGGATTGCCAAGGAGTCACCCCTGGGCACTTAACATTTCTCTACCAAGGGGGAGCTGTAATGTCCACGTACATCCCAAGTTCGTCCAAGCACCTTCTCAGGCTACAACAGGTGTGTCTGTCTACATGGACACGGCCTGGAGCAAGAGGCTTTGCTAAGCAAGCTCTGAGCTGCGGTATAAGGACATCACTTTCTCTAGTCTCATGACCACACATTCCCCATTACTTCTGGATAATTTTTAAGATTCTGTCTGATATAAGCTATTATTAAAGTCATATAACCTAGCTAAAGGGAATACGCTTGCAATGGAACAGACAGCTTTCAATCCTGGCTCTGACACTACTAAGCGGGCTCCAGCAAGTACCCTTCCCCCCTCTCAGACTGAAGCTGTTAACTGTGGACTGATACAACCCACCCTGCAAAGATCTTGTCTGGATTATTGCTCACAGCTACAAAGTGCCTGGGAAGACCTGAGAAGTGAGGCGAGTAGGAATGGCCAAACTACAGAGCAGACCCCGGGACACAGTGAGGGGTCAGGACAGTCAGGTGCTAGGTGAAGGCAGGGAGTTGGGAAAGTGGGGGGAGTAGTCTAGATTGGGGTGTGATGACTCCTAAGTCAAGTGGGCAGGGGGCAGGAGTGGGGCCAGTCATGAAGACAAGGTGCCAGATCACAAGCCGACAAGACAGGGTCAAGTGGGCAGGACAACCTATCAGAGACAACACCACTAACAGCCATTACTCTCCAACCACCAAGCAGTGGGGAATTAGGTTTTCTGGGTTTTGGGTTTTTTTTTTTTTGCCCATTATGGTTCCTCAGCACCTAGGAACACAGTATTTGCTGAATGAACGAATAAACTAGTAGCTGTTTATAAAGACACTGTGTTGTGTGCCTTATAGAAACTATCCCTGAGATCTCGTAACAACTGTGGGAGGTGGCAGCATCATTCCTGATTCAAGACAGACAGACTGAGGCATGGAGAGGTCAGGTACCTTGGTCCAGCCTTCCTGGTAGGAAGCGAAGACCCACGATTCATCTATGCTCTCTGCTCTGCTAGACAGCTACCCGGGCGAAGTTTCTGTCCCGGTCAGAAGCTGGCCCACCGGCCCCACCTGCTGGGATGCTGACTGACTCTGAATCATCCTCCAAACTCCCATTCCTGACACACACTCGCCTCCCCCATGCTGGGGAGACACCCATTCCTGGAGCCATCCTCACACTGTACCCCGATGACTTTCTGGCTCCACGGCCCGATTATGAGCACCATAAGAGGTAAGAGCCGCATCTATGATATTCTGTGTGTGGCCGCGGTGCCTGGCTTACATCATTGCTAAGGGAATGGGAGTTGACTATGTGACTCAAGGAACGAGTCTTCCACGGAGGGTGGACTGATGGCCAGTGTCAGGCCACCTGGGAGCTTGGCAGGAGAGGCAAGGAAGCCACCTGGCCAGAGGGTTGGGACTCAGGCCAGATCCCGGCACGATAAGATACGCACGCCAGCCGAGACCAGAAAAGCCGGCATCGGAAGAGAATTATGGCCATGGTGGACCTCTGCTCCCTGGACAGTACATACCATTCAAACGCACTCCCAGCACACAGGGACACTCGAAAAGGGGGAGCAGAGAGCTGACATGAAGAGAGACCACACCTGAGGTATCCACAGAGGGAAAATCGCTGTGGCTTCAGCACTCAGGCTCCCAGAGGTCGAGCCCCCCTGCTGGAGGCACGAGCCTGGGTTCTCAACATCCAACAGCTCGGAACCCACATGCCAACAATGAGGTTCTGGCAGAGAATCTGTCCCCCAGGACCTCGCAGAGAGGGGACTCACAAGGGAAGGGGAAGCAAAGGGCTCGTGCAAAAATCAGCAGTACTGATGGGCTTTACCTTCAGAGAAGGGACCTTTCCCAAATCCTAAAACCGTGGTGCAGATATAGGTGCTCACTATACAATTTTTCTAACTCTTCTGTAAGTCTGAAAAGTTTCATAATAAAATAGTGGAAAAAGTCAAACAGTAGAATCTTCTTTACAGAAAGCAGAAATATTAAAAGAATACAAATGTCAGTGACACAGAGGTGTGGGGGCACTGGGGTCATAATGGCACAGGCTCCTTTCCAACATGTAGCTACAGGGTAACAAAGAGAAGTGGCCCAAAGCTGCCATATGCAAGAGCCACACTCTTCACTTAGACCAAATGATTAACGTTTGAGATTTACAGGAAGGAAACAGGATAGGGGCTCCCCCCAACCATCAATGCAGTTTCCTTAAGGCATGCTACCTTTTATGGACTGAAATTATGGAGTAAGAATTTTTATACCATTAAATGAAAACCATAAACACTGGGGCTCATGGGTGGCTCTGTCAGTTGAGTATCCCACTCCTGATTTTAGTTCAGGTCACAATCCCAAGGTTGTGGGATGAGCCCATGTTCGGCTCCTTACTGAGCATGGCACCTAAGATTCTCTCCCTCCCTCCTCCTCTCTCTCTCCCTCCCTCCCCCTGCCCCTTCCCCTTCTTGTGCACACTCTGTCTCAAAAATAAAAACAAAAAACCATCAATGCCTTCAGTTTTCTAAGTCACAAGAAGAATCCAAAAAAGGGGTTGAGAGCTAAACAGTGCCCAACGTTCAATTCTTGCTGTGACTGGAAGAACACGAGACAGAACCCCAATCATAAAAATTATTTAGAAATACATAAAATTCCCCTTATACACATTTGTTTCTTCCTGGCGGTGCCCACAGACCATCCAATCTAGGGGATACGTCATCAAAAAGCAACGCAGAGTGTAACACAGTATACAGTACAATCACAAGCCAGAGACCGGACAGTTCGATGTTTGGGCAGAAAGCCAAAAAGGGGCGCTAAAAGGGTTCTTAGGAGCCTCTGTGCAGTCTAGGGCAGCTGGGCGGGTCCACAGAAATGCACAAACATAACAAACCATAAAGACTTATGATCTGCGCTGGCGGACCTGTTACACTTCTCTGCAAAGCTATAAATAACCAGCTGACAACAGCCAGTTTTCCCAAACCTCCTAATTCTGCACAGCCAAAGCAAACACAGCCTTTGCACTGCACCCGGAGGACTGCTCGACTCCAGCATCTGCTGTCCTTCATTGTAAACCTGAGCCTCACTTCAAGGGACCGGTACTCCTTTGCAGACAGAGTGGCTCTCAACCACTGCCAGCGCCGCACGGAGAGCCGGCTGCCTCCGTGGCGCTGGGACTCCCACACCCAGCACCACCTCTTCTGGCCATCAGTAAGCCCGCTATTTTCCCCACACTCCAAGTTCTTTTTCTCCTCCTTCTTCTTCTTCTGCTCATAGTCCACGTGTGGGAATACCAAAGTGTCAGGATCTATATTCTCCATCCTGTGGGTAACTCTGAGCCCTCACACAGAACCGCTATCTGCCAATCTCTCACTTGGCTGACCCACGCTTACCAGGAGCCTGGTAAACGAGCAATACGGTACAACGTGAGGGCTGGCAAGGCGCAGAAGGCTGGAGGGCAGCCTCACGCTGCTCAAGGTCTAGCTGGAGATAAGAAGCCTCTGTGCACGTGGAGACACAGCCAACAACCCAAGAGGAACATGTCGTGATTGAAATCACACAAACTCAGATCACTGGGGCCAGGGTGAGCAGATGTCGTCTCCAGGGACAGGTCTGGGCATGGGCGAGAAGGACGTGGAGACTTCAGCTAGGCAGTGGGGGGGAGGGGGTTCACCTCACTTCCACAGAGGAACAACGGCAAACGCATGAACCATAAACGTAGAAATTCTCCATTTCATTACTGTCTGTGCACTCAAATTCATTTGCCTTTAATAAAACCCAGAGAAAGGGTTACAGTTAAAAATACCATCGGCCATTATTAACAGATGCGTGGAAGAAACTAATTCTTTAAGTTTATGAAAAAAGCATGCAAAAGTCTCCAATTTATGAAAATACTGAACTACTTACTCTCCTAGACTTCGGTCACAAAGGTAAATGCATTTGGGAGAAAGACAACAATATTCAGTTACAGTACAGGAACTTAAATCAGAGAGCACCTCCCCCCCCCCCCCACAGTGAACATCACATTCTGCTACGTAGTTCAATAGTCATTCATCTAAACTTCACTAGTAATACATTTAAGTAACATTCCCCTATGTACAAGGAAGTGGGTTATGTTAAATTCCCCATTGTAAAATCCACTCTATAACAAATATGCCATATAATTCCCTTAAAAATGTACTTTTTGGTATTTTTAAAATAAGCCTCCAAAAAGCAAATTGTCGCTGTGAACGTGTCAGCAGGTAGAAAAGGACAGAGCTGAGGCCAGAGCAACTGAGGTTTCCTGCTCATCCAAATGCAGCTGTAAGAAAACGCAGCTCCCTGGTTTTTGGAGCACGGTGTCCGGGCTGGAGGACTCAGGTGGCCACCTGCTGATGCAGAAAAGGACAGAGTCCACGGGCGCCGGGCACGGGAACCACGAGGTTCCAGACAGAAACTCAATGGCATAAATAGTGAGTACTGAGTAACGGAGATGTTAAGAGCGACTCAAGAGCAAAAAGGGGTTTATGAGACGTGAAGAAGCTACACCCACAGAGCAAAAAAGGCTTTATACGCTGCTGTGAAGGCCACACTGCCAGCAGATGCTATGCAATAAACAGATCTAAAAAGATGGTTTTATAAAACCAAACTCAAAAACCAAACTGAAAGCTCAGTGGAGGCTGACAGAGCCCGAGAGTGAACTGTGAGCAGCTGGAGGGCCTGAATGTCATGTTCTTCAGACCCAAAGCCCCCAAGCCAAAGGTGTGAGAACAGCAATCTTTCAAAATTAAATCCCCTCACCTCTTTCTGTTCAACCTGCAAGGCTGATTTCAAAATATCGCGAAGCTGTATCAACTGCCTTCTTTCTTCATCCTGGGCCTGCTTGATCTTTAAAACACAAAACAAAGCAGAGAGAAGCACAAACAAGGCACAGTGAGGTGCTGGAGGTCACAAGGCACCTCCACCTAAGCCCCTCAAATGCCCCCTCCCCCCCAATATACCCTCCCCCAACCAAGACGGAGGACGGGAACGGGGGCTCCGCACTCCACGAGGCACCGTGAGGCCATCGGCGTCGGGGAGGCACAGACCCGAACACAGGAGCGCGCAGAGGCAGTGTTTAAGTCAAAGCACTTGCTGCATAAAATCCATTTCAACGCTTTGGGGGGTGGGGGGGACGCTCACTGTGTGAAGGTCTGTTGAAAGTGTCTCAATGGAAGGCTTGAGGCTCTCAACTGCTTTCAGTCCGTCCTGGAAAAAGCTAAGAGGAAAAAAGAAGAAACACAGTGTCTCACAAAAGAGGAAACAACGTTGTTAGATGGAGAAAATACTTCTTTAAGGGAAAGTGAGTGAAATCATTATGTAATCCCCGGGGGGAGAGACTGTGTGAACCAAATTAATCAGGCACACAAAGAATAAAATGGCACTTAAAACTGCCACAAGTGACAGAAAAGGAACGGCAACAAATTCGTGGCCCGGAGGAAGGGAGCCCTGTTTTCAGTGTGTAATATGGGACCAGGACCCTCCTGACAGCAGAGTGGGGGCTCTGGTTCAGCAGCGGAAGAGAGTGAGGACAGAAAAGCAGGGGTGCAAGAGCAGCACACTGAAGCATCCTGCTGACAGTCCAGGGCCACGCGGGAGAGAGCGCGGGGAATGGCCCAGCCCGTCTGCAGCGTGCGGTGATGTGGCCGCAGGGCCGGACCTCAGAGAGCGAAAGGAAACTTTTGTTTTCTTGTTAAAGCTCAGAACTCCACGCTTGTGAGATCATTTATAGTGAGTGAACAGAAGCCAGACAGGTCTTCCTGCAGAAGGGCGGGCTGATGCTCAGCACTGCCTCTGAAGCAGGTTGTGTATAACCCTCTTGAGAGAAATGAAGAAATCGCTTCCCCGTGAGCTCAGGACACAGTTCAAAACCTGTCACAAGGCCTGTGGCACCCACGTGACTCGGCTTCCGCCTGTGTCTCCGGGCCTCAAGTAGCACCACTCGCCCCTTCCATTCACTAGATTCCAGACCTACCGGCAGTCTGTCTGTGGCCATCAGACCCCTCTTGCCTCAGGACCTTTGCATATGCTGCGTCTGCTTTCTAAAAACGTCTCCCTGCACATACCTTCTTTTTCGCCTGGATTATTCCCAACCACTCTACACTCAAGTTTTAAGTAAAATAATCATTTTGTTAGTGAGGCTTCCATGGTCCCCTACTTTAATGACAGTCTCCCTACTCTATTCTCTGAGCATTCGGTCTCTTCCTTCACAACCTTGGCATGGCTACCATTATACAGTCATTAGTGTGACTATTTAAAATACACCCGCCCTTCCTTAGATCTGCAGCTCTGGAGGGTAAGGACATGGTATCCACAAAGCCTGGCACATTTCAAGCACACAGTATTTGTTGAATGAAAAAACAAACTAATGAAGGAAGGACTCTCCAGCTTCGGCTGGATTATTGGAAGATGGCGATCTTCAAAACGGGAGGTGACGGTTATCCCTTCTAAACCCAGCAGGCCCTGGGGGCCTGCCCACGTGAAGTACGGAATGAACAGGAGGGGTGATAAAAGCAGCACAGCATGACACTTAACGTGGTAATTCCAAGGAGGAAGGGAGAGGAATATGTAATTACAGGACGTGGGTTATGAACCGTTACTAGCCAGGCAGCGAGAATCACAGAAGCTGTGCTAGAATGTTCTCGCCTGAATTTGCAGATACAGGCATAATTCTTTACCTTATTTTCTCGTTCCTATATTTGGCCTAAGTCACGTCAGAGTGTAAGGAACAGTGCTCCACGTGTCTGCATCCGCCGTCAGGGGTGCCTTCCACCCTGTCACTGTGGCCGCACACAGCAGGCACTCCTCTATGTGGGAAAGGAGACCTGGAGGCCCACATGCTTGAATGGGGAACCGAGCCTCTCCCCTGCGGTCACCAACTCCTCCGGATCTCACGCTCTACTTCAGTTACATTTTTCCTTTATGGAAACTATCTCCTCAATCACTCCAAGTTCTTGTGGAAGAAGCAGTGAGAGAGAAAGAGATGGGGAGAGGGAGGGAGAGAACACGGATAAGGAGCGGGAAAAGTAGCACAGGAGGCTGGCACAGCACGGCCCTGCCCCCGGGGCCCCACAAAGGGGAGCAGGTGCACAGCTCCGAGAACCTCTACGCCTGCACCGTCCCTGGAGAGGAGCACCCTGTCGGGGAGGCAAGTGCCCAGAACTCAGACACAGGTTTCCCGGCACACACGTCACTTCCAGCATGGCCCTGGACGGTGCGCTTGGAGTAACAATACAAATTTGGGTTTAAGGTTTGGTTCTTTTTTTTTTTTTTAAATTGAGAGAGAGAGAGAGACAGAGCATGAGCAGGGGAGGGGCAGAGAGGGGGAAACACAGAATCTGAAGCAGCTCCAGGCTCCAAGCTCTCAGCACAGAGCCTGACGCAGGGCTCAAACTCACAAATTGTGAGATCATGATCAGAGCCGAGGTCGGATGCTTAATCAACTGAGCCACCCAGGCGCCTGATTTGGTTCTTATCTTTGTAATCACCCAGCCGATTCTGACCATCTACCTAGAACACCTCCTCCCTCTGACTGTCAAAATCCCAATCATTCCATATCCTCCTTTTTGAGGTGAGTTTTGATACCTCAGTGTACCCTCCTTGGCTTCAGGGAAAGCATCAGAGACAAGGGCTCTGTCATTGCTTTGCCACCGGCCACCACTGTGACACTTTTTTCCTTTTTCAAGGTTTTATATTTAAGGAATCTCTACACCCAACGTGGGGTTCAAACTCAACCCGGAGATCGAGAGCCGCTGGCTCCACTGACTGAGTCACATCCCATCGCTGTGACACTTCTAAGTTACAAATCCCAGCACACTTTTCTCGGGCTGACTCGCCCAAGCTTCGATCAAACAACGTTTGCCATCAACATTACCAAATACCAATTTTTGTTTGTTCGAATTTTGTTTCTCTACCCAGCCTGACCAAGCTCTCAAGCCTTTAAAACGCAGCCGTTGAGTGAGACTGAGTCTTTAAGCTCCCACCACGCAGGTGGCCTCTGCCTCTCTCACTGCAGGGTTCACAAGAGCACCCCATCATCATGGCCCAAGACCCGCCTGCACTGTGCACCCTGGCCCTGCCTCTCAGGACAGCACATGTGTCCAGGGCACCACACCTGTGCCTCACCCAACACGGTCTCCCAAGTTCCTCAGGTCACAGCTGGTCAGGGTGGTTCCCAGCAGGACACACAGTGCACAGCCACGTGGCCCTTTGTCCCATGGCCAACTCACTCCAGCTCCACATTTCATCCCCCAGAATACGGATGAGAACAGTCAAAGCTGTGCACATGATGTGAAGAACATGCAGTACACACACACACACACACACACACACACACACACACACACACACAGGAAGTAATGGAAGATTCATCATTTTTAAAGGTTGCTGAGCTCATGCCCATAAAAGGCCAACTAGTTCACTTTTCCACAAGTGGTCTGTTGCTACCCAACGGATCAGTTTGGGCAAAATAAAGAGAAAAAAGGAAATCCAAGAATAGCTTCTTAAAAATAAAATATTAGCAAGGAAGCGACCCACCTCCTAATCTGCCTCACACAAGGGTACAAGGACAAGTACTGAAGAAGTGATTTGTACGTTAATCACAAAGTTAGGATTTCGAGTCTCTATACAATAATTCACTTTGGAAATTCTACAGATCAGAGGTCTGTTTTCATCCTCTGAGGCTCTTTCCAAGCCCGGAGCTCTTCTTTTAACCTACAATGGGTCACAAGGCATATCTTCCTTTGCGCTTTGACCTCACCTGCATCAGAGACGCACAGTCACCAAAGCTGTAGGAAGGCCAAAGCTAAGTACAACAGTGCGATTCGCCGCTGCAAGTATGCGCCAGGTGAATGCAGCACGCACTACGGACGGACCAAAGAACTGCCACGGCCCCTTTCCTTAAAGAACATACAGTTGGGTGGAAGGCACACCACAAGGTGAAAGACGCCATGCTGGATACAGAGGAGGTATGTGGGAGTATCGTGACGATGCAGAGGGAAGAGGAGTCATTCCATCGGGGGAGGACCAGGTGACCTCAAAGTGACAGCTAGGCTCGAGGCAGGTGTTAGGGATGAACCGAAGCCAGGAAAAGGCACAGGGGGAGCAGCGGGGCGTTCTAGAGAGGGGAGCGGCGTGTGCAAAGGTACAGCACCGTGGGGCACAGCCTGTTTGGGGAACAGCAAGCAGACAGGTGTGGCGATTCAACCTCCAAAGATTTCTCCCATCAGTCATGCCCCCCACGGGCACTGTCCCCAGTCTAGGCCAAGGCATTGTCACCTCCGGGCTGTGCCGGGACAGGGCTGTGGGCTTAAGTGATCGTCCACGCCCACTCTCGGTTCCTCGTTAAAGCAGAAATGGAATCGAGAAGCCTTCCCAGAGGTTTCCCACCAACGCCCCTCTCCTCCTCTCCCCACCCCTCCCCGTTCCACAGTTTCACAGCCGTGCCGCTCTAAAACCGTTACACACATCATGTCTTTACTATTTACCCACCTCATAGGAACCAGGAGATTCATGAGTAAGAAGTATCCCCAGAACCCCAAATAGTGCCTGGCACATAGTGGGGGAGCTCCATATGTGCTGGATGAATTCCCTGCTCAAATCTTCCAAGAGCTTCCCCCATACATTTAGGATAAAACCTAACCCCCGACACAAGCCTCCTAAGGCCATCCACGTCTCAAGGCTTTTCCATCTAGTTTCACGTCCCAAAACCCTCCCTTCCCTCATTGTGCTTAAGTCACACGAGACTTCTTCCTGCCTGGAGACCTTGACTTTGCCTGGAATGTTCTTCTTCTACCGCTTATCTGCTTGATCTTTAGATCTTGGAATCCATGTCTCCTCAAAGAGGCTGCAGCTATAGCACGAAGGGCGTGAGGATCTACTATATCCTAGGCCCTGTGTCTCGCGGCTAGAGGATACAGCAAGGAATGGGGGGAAGGAAAAAATAAGAAAGCCCCAGTCCCTGCCTTCAATCTTCATCTAAATCAGCTCCTTCTATTATTTCTTTGATTCTGACACTTCAGAACACGTTTCAAATGTGCGGCATAAACCCATTTGCTGAAGCTCGCCTGCCTGCCTATTCAAGCAGGAACATGTCTGTGACAGACAGTGTCCTTCCCCGGCACCCGGGACAATGCCAGACATACAGCACACACTGTGAGGAGGGACGAGCTGGCGACCGGGGAATGTCAGGACCAGGGGTCGGGCAGCAGCGGGAGGTGAGCAGGAACAGACGCGCGGCGTGACGCGGCCTGGGACGCGGGGCTCACGTGTGGGCCAAGCGGAGGGCGCGAGGTGGCTGCAAACGCGGAGGCATCTCCCTCTCTCTCTCTCCTGCACTTGGCCTCCTCTGCTCATCGCAGTCGCTTGGTTTTCAGGGGTAACTAACAAGGCAAACTATCTCCGTAATTTACAGCTAATTTCCTTTAAACAACAACAACAAAATGTGTGAATCATGTATTAGATCTAACTGGTCTGTCCCTCTGCAAAAAGAGCAAAAATTAATACATCTGATGATCACTGCAGAGTTTTATATTATTTTCATTTTTTATTGAAGATTCTAAGCCACAAGATTTGCCCTTTTCAAGTGTACCATTCAGTGGTTTCCGTATATTCACAGAATTGTGCCATCATTAGCACGGTCTCATTCTAGACCATTTTCATTACCCCCACGAGCAGTCATTCCCTGCTTCCCCCAAGCCCTGGCAATCAGTCGCCTGGAGACCTGCCTCTTCTGGCCTTTCAAATAGATAAAATCATATTGAATGTGGCCTTCTGTGTCTGACTTCTTTCACTTAGCACGCTTCCAAGGTCTACCCATGGCACGGCACGTATCAGTACTTCATGTCTTCTACAAAGAGTCTTACATGACTGCTTATTTTCCTCCATACAATACTGCACATCTACCGGAAGCTGCCTTAAAGAGAGAAACATTTGGAATAACATCATAACAAAGAAGAAGAACTTACTTGCATTGGGCATGGAAATATTTGATCAGATTCTGAAGTAAATCCACTCCCTTTTTAATCTTAATTTCATTGACCTTCAGCAGATACTGTTAAAAAAAAAAAAAGCAAAAAAGGGTATGTCATAAGCAGCAGAACAGACGCTTGTGAGGACAGACCACCTTCTCTGACATCTTTTACTAGGGGTAGAGCTCATGGCAGATGCTTAATATTTCCTCAAAGCCAGAACTACACGTTTCTCTTAGGTTGGTGCCAGATGAATCATCTGACGTCCAGGTAATTAAGTGCTTAAGTGCCAAAAACTTGGAGTAATAAGATACCATATCGTAACCTGCTGGAAGAAGTTTCCTTGAAGCTGCACAAAGGATGCAGATGGGTGGAATGAACGGTCTCCAACCATTCTGAACGTTTCTGTCCACACCCTTCTGCCCCATGTCCCTTCTCTGGGCAGGTCACATCTGCAATACTAAGTGCTAGTGCTTAGTATCTGAGACTCTTGTTGCTGCATCTCTAATCATGGCACTTAAAAAAATGTGATTGTTATAATAAACAAAAAAAAATTTAATGTTTTATTTATTTATTTATTTTGAGAGAGAGAGACAGACAGACAGAGAGACAGAGTGCGAGCAGGGGAGGGGCAGAGAGAGAGAGGGAGACACAGAATCCGAAGCAGGCTCCAGGCTCTGAGCTGTCAGTAGCACAGGCCCAAAGCAGGGCTCGAACTCACGAACAGTGAAATCGGGACCTGAGCCGAAGTCAGACACATAACTAACTGAGCCACCAAGCATCCCCAAAACTAAATTTTAAGTTGAAATTAAAGCCATTTTTAACTTGGGCAATTCAGGGACGACCACTAACATCTCAGGAAGCTCCAGGAATCTACAAAACCAGCATCAGGAAACAGATTTGCTCTCTGCTGATGGTATACAGAGCAAGCCCTCTGTAAGCTCCCCATCCCTTCCACTGCCGGGACATGGTATGCAGAGCCTGAGAACACGCCATCCCCGACACTGGACGCCCCCAAAAGAGAGGCCAAAGCTGCCGTTCAGGCCACAGAGCCCAACAGGAGGGGAAGCTGATCATCAACAGTCAGCCACAAAATCTCAGTGTCCTACACCAACCTCCTGCATGCCCCCCCCTTCTGCTGTCTCCTATTTATTCACTCTTAACAGAATAAGACTTTGGCAATGGATCGAAACGGTTAAGTAGTTAATAGAATGCTCGGCAACGTCTCAAAATATAAAATGTGCATCTTTTGATATACTCTATTTCTAGGAACTCTTTCTAAGAAGATGATCCTAAAAGTTTACAAAGATGAATAGAAAACAAGGTTCATTGCAGGGTTGTTTGTAAAAGTAACAAATGGCAACCCAGATGTAATGGATGGAAAATTAAAGTCTGGTGCAGCCACACAAAACCTGCTACATAGCCCTGACACCAATAAAGCAGGGCCTTGCGACACGGAAAGGTACCCGTGACATACTGGTGACTCAAATAATCAGGATATAAAGCACCAGTAGAAAATGATCCCGTTTATACAAATTATTTTTATGAATGTACACAGATACATGAAAGATGTTTAGTTCAATGTCAAAGTACCTATCTTTCGGGATGATTTTAAATTTCATATATACAGACTAATTTTTAAAAGTTTTTTATTTTTATTTTTTAATTTGAGAGAAAGCACGTGCATGCATGCATGAGCAGGGGAGGGGCAGAGGGAGAGAGAATCTCAAGCAGGCTCCCCACTCAGCACAGAGCACAATGTGGGGCTCGATCCCACAACCCTGGGATTATGACCTGAGCCAAAATCAAGTGTCAGATTTTCAACTGACTGAGCCACGCAGATACCCCAAGAGTGCGTATTTTTATAATCACAGAAAAACAAGATGGGGTCTCTCCTACATTTTCCATCACCAATGCTCCACACCCCCTATTTATGGCACACTGAGTTTCTCTGTAAAATTCATTTTGAAGAAAAAGTTCCAGAGCTTTGAAATAAACACCTGCAAGCCAGTCTTCTAGATTAGATCTTGGGCAGCTCGACTTTTAAACACCTAAACAACAGCAAGCATTTACAGACCTGAGGTCCTCAGGATGAGGGACCAGTCGAACAATTTTACCATGATTGATTAACTGCAGCATCTCCTGTGGAGGTGCGGGATCCTGGGGGGAACGCTTTTCAGACATTCTTCCCGCACGGAGAGCCCCTCCCAGCCCACTTCTGTTGGGCCACACTCACGTCCTTCACCGGATGCGTCCTCTTCTGGAAACCCCAGCCATGCCTCTGTTCGTGCACACAGTGCCTGCCTCCGAGAACGGCCGGGTCCTCGAGGCGCAGCACACGCTGGAGCTGGGGCCTACCCGGGGGCTGGCTCGGCAGGTAGCTCCCGCATCATCAACACAGTATGTTTCCAATAAAATAAACTATTCTACCAGTGCACATGATCCATTTGCCAGAAGATGAAAATCAAAGAGTGCAGGGCACCTAACTCAGAAAGCAACGTGCTGCTCCCACTTCAAAGAAATACTAGTAACGCGCCAATGGAGTCTCACAAGTCACTAAACATTTTAAAACAAGCAGTCTTTTGCAGAGTTTAGGCAAATGTATTTTCTTCTTACTACAGCTTAAAAAAAAGAGCATAAGCCAAACACATATACACACACACACATACGTTCCAAATCCATTTTTTATAAAACACTGCTACTTAATTTTACCCCAATTACATAAAAACAATACTTAGTATTTGTGTACCACACAGCAATTTCCTATGTCCGTCTCATATCCTCTGGGCTGATTCCTTCAACACCGTGAGAAACCAGCCAGGCAGGCATTGTTATATAGGAAGTTTATGAAACAACACATATCTAAAAACATCCACTCTCCTATCTACAGTAAGACTGAGCTCAGCTGACTTTCTAACTAGTCGCTTAGTGAATAAAAAGTCGCAAAGGAAGAACAAAAGAACAAAGATGACAGGAGACTTAAAACAACAAGAAAAGTAAGACAGACGTAAATCCAGCCATGGCAATGGCAACATCAGTGTGAAAGGATTAAACAACCCCATCAAAAGGCAGAGACTGTCAGACTGGATTTAAAAAACGCTGTCTACAGGAAACACACTTTAGATTCACAGATACACTGCAGGTTGAAAAAGGAATCCACGCAAAGAGAAGCGAAGAGCGCTGGAGCGGCCGTACTAACATCAGACTAGTACCACCTCCTCGATCCCGGGACTGCCTCTCCTCCACTGACCACTGAGGAGATTGCTCGGGGAACAAAGACTGTTGAAACATACTCCTAGGATGTTTCCAAAAGCTGAACTCCCACTGCAATTAACAAACATTCTGAAATCAACGAGCACTTGTGGAACAGCTCTGTGGACTGCTCATGGGGACGCAGCCAGGGTCAGTGCCTGGTCACAAGCGGTGCCCACGCACCGTCACACTTAGAACTTAGGTCTGTACCTGCTACGGCACAAACGCCATCAGGTACACGGCTTCCCCGGCACACCAGGAGAACAAACCCGCAGGCAGAGGCGGGAGTGGTTTCCACACACCTCTTTTACAGAGAGACCCACCAGCAAGGCATAGAGAGGCTGAAGGCAAAGGCCTTCATGACTGGTTTCTGCTATTTTCTGGCCCCGAGCCTCCAGCAGGGAATGTCCCAGAGTGTCAGCACTGTTTCCCTCCCCCTCTCCGAGACAAGGGCTCAGGCTGCAGACAGGTGCTCCCCAGGGCCTCTTGCCTCGATGACTGAACCCGGGAGGAGGCACTTCTGAGGCAGGCGGCTTGGGTTCCCATGGCGCTCTGTCACACATTCATACACGCACTCAGACCTGCAGGAGGCCCGGCTGCATTTTTTTCCAGCTGACTTCTCCCTGGCCTCCTCATGGATTCCACTGGTACAATGCGAGTCCATATGCCTCATTAAAAACCACTAACAGAGGAGTGTTTTAGCAATGTCCCTGTGAGAGGGGAGTCTGAGTATGTAAGGGAGGCCAGCATGGACATTTCTTTAAATTTAGTTTCTTTCCTACCTTTTTTTTTTTAGTTATTTTATTTATTGAGTGAGTGAGAGTGAGAGACAGAGAGAGAGAGAACACGGGAGGGAGAGAGAGAGAATGAGAGATAAGAGTCCGAAGCAGGCTCTGCACCATCAGCATTGAGCCTGATGTAGGGTTTGAACTCACAAACCATGAGATCATGACCTGAGACAGGGTCAAGAGTCCGCTGCTTAACTGAGCCATGCAGGTGCCCCTCTTCCCTACCTTTAATTACTGGCTGGGGTTAGATTCCTCTCATCCCACCCTCCTCCAGGAGACTCAGGCTCCCCCAGTAACAGAAATTGGATAAGTGCCATCCAATCATGCCTGGGGTGCTCTCTGAAGCCTCGGGGAAGCGCGCCCTCCCCGCGGCAGCTCACGTCCAATGAAGACTGGAGGCCTACTCCCACTGTAACCTGCGCCCCTCGGGGCTGGCTGACCCCCCCCCATTGTAACCTGCACCCCCTGGGGCTGGCTGCCCTACCCCCATTGTAACCTGCACCCCCCAGGGCTAGCTGACCCCCCACCCTGTGTTAACCTGCACCCTTTGGGGCTGGCTGACCCCCCCCACTGTAACCTGCACCCCTCGGGGCTGGCTGACCCCCCCCCACTGTAACCTGCACCCCTCGGGGCTGGCTGACCCCCCCCCCACTGTAACCTGCACTCCCCTGGGCTGGCTGACTCCCTCCCTGGGAACCCTCCCTAGCTCTCACCTCGCACATCTGCAGCTGGAAAAGCCGCCGCTCCTTCTCCATCTCCTCGGCAATTTCTGCCCCACTGATTTCGGTGCGAATCATCCCGTGCAGCTTGGCGTGCTCCTTCTTCTCCTTCTCAATCTTGGTGCTGCCAGGAGAGAAAAGCAAGGATAATTTGAGGGCACGGCACTCCACACCAGAGGCAGGCCCGCAGGGATCCACTACCCTGCCTGCGGGACCAACGTGCATGAGTCTTTGAGAAACAAGACAGCCTCTTACCAGAATGGGAAATGCACGTGGTCATAAGAATGTCACACTGGCCTTTTCTGTTGAGTACTGACTCAAAAAATACTTTCCTAAGCACCTACTTTGTGCCAGGTCTAAGTCAGAAGGTAGAGAGCCTGTTCACACCTCAGAGGCCTCCTTCAGGGCAGTGCTCCGTCTGTCCGTCTGTCCCTCCGTGTGTCTGTCAGTGTGCCCGCTGAGCCACACAAAGGGCGCGGTGTGGCAGGAGGCTCCCTCCCTCCTGGGGTCTCCCTGCTCCTCTATACCCACCTCCTTGCTGACTGAGGTCATGCCAGGGTTCTGCCTCAACTAGGACAGCGCTCACTGTTGCCAGACAATTCTCACACGTGAATGGTTACAGTTATCGTTAAAATCTAGCTTAGAATTATTCCAAGCTCTCGCACTCTCGAATTCTGGGATTTTGTGAGTAATCCTGTCCCCACTCCGTGGACGTATTTCCTGATTTTACAGAATCTGATCTCATTCCCCTTTCAAACCTTTCCCTCTCACAGCCAGAGGAGCCTCGCAGGTAACCCACTTCAAAATCCCCTCCATGCCCTGGGTTCAGAAATGCACAGGAGCAGCTCCTCTGAGGGGCCTGAGGGCGGCCGCAACAGAGGCCGAGTGGAAATCCACATCCCGGCCGTGGCCTGACGGCTCTCCCACTGGTGCACCAGCAGCAAACTACCACGTCCTGGCTTCCTGTCTAATCGGAGGCCTGGCGAGCCTCCCCTGTCGAGGGCACTGTACTGGGCAGCGGAGGAGGGAGTCTCGGGGCAGGGATAGCAAGCCTGGAGCTTCTCTGGGATGCACAGACCTTCAAGGTGCTCTGAGTGTCATGCTCTATCCATGTCTTACATGGACTTATGCCATTAGTAAAATCCAAGATTTGGGGATCCAAGCAACTGTGGGAAGTCTGGGTATAGAAATTTAAGATTTCCAGGAAGGGACAAATATCAAAGGACAAAAAACCAAAGCCCTGGTTTGAGCTCTGTGATCCTTCTCCACTGAACAGATACCCGAGGCTGGTTTTAAAAACAAAACACACACACACAAAACCCCAAGTCCAATTAAATACTTGTGGCGACATCTGGAACAGCTTTCTTCTTCACACCTCTCACTTTACCAGATGGCTTCATGTTAACGTCTGTCTTTCCCCTCAGAAAACTCTACATTGTTACCCAATGCTCAGTCATTACAAAGTAAACATGAGCCATTTAAAAACATGTTCTATCTCTCTCAACTACTTACAATAATTAAAACCACTATTGCTGCAATCACCAGCCTGATTCTACTGAGCGAGCAGGTGGAATCCTCTCCATGCGGGGAAGGAGAAACTGCGACCGGGAACGATGGCTGCAGTCAACCAGGAGGGGTCCTGTCTTCCAGGGGGGACCGTGGTGCACATCCAAGAATCAACTGACCCTTTTATTCACATTCTTACAGCAGATGAAGCCATCAAAATAAGGCAAGAGTGGGGAGTTCCAACAAGCTCTCTTTTCTCTTTCTAAACCAAGGGATTGGTGCTTTGGAGAAATACAGGCACAAAGCTAAAAGCAGATGGCTCACGCAAATCGCCAGGAAGATGAAGTCCGAAATTGTGCGACTGTCATAAACAGTGATAAAGCGGAGAAAGCATTTTTCTAAAAAAGGAAAAGAACTCCCCTCCCCTAACAAAACCTTATCCTTTGGTTAGCTTTCCCGAAAATAACCCTCTGTGCCCGTGATGACGTAACAGAAAAGGGACCAGGAAAAACTTGTGTGAAGAGGTCCAGGGCGTCGCTGAATTCAGACACCGAGTATGGATGCATCTGGCGCAAACCACAGCAACACGGTTTTAAGGGAAGTCGTCCCTGGGTTAAGGTTTATTTGAGAAAACATCTTTAAGCTACAAAAGCTCAATTTAAAGTTAAAATCTCAAATTACCTACTAAAAAATGGCAACACTCACATTTTTGTTTCATAGTCCTTCCAAGCTTTATCAAAAGGCTTTTTCAGATCCTGCAAACAGAGAGGCATAAATTAAACAGAACTAGTATTAACTTCCGCGCAGGACGACTTACTTATTCCTAGACTGGCCCCGAAAGGAACATTAATTTCTGTAACAAATGACGCATGCGATCCTAGGAAAAATAAAGAACTTCAAACACAGACTTTTAATTAGATGAGCAGACATGCCAAATGCTCAGAGAGAGAGAGGGAGAGAGAGAGCAAGAATCCCACCACATACCCGCAACCCAGCTGGAGTATGAACTCATGGCCCGTTGTTAGACCCAAAACCCTACCCTTAGGATTACTCTAAAATTAAACCCAGAAAAACACTTAATCTGCAAGTATTTTAGTACCTCTCTCTACAAAAAAAAAAGGGGGGGGGACTCCAACTTTTTCTAAGAATAGGAGAATCTCCCCCAAGAGATGTAACCTTGACTCAGGTCCCAAGGAGATAAAAGCCATTCACCTTCTCCTGATTCTACTCTTGTGTCTGGAACGCAGGACCTCATACTCCAACAGAGCCAGCCCCCAACACACTGGGCCACTAGAAATGCTAGCGAGCGGCTCCCCACTATTTATGCCCCCTTCCCCAGGGCTCTTTCATAAGAAAGCACCTCCCCTTTGGGGGCAGAGGCTTAGGTTTTACTTTTTGGCTCTTTCCTGGCCTCACGACAAGGCCGAGGCCCCTAGCGCAGCACCTAAGGCCTTCCAGGAACTAGTCTTTCCCATCAGGGAAGCCTCGTCTCCCGCCCCCGCACCCCCCGGGACACAGGGCGTCAAGCCACACGGAAAGCCTCGGGAGCAAGGCCCTGTCATGCCACGTGTGTCCCGCTGCCCGCCCATTCTGCTAAGTCGCCTGGCATGTTCTTTAGGATGCAGGGTCGGTCCGGGATAACGAGGAATGTTCTTCGTGTCCTCCTGGCTTGCCAGGTCCCGTGCTCCCTTGGCCCCGACAGCCCGCCTGGGCTTCTGATGTGCTGGACATGACTGCGAATCAAGTGCAGATCCAGTCAAAGAATCTGATCTCCTAAGAACTGGGGCACAATCATCTGCCTTTCTTCTGACACATCTGTCTGTACCAGGGACACGCTCAGCGCCTGGTACACAGGCCACTCGGGCCGACGCTCCTCACTCACATGCTCACAAGACAGTTCCCACCTGAGGACTCTGTTCCTGAACGAGGAACAGAAAGATAGAGTCGCTCAAGGCTTCCTGGGCCAGACTGTCCTACCGGGAAACCACATCGGGGCAAGGACCTTCTCCCCAGGGGTCAACCAGCCACATGCCCGCCAGAAAACCAGACCCCCCTGCACAGCTTTCCCTGCTCAACGAAAGGGCCTCAAACTGTTTCCAGGGTCGTTCCCAAAGGGGTGTTCTCTCCTTCACACCCCCTCCCCTTCCCATGTCTACAGCACCAGCAAGAGGACCAGAAAGGCCACAGGTCACCACTGGTGTGGCTGAAAGGTGGTGCCAAGGTAGCAAATCAAGAGAAACTGAGGCAGCAGGATGCCATCTCACCATCCCAGTGAGAATGCTGCTGCCCCGACAGGCTGGCATGACTGTGGTGCTCGGTTCCTCAGGGAGCGGGGGTCAGGGTCAGCTCCTTGGGGAGCAGAGGTCAGGGTCGGCTCCACAGGCAGTGGGGGTCAGGGTCGGTCCCTCGGGGAGCAGAGGTCAGGGTCGGTCCTTTGAGGAGTGGGGGTCGGGGTCAGTCCCTTGGGGAGCAGGGGTCAGGGTCGGCTCCACAGGCAGTGGGAATCAGGGTTGGTTCCTCGGGGAGCGGGGGTCAGGGTCAGTCCCTCAGGGAGTGGAGGTCAAGGTCAGCTCCTTGTGGAGCAGAGGTCAGAGTCAGCTCCACAGGGAGTGGGGTCAGGGTCGGTTCCTCGGGGAGCGGGGACAGGGTCGTTAAGGACATACCCCTTTCACGCCTTTCAGGTCCCCCTTCAGCAGACTGTCCAGAGGAAAGGAGATGATGTTGTTCATATTCTGAATCTAAAACAACAAACACACAGAATTCTTATTCAATTTCCTTTTTTTTAATTTTTAAGTTTATTTATTTAGAGAGAAACAGAAAGCACGGGGTGGGGGGGGAGGGCTGTGAGCAGGGGGCACAGAGAGAGAGAGAAAGAATACTAAGCAGGCTCCTTGCTGTCACTGAGAAGCCTGATGTTGGGCTCAATTTCACGAACTATGAGCTGGTATCAAGAGTCAGACGCTCAACCTATGTCCTTTTTTGTTTTTTGTTGTTTTGTTTTTTTTAAATGTTTTTATTTTATTTCTAGGAGAGAGAGAGAGACAGCGTGAGCAGGGGAGGGTCAGAGAGAGAGGGAGATACAGACTCTGAAATTGGCTCCAGGCTCTGAGCTGGCAGTCAGCACAGAGCCCGACGCGGGGCTCAAACCCACAAACCGTGAGATCATGACCTAAGCGAAAGTCGGACGCTTAACTGACTAAGCCACCCAAGCACCCCAACCTATGTCCTTTTTAATCTAAAGTTGGAACAGCAAGGATATTCAAGAACACTTGGTAATAATTAACCTTCACCAAAAACCTGGCCAGCACGTGCATGGCTGCTTTTCTCATACCTATGTTCTTTGTGGCGATTTCGTTTTACAAATAAAACTGTAACAGAAAGTCTATTTTTCACAATAACAGCCTTCTAAGTATGAAGTTTGTGGAAAGATTATTACAATGAAGACAAATTATTTCAAAACAACCAATGATGGAACCACTTTATTTTTTTTAATTTTTTTAATATTTTATTTATTTCTGAGAGAGAGAGAGAGAGAATGTGTGTGTGTGTGTGTGAGAGAGAGAGAGAGAGCGAGCGAGCGAGCAAGCGAGCAGGGGAGGGTCAGAGAGAGGGGGATATACAGGATACAGAACCTGAAACAGGCTCCAGGCTCTGAACTGGCTCTCCGCACAGAGCCTGATGCGGGGCTCGAACCCACGAACCATGAGATCATGACCTGAGCTGAAGTCAGACGCTTAACCAACTGAGCCACCCAGGCGCCCCAGAACTACTTTAAAGATACCGGAATGGAGGGGTGCCTGGGTGGCTCAGTCAGTTAAAGTGTCCAACTTCGGCTCAGGTCATGATCTCACTGTTCATGAGTTCAAAACCTGCATCAGGCTCTGTGCTGACAGTTCAGCGCCTGGAACTCCTTCAGATTCTGCATCTCCATTTCTCTCTGTCCCTCCCTTATGCATGCCCTGTCTCTCTCAAACATAAATAAACATTAAAAAATAAAAATTAAAAAAAAGATACTAGAACAGAACCACAAACTGCTCTCACTCATGGCTCTTAGCTCCTGGGCTATGACTTACACAAGTCTCAGGCTCTCAGATGGCAACTTCCTCAGAATGGGCCCCCACAAGGAAAATCAGAATGAAAAAGAGAACAAGGGGGTGCTTCTGTCTCTTTGTGAATGTGCAGGAGTCAATGTTCTCTGAAAAGAAAGGAGTGTGTGTGCGTTGTGTGTGTTGCAGGTGTGATGTATGTGAGGTCTGGGGTACATGTGGGATGTGTGGTGTGTGCATATCACTGTGTATGTGGGTGTGTGTACATGTGCATGCATGTGGTTTGTGTGAAATGTGCATATGTGTATATATACAGTGTATGTGTGTGCATGTGGGATATGTGAGATGTGTGTATACATATATAGTATCTGTATGCAGGGTGTGTGTGCATGTGGGGGGGGTGTGTGTTGCTGGACAAAGGAGATAAATGAGAAAAGGTGGGAGTGAGGTTTTGGGATCCTCTGTTTGTCTCCTGGAAGCAGGAAAGCAAGAGACGGTGACTTGGCCAGCTGTCGCCAACTAACCCCACTAACCCAACTGGAGCCAAAGCCTCCCGACGCACACTCACAGCAACACACGCCAGCAAGGCCGGCCCCGCCAGCTTCCGACGGGGGGAAGCGAAAACACTAAGCTTCAGTCAGGAACATTAGCGCAGCGACTCCTGTGCTTGGAACCCTGCGGAGACCCCCCAGCCACCCAGCTGCAGCCTGAAGGCCTGCTTCCCCTCGCCCCGGGCCAAGGCCACCGCCTGCCATCAACACCACCGCCAGCTGACGCTGTTGGGCCCGGGCTCCTGGGTCACTCTAGGACACACACACCTAGGTTACGGGCCTAGAACCCAGGAGAGACGAGGACGGGCTTTGGAACCCTATGCATTTATTCTTACAACTGAGCAAATTTTTAATTTTAGTAGAATTAACTTGAATAGAAAGGCCAACTGTAGGCACAATTTTTAAGGCAGTACAAGATCTGATTTTCATACCCCATTTGGTATATGAAACTTCAAACCAGAGGAAGAAATGGACTTGAAAGCTACTGGTAAGGTGTGTGATAATGCACCCACTGCCAATCCTGCAAAATAAATGATCAATTAAAGGCTGTCAGTTCAGAAATGCCTTTTTTTGGGGGTAACTTTTGTCGGTGGCTTACATAATGCCACGTCTGCCACACACCTGGCGGTCTTCCAGGGGACAGTGCAATCAGCTACGACTGACGACGATTAGCCTTAATAGTTAGATTCCTGAACACCGAGATGCTGAGCTGGAGGCGAGGTCTGAGAGATGACGACTGGGAGGAACGGGCTGGCGAGTAACCTGACAGCTCACACACCGGTTTCCACTGTGGCAGCAGTAAACATGCATGCAGAGCACAGGGCGGCCGCAGGCCTGTGCCCTTCCACATCTCCCATGTCTACGGGCACCCACAGGTGGCCATGCCAGCTGCCACCCCACGCCCGCCGTACCTGCCGGGTCCACTCTGCTCTGCCTTTCGGACCAGCTGCCTGCCCACAAACTCCCTGCTCGCAGTTCTTGCCACATGTTCCTGGGCGGCGCTCTCTGCCCCTTCTCTGGACCGAGGCAAAGGCTTCCCCTGCTCCTGGCCACCACCAGCCCCTGGTCCCCACCTGCTCCCCCACTCCTCTGCAGTTCTGTCAGATTCATCTGGTGTGCTTTCCCTCACAAAGGCTAAGCTCTCTTCTGCCCTCGGGACCCTCCACGGTCTAACCCCCTTCGCCACTTTCATCTCCGTATCCAGCCAAGTGGAAGTCTTTGCTGTTCTCTGCTCGTGCTCAATCTGTTCCACCCACTGAGCATCTTCCTGCAGTCCCTGTCCAAAGCCTTCCCATCCATCGGGCTCCCTCCAGATGCTACCTTCTCCATTAACATCCCCCAGCAGGAAGTGATCCGTCCCTCCCAAATCCTCCAATACTTTCTTTTTAAAGAATTTAGGCACTTAACAGGTTCGACCCTGCTTCATGTCATCAGCCTGATGCCATACGTCCTAAAGGACGGTAAGCATCCTTCGTTCTCTATTCTCCACGGCACCTAGTGCCGGGCCTGGCCCAGAGCAGGTGCTGGAGAACCACTAATTGAGTAAATCAATATACTTAATATTTTTCTGAGCATCTAATACATAAGAGAATCTAGAGACACATTAATACCTTTAAGCCAAACATCATATAGCAAATGGGCATGTGAATTTATTAGTCCATTCATTGTGTCTTTACTGAGCACATATTTTGTAGACAGCAGCTAGCTAGCTACAAAGATAAACAAAACACAATGTTTGCCATCTCAGAGGAAGAATAAATATCTACACACCAAGCTCTAAACAAAGAGTCTAAGACATCCCACATGTAGCATAGTTTACTCTGTACAGACATCAATGGCTCCTTGTGGAGAGAGCCAGAGAGACAAAGACTTCGGCTTGAGCAGCCAGGTGAGCTAATCTCAGTTTGGGAAGGAGGTGACTGTCCCAGTGACTAAGTCTCGAGACACTGTCCTTTCAGCCACACGATCACACAGAGCCACAGCTCAGAGTGAGAGGCACAGGTCAATTTGGTCCTGAACACCGTCCAGAGAGAAGCCAAGGTGGCGCCATCTTGGACGAGGCAAGTACAAGACAGGGGCCAGAAAAACACCCCGAAGGGGGGTGTCAGAGCTGTCTGGGTGAAAGGCTGAGCTAAAGGCACCAGCGCAACTCAATCATATAGTGGGCTGGAGAACAAGGTACTTACAGATTAAAAATCTTATTTCTAGGAAGCAGCCTAGTGGGTTTGTTATAGGAGGCATGTGTAAGTACGAATGTACACGTGAAACTGAATGAGGAAAACAAGAGTCCCTATAGTGGGGAGGACAGAACACCACACAATTTGGTTTATAAATCTATTTTAAAATTATTTGTTATTTAATTCAAATACGAATGTAGGTACTGACAGACAGGTATTGGGGCCAGAAAAGGTAAACTAAGCCTTGTATCTAGAGTGAAACCATAAAGTTGAGAAGTGAAAACCTTTGGAGATCCAAATACTGACCGGCTTGCTTTCATTCTACATACTGCACATGGGGCCCACAGCCTAGCGGTGACCAGGACATTAAAGAGCCCCTACAGGGGCGCCTGGGTGGCTTAGTCGGTTGAGCGTCCAACTTTCGCTTAGGTCATGATCTCACGGTTCGTGGGTTCGAGCCCCGCGTCGGGCTCTGTGCTGACTGCCAGCTCAGAGCCTGGAGCCTGTTTCAGTCTGTGACTCCCTCTCTCTCTGACCCTCCCCTGCTTGCGCCCTCTCTCTCTCTAGAAATTAAAAAAAAAAAAAAAAAAAACCTTAAAAAAAAAAAAATAAAGAGCCCCTACAGCTGCTGAGGAGATGCCCAGTGTCCTCAGGGAGTAACAGGAGAGGAAGCTGAAGAGGCACAGAGGGGCTAGCAGACAAAGATGGATTAGACAGAGCCTCAGTCCCCAGGAATTCACCGTTTAATAGGAGAGACAAAGCCCATAATTAAGTCAGCAAACTGCCATGTGGCTCTTAAGAGTCATAAATAAAGCACCAGAGAATCTCCAAGAAAATTACTTTCAGTCTGGACACAAGGGAAAACTCTGCTGATCAGGGGTCACGTGAGAAAGACCTTTAAAAGAGGGAGAATTTCGTCCTTCAAGATGGAGTGGAGGGTACCCCAGGCAAGGAGCAGTGCGGA